GAGATTCGAACTCACGCCTCCAAAGAGACAGATTGGCTAGGGTGAAAGATCACCAAATAGCAGACCTGCGCCTTAACCACTCGGCCAAAGTGTCTATTTAATAGTATATTCTTAGTATGAGAAATAAGAACTAATGATACAGTACGAGAATAATTTTTCAATGTGCCTGGAGCTCTCAGCATGCTCGTTTTCTCACTTTTCTCAGTTCTTGTTAATGAACTTGAACTCATGGATCCGTTCTGAAAACCCTTGCATTGATGGGCTGAAAAGACTGCGTACATGTACTTCGTGGAGTACGCAGTAAGATGTCACAAGCAAATCGATCAGTCGGCAATCCCAATAGCGACTCGAATTTCTTGCATGCCCGCTCGGAGCCGTCACTTCAATCACACAGGGAATGCTTCATGCAGTCGGTGTTCGTCTGCTTCGGGTGGAATATGTCAAACCCATGCTTTCGTTGTTATATCGACGAAAGGTCGGAAAAACACCAGTGTGTGTGAACAGAAATTTCCATGATCGATCCCTGAGGCAGCTAGTATCGCGAACTGTTTCCTGTCAGGCATTAGAGCAAAAAGACAAAGCCATGGATCGGCTAATGTTATCCCACGGGACTATGAGAAAAATTCGCTAAGCGAAAGCATATTTGAGCAGTCACAATTATGTATACTGCAATATAGGTCAAACCTGTAAAAATTCAATCAACCAATAAGACACTTTGGCCGAGTGGTTAAGGCGCAGGTCTGCTATTTGGTGATCTTTCACCTTAGCTAATCTGTCTCTTTGGAGGCGTGAGTTCGAATCTCACAGGTGTCGATATTTTTTTTTGCCACTTTTTTTTCTTGCTCAAGATTCTATTAACTTCTATTATCAATTACAGAAACAAGTCACTGCCAAGCAATTGACACTTTGGCCGAGTGGTTAAGGCGCAGGTCTGCTATTTGGTGATCTTTCACCCTAGCCAATCTGTCTCTTTGGAGGCGTGAGTTCGAATCTCACAGGTGTCGTTTCTTTTTGCTTTTCTCATACTCGTATCTGAGCTACGGCTATTCTTTTTCTTTTTCTCTGTCCTCTTTTTGTTCTCCTTTGAATGGACAGCCCTGTATGCACGCACATACCTCCAGACATGGAAAGCGTGATGGTCGATATGTAGATCGTCGAGAGCTTCGTAACTTATATTAGAATGTTTTTTGATTAGCTCGCGCAGAAGGGAGCCCATGAGCATTACCTCGTATTTAGGAGTCTCTACAGTGATACGGAAAGCTTCCCGAGTTGAGTGTAGCAACACAGAAAAACCACAAGCTTTCATAGATAACATATTGCCAGTTTCCTGACTAAAAGCACGAATGGATGTTCTCTGAGACCAGTCGAGCTCGGCGTTCTCCAGAACTATCTGGCACAAACAACCAAAAGTTGTAGTGTTGATGATGGCGTGCTATTTCCTCAAGCCACCTCGGCGAACCTATCGAATATCTGTTGCGAGCTATTGAGAGTCTGATCACACATTTGTTGTATCTTGGCCTCGTCTCCATCATTCTCACTGCAACATCCAAGAGTCCGGTCTTGTACTTTCCGATGCCGAAGTCCGTGGTTTGCAAGGCAATCTCGCTTCCATTGGATCAGTCGCGCTGCAGACAGCTAGAGGTCAGCAATGTATCCAAAAGACCAACTCAGAGTATAGAAAAATGTAATAGCTAATTCCTGGCACTCAACTGGTTTGGCTTGAGAAGTTCTTGCTCCCTTCCCATTCGAAAGATCTTGTGTATACTTCTTGCCGAGGGGTGCCGAGGATCGAGCTAAGATCCTGATATTTGATGTGAACTCACCATTTTATCCTTGTATAATTGGACTACCGTCCAGCAAGTCATTGAAAACACTCAGAAGTGTTTATAGTCTTTTTGATCCTTTGAATGCTTCTAGTCATAGGATCTACTCATACTTCTACTTCGACATGGGCCTATTTCCTAATTCGGAATCGGTTGATACGAGATGACGTTGATTTCTGACCATGCCTATGAGATGCTGTAGTCTGTCAATTGGCTAATATCACTACATACTTCTTGACACTGAAACTGGCCACCACCTGTCTGTAGAAGTATAGATAACTATCGTGCTTGCTTACAAATCCCCAGGGTGCGGGGATGGTCCTACAAAGTAGTACAAAGTACGGGGAAGCACCAATCGGAGACTTCTGGGAAAGTCGCCGACCAACCTGATACCCAACTTTCTTGAATATAAATCGTTTGAAGATCTCCATCTCCATCTACCAAACTCTCGAGTACAACCTGTCAATATGGGGTAAGTCTATTGCATCCATTACTTGGACTCAAACTGATGGAGAACCAGAGATATCGGAGCCACACAGCCAGACTACTATGACCTCGGCAACCACCGCCGCCCGGTGACCACCATCTCTACAGTAGCCCAGCTCTGGTTTGATCGTGGACTGGCATGGGCCTATTCGTTCAACCATGAGGAAGCAGTCCGTTGCTTTACGCGGGCATCGGAAGCTGACCCCAACTGCGCCATGGCATTTTGGGGCATAGCCTATTCCATCGGTCCAAACTACAACAAAGCATGGACGTTCTTCGACAGAGCTGGTCTCCAGTCCAGTGTGGAGAGGGCCACTGATGCGTTGAACCGTGCCGCCAGCCTGGGTGATCAGATCACCCCTGTGGAAAGAGCGTTAATCAAGGCACTCACTGCTCGATTCCCACCAGTCGACAACATCCCTGATGACTTAAAACCGCTGAACCGGGCATATGCGGATGCGATGCGGACCGTGTATCAGGAGTTTTCGAATGACATCGATGTAGCTGGAATGTTCGTCGAGGCGCTGATGTGTATCAGTCCCCGGGGATTATGGAATCTGGATACCGGAAAGCCCAGTGGCGACCACACTGTTGAGGCTCGAACTGTGATCGAGCCCGCACTAACAGGGCCTGGCCGTGATCATCCTGCTCTTTGCCACCTTTACATCCACTTGATGGAGATGTCTCCGTACCCCGAGTTGGCTCTACCGCCTGCTGACCGGTTACGCCGTCTGGTTCCTGACGCTTCTCATATTCTGCATATGCCGACACATATCGATATTGCAGTTGGTGACTACCGCCGTGGAGTGGACTCGAACGAGGAGGCTATGATCGCCGATGACAAGTACTTTGCGCGCGAGAACACATCCGGATTATACGTGGCGTATCGGGTGCACAACATTTGTGCGAAAATGTATTCGGCTTTTATATCTGGGCGGTCTCAGGAAGCTCTTTCAGCAGCAAAGCGGCTCGAAGAGATTATCGACATCAATGTACTCACAATCGCTAGCCCGCCAATGGCTGACTGGACGGAGGGATTTCTCGGGAGTATCGCACATGTGCTAGTCCGCTTTGGTCGCTGGGAAGAGATCCTCACCCTCGAGCTCCCAGAAGACCGCAAACTCTACTGCTCAAAGACGGCAACAATTCTCTATGCACGTGGAGTCGCATTGAGCGCTCTCGGCCGCACCGAAGAAGCAGAAGCCACACAGAAAGAGTTTGAAGCAGTACGCATAACCGTCCCGCCTTCCCGCATGAGTAGCATACCGTGTAAGATGGTCGACGTTTTCGCAGTCGGCTCAGCTATGCTCCACGGCGAACTTGAATACCGGAAGGGTAACTACGAAGCCGCGTTTGCCAGTCTCCGAAAGGCCATCGAACTTGAAGATTCGCTTCCGTACTCTGACCCGCCACCATGGATGCAGCCTGTTCGTCATGCCCTGGGAGGACTATTGCTCGAACAGAACCGGGTTCAAGAAGCGGAGCTCGTGTTCCGTGAGGATTTGGGCATTGCTAAAGGCTTCCCTCGCCGTAAGGCACGCATAAATAACGTATGGGGCTTACACGGACTTCATGAGTGCCTGCTACGGTCTGGCAAGATTGAGGAGGCTTGTGTTATTGCTGTCCAGCGAGATATTGCTATTGGCACTGCCGATGTTCCGATTACTACTTCATGCTATTGTCGATTATCTGCGGTTGACAAGCCCAAGACATGCTGTTCTGAATGTTAGTTTGTCCCATAATGTTACATAGTATATATTGATAGCGCGAATGACGAGCCAATCTATATTTCCTCAGCAATTGCTACACTCTTATGTGTATAAGTCAACAGCCTACCTTGCACAACCCCTCAAATCCCCGTATCTGAAAACAACTCCCATCTGCATTGGACAAGAACTTATCTACGTACGTTCGATATCGGCCGACTTTGAAGGCGAACACGTACAAACCGCCTGATAATCTCCGTGTTGAAGCGATTCCTGTGGCTACTGTGGATTGTAAGAAGGATTCTCGTGGACGGATTGCGCCAGTTGAGGGGATGAATGGTGCAATGGTACAATAGGTGAGTGGGAAGCACTGAGATAACAATCGCAATTAATATGCACAGCATTGCAAATCTACAGTGAATGTCACTCAATTGGATGGTGCGGGTAGGTTCCACAGTGATATAATTCCGGTGATAGTTACCCCAAGGGTATTTATAATGCGGAATTCCTGCGCTTCAATTTCTCTTAAATAGACCCCTCGTTTCTACAGAGTATTCTAACAATTATCGCATACCTCTCCACGACCTCACCACAGCCAAAATGACCACCAGCGTGAAGCTCAACGACCAAATCTCCATCCCCATCGTACGCATTCTCTCCTCTACCCCGCATCTCCAAATCCAACTAACACAACCAGCTCGCCTACGGCACCGGCACAGCTTGGTACAAATCCGCAAGCGACACCACCGTTAACCGCGACCTAGTCGAAGCCATCAAAACCGCCATCCGCCTGGGCTACCGCCACCTCGACGGCGCCGAGGTCTACGGCACCGAAGCGGAGTTAGGCGTTGCAATCAAGGAAAGCGGTGTTTCGCGCGAGGAGCTCTTCGTGACGACCAAGGTTATTACGAACATTGCGGATATCCAGAGTGCTTTCAAGAGTAGTTTGGAGAAGTTGCAGTTGGATTATGTGGATTTGTACCTAATTCACTCTCCTTTCTTCGCCAAGTCCGATGCGGAACTTCAATCTGCCTGGAAGGAACTGGAGCAGATTCAGCTATCCGGTAAAGCTAAAGCCATTGGTGTCTCGAACTACCGCCGCGAACACCTCGAAGCTACCCTCGCGACAGCATCTATCACTCCTGCTATCAACCAGATCGAATACCATCCCTACCTCCAACAGGGCGATTTGCTGCCCTTCCACCGCGAGCAGGGAATCAAGACAGCTAGCTACGGCCCCTTAACCCCCATTACTCGTGCGGCCGGAGGCCCTGTCGATGCGAAGGTAAAGGAACTGGCTGGAAAGTATGGGGTTTCCGAGGGAGATGTGTTGCTACGGTGGTCGATTGAGAAGGGGGATGTTGCGATTACGACTAGTGGGAAGGAGGAGAGGTTGAAGGAGTATCTTCGTGTGTTGGACTTCCAGTTGGAGAAGGAGGAGGTGGAAGCGATTACGAAGCTTGGAGGGGAGAAACATTATCGGGCTTTCTGGAGGAAGCAGTATGGGGAGGAATAAGTTTTTGTCCTTATATTGTTCTGACTATGTTCGGTTTGTAGAGGATTGTGGTACATACAAGCACATACAAACCTCTCCTATTTGACTAATTCACATCACAAGCATTCTCTACAAGCAGCATTTTCTTTCGTAGATAGAAAATGGCTTATAAACTAACTAGTTATCTCTCGACTTTATAAATCGAGATGGAAGACATATAGCCGATATAGCCGATATAGCCGAGAATCGTCATCCATAAATATATGCCCCATCCCATTCAAAGTAAAGGAACGTAGGAACGAACGCCATTAAGAACAGTTATTCAATCATCACAATGGGTAAATCAGTGTTCCTCATCGGCCCTGGATTCATCGGAAAGGAGATCCTTGGTCTCCTTATCCAGGAGAACTACGACGTGACCGTGCTCGTACGTCGCGAATCCGCAGCTGCCGAATTCCAAGCACAAAGCATCAAATCCGTGCTGGGCTCCTTGGACGACAAAGAAATCATCCAAAAGCAAGTGTCCGCCAGCGACATAGTCTTCCACACAGCAACAGCAGACCACCTTCCCTCCGCAGAAGCCGTCATCGCCGGTATCAACCAGCGCGCCAGAAACAACCAGCACACAATCTACATCCACACAAGCGGCGCAAGCCTCCTAGCCGATGAAAGTGCCGGCGCCTACAGAAGTGACAAAGTCTTTGATGACGAGCGACCAGAACAGATCGATGCCCTCCCGGACACCGCGCCGCACCGCCAGATAGACTTAGCGATTCTGCGCGGCCGTCAAACGCTCGGTGCCCAGGCGAAAATCGCACTCGTGATTCCGCCAGTCATCTACGGCGTTAGTCTGCAAGACGGCCGACTGTCCATCCAGCTGCCAACCCTGGCCCGCTACTCCCTCAAGCACGGCTATGCAGGCCAGATCGGCGAGGGCCGTTCCTTGTGGGGCCAGATTCACGTCAAGGATCTTGCGCGCGGATACATGGCTATCTTACACTGGCTTGAACGCACTCCGGCAGAAGAAGCCCTGAAGAATCCGTACTGGTTCTGCGAGAATGGCCAGGAGCTGTCCTGGCATGAGTGTGCGGAGCAAATCGGACGTGTTCTGCACCAGGCGGGCCGTCTCAATGACCCTACGCCTAGGACTATTCCGCAGGGTAACTACGCCGATCTATTTGGTGAGTATTCGGCTGCTGTTGCGGGATCGAACTCGAGAAACAGGGCGAATCGGTTGCGGAAGTTGGGGTGGGCGCCTGCGGAGAAGTCGACGTTTGCGTCGCTGGCGGAGGATGAGATTCCATTGATTTTGGAAGAGAAGGGGGCTTTTGAGGGGTATAAGAAGGTGGTTGCTTCGTGATTGGAGTCTGCATCACTGCAGCGTGTATCTATCAAATAGCCGGTGGATGCGACCAATACATGGAAATTGATGTTTGGTATGCTGCTTAAATTACTGGTGACTTAAATAGAAACATTTTCTGCTGTCTATGGTCTATGTAACTCACAGTAAATTATGGAAATCAGCTACCCCTCATAATATTGAAGAAAAACTGCCCAAATCTCCTCTCCCTCTCCGGCGTTCCCAACACTCTCGCCCACCTAAGAGGCCCAATCTCATGCCTTTCTACCCGCGTTTGTTGACCGTCAAATATCATAATCTCCTTTCCCTCCGAATAAGCCACCCAGGGAGAAGATCCATAAACATACTTCGTAAGCATCTCCGAGAACGCATCCGCCGTGGCTCGACAGGAAAAGGGTGCCTCCTTGCCTGCAACAGCAGGAAGACGACACAGATATGCGAGATCTAACAGGTGGTAGGCGTTTCCTTGGTGGATGCTACCATCTTGCACATCTGGCTGGTCGAACCGGTACACGTAAACTGGCAGTTGTGGGTTCTTCTTGGATATGTTATACCCTACGCGGTGGAAGCAAGCGTCTGTCGTGAGTGCGCGTAGCCGTTGCATTGCATCTGGGTAGGCGAGAATATCTTCCAACCCGTACGCTTCAAGAATCTCAACGGCAAAGCGCTCGTCCACATTGTCCTTTCCGGGAAGCAGTGCAGCTCTGACACTGTCCATCACCCCCGTCGTTGTTTTGAACATCTGATCCAGAGGAAAGATAGCCACTTCATCTCGTAGTGATCCTACCACGACGCTTTCCGCCCACTCTGACATTTTTCCAGCACAGTCAATTGATCCGGCCAGCAAAGCTTCATCGCTGAACCAGTTCGGATCCCAATTAGGAGCTGCCATAATCTACCCACCAAGCAGATCTACTATTTTCTCAGCTGGCAAGGCCCGCAGCGCAGCTACCTTCTCAGCACCGGAGGCGCTAGACGGAACACCGATTCGCGATGTCAAAGTGTCAAATTTCGCCTGTGCTACTTGTGGCTTTTCTAGATTCCACGATGGTCCGGATTGGATGATGCCTCGTTTGCAGACTGGCTCGTTGGATTGCAGATGTGCGAGGACTGAGAATCCTCCGGCTGACTCGCCTGCGATTGTTATTTCGTCGGGGTCACCGCCGAAATGGGACACGTTGTTTCGGATCTGGAATTATTGTAAGGTGGTTTATCGTATTGTAAGTGGGGAAAAAAGTACGCACCATCGCAAGGCTAATCGCTGGTCATGTAAGCCTTGGTTGGCCCACCATGTCTCACCGTGGCTCTCTGCATCAGTCGCCAATTCAGCGGACGAAAGAAAACCGAAATAGCCTAGACGGTAGTTGATCGAAACAAAGACGAACGGTTTTCCAATACTAGAGGCGTAGCTGACCAAATAATCACCGGCTGCTAAGAAAGTAACATATTAGCCAACTACACCAGAAAGAAAAAGGTGGTGGCAAGTCAAAAGCGCCAACATACTAAAATCCGCATTCCCATTCTCAATCGCCAATCCACCCCCATGTATCCAAACCAAAACCGGCAGCTTTTGCCTAGACAAAACCGCGTCCGCAGGTGCATATACATTCAATCTTAGACAGCCCAGATCGTCATACGTGTAAGAAACCTGCGGAGCCCCCTCGAATAGATGCTGTCTGGTATGGCGGAGGAGATCTGGTAGTTGAGGACAAACAGGTCCGTATTGCGTCGCATAGATTGAACCAGACAGTGTCTGTGAGTCCACGAGCTGGGATTGTAGCATATTGTATACCCAGGAAGTGGGCCATGCCAAGCGGCGATACGAACCCTTTGAATTGGGCGGTTTCGTGGATTGGGGCTTCGATGGTTGCCATTCTGTAGATACTACTCTTACACCTTTGTCAATGATCAGTAATCGGTAGGAGGCAACGGTAATGGTGATATTTCTTGGTTCTTCCTCCACCCCTTTCTTTCTCTTCTTCAGAATGATTGATAAGCTTAGGGTTCGGATCGGCTCGGTTATATGGCTTTATAATCACATTTCGGAAGCCCCATGAGTTAGCAGTGCAGTGGCATTGTCTTACTCAAAATACTTATAGTATCAATGTTTTCATTTTCCTCTAGCTTGAGAAGCTTCATAAACTGCCCATAGAGAGAACAGAGATCATCACTGTACCACAATGGGTTGCGTGACGCATATTGTCCAGATACAATTCAAGGTCGACGTCGGCCCTGAAACTATCAACGATGTATTTACATATCCACATCAGAAAGAAAAGAAATCGAGGTCTCAATATTGCAGTATAAATGGCACCGCATTGAAGGCTTGCTCGCGTATGCTCTCCCTGAAGGAGCAGTGCATCCATCCCGTTCACCAGAAACCCTACATCAAGTCCTCAAAGGGTGGCAAAGAGTGCTCGGTTGAGGTCATGTAGGTAACTATATTTCCTAAGCTGTGCTTGTACACACAGAGCTAATACAAGTCTTAGAATGGTATCACCCACGTCTTTGTCGTGGAGTTCGAGTCCGTTGAGGATCGCGATTATTATGCGCTAAAGGATCCTGCTCATCTGTCTTACGGTGCTAGCTTGGGTGGTATTGTAGACAAGGTGCAGGTTGTGGATTTCGATGCTGGTGTCTTTTAAGGTCAAAGGGCCGTGATCCTAGACAAGCTTAACATGCTGCGTTCATGGACCACAGTATTTCACCTTTACATCTGAAAGTTAGTTCTAGTCACCTGTCTGGAAAAGTGCCTGAAAGGTTCTCTTTTTACGGCTTCTTATCTTAACATAGATCTTCAACTATACTATGGAGTTTAGATATGGTTGGTAAAGTACAATAAACTATAATGACATATCGCTGGTATACGGCAAAACCCATGAGTTGAAAAAATCGGGAAAAAGCATGGGACCACCGACAGGATGCATCGGGTTGTTGTTAGACTCAGCTGCAGCGGAAACCGGAGGAATTTCCACCCAAGACGGATCCACGTAAGAGGAACTGTCCGGTATCGAAGCGGAAGTACCATCTTCTCGCTGGGAAATATCGGCTCCAGCATCGTGAGTTTGTCCACCATTGGAATCTCCAAACGACAATAGAAAGTCGAACAGCCTCATTGCCCATTTCCCCGGATCCCAGAAGTCTTGCGCTTCGTTCAATACCATCTGGCAGTTATCGAAACATGCCCGAGTCATTATTGCAAGATTGTCGGTTTCAGATTGCTGTGTCTGTCGACAGAGAATTACTCCAGCGACGAGGAAACCGGAGAATATCTCGTGTGGGAGGAGTGATAAAGTAGCCTTCGTCATCAATTTGACTGATAATGAAGAAATTGTTAGAGCAGAGGATTCTGCTATTTGGTTCGAGCTCGTATCGCAAACGGATGGTCGTCGCTGACTGGCCTGGAATTGACCAGCAGGGTTCATGTGTAAGAGAATTAGAAGATAGTTGTATAAGGTCTCTAACTGTGTAGACTGAATGACATTGGAGTTCATGCTGGTCGACCAGCTAACTTCGACCGGGACCTCTGACTTCCAAATGGCGAGCTGCTGCTGGATATGGTCAAGGGTTATCGAATCGGAGACCGGCCCAAAACGAAAATGAAAGATGCTCCGCAATATGAGAGATAATTTGCACGATTGAATCTGATACATGAAAGCAGCTTTGCAAGTGCAAGGGTCGAGCGGTTCATGATTGTGAGGGAAATCTTCCAGGGCCAGCACGTCGGTATCGCATTGGGTGATGTTTATTCGGAAAGGACGGCCTAACAGCGTGGAAAAATGAGCATCACGAACAGCTAGGGCCCACCAGAGCCTTTTAAAAAGGCTGTGGTCATTGGGAGGCCCGCTGGCATCCACCTCCGCTCTATGCAGTCCCAGCGACACGGCCATGGTGACACCAATCTCGATCCATGAGCAAGGGTTCCAGTAACAATTCAGTCGCGGCCCCTCAAAGCTTAGAAGAATGCACACCTTGAGTAGAACCGCCTTGTTCTTTTCGTAGCTGATGTCAAAGAGAGCCTTTGCTTTGCTATAGTAATGATGGCGTGCCTCTGACCGCGATTTGAATCCAGCAATGAAGATCAACGAAGCGTCGCAGAACGTCATGGCGACAAAGCAAATAGCATGCAAAAAGATCCACGGGAGCTTGCGAGCCCGGTGGGCGCGGCGTAGATCTATTGGATCGACCACAGCATACAGAAGGTAAAAGCGATCCAGAAAAACATCCACCATAGAGTCAAACGCTTCCCTAGGAGGGTATGAGAAAGCCCCCTTGGCTTTGAGATATTCTATGTCACACGGTTCCAAGTGAGGCGGGTGTATATCACCTTGAATCACCGCCAATGAGCTGCTATTAAGATTGTGCTGGCTGGTATCGTACAGCACTTGGCCCTGTCCTTTTCGCAGCTGTAAAGCAAAGGTCAAAGGAGAGGGCTCGCCAAAGAGAACCAACTCACATTGGCCGACGGTATCCGGACTCTTTCGGCCCACATGATCTTCAAACATGGATGAGAGAGATTTGGAGCTCCCGGCACAGGACGAAGGCCTCACAGTTGCGGGGGACGGCATGCTCCCGTGCGAATCAGCCGGACCCGCTCGCTCAACATAAGAAGCACGACGGTTCGACATCTCTGTTGTACTGCTATCCACGTTTGGAAAGCAAGGAACATTTTCATCAGCGCTGAAGACAACTGCTGCATCGCATTCTTCACGACTGGAAGCAAGCGCCGCCGTGCTTTGCTCCGATTTTTGGCGCGGAGATTGGTTCGACGAGGCAGAGGAGCCCCTCTGTTGTATCCGAGCTGCTTTGCGATCGTATGTACCCCTTTTTGAAGAAACCAAAACGCAATTTGGAGCACCGTCCATTCGGCAGCGGCTGCAGGGGAAGCCAACTAGCGTCGCGTCGCATTTAATTTTCCGTTGATTACAGCGTTGACACGCCTTGGCTGCTCGTAACCGGCGCTTTCCAGAATCCATTTCACAGATTCGATACTACCGGACTTGGTCCTGTATTTTGCAACTATTACTGCAAGGTGCCGACATGCGGCGAGAGATACCAAGAGCGATAAGGATGAAAGCTAATACAGTATTTTGTACTAAAAAGGGTGTGGGGAAAAGCAGTATATGAGACCCAGATGTTTGGAGAGAGTAGATGTTTAGAGCCACCCGCGCAGGAAGGCAAAATGCTTCAAACGCATTGAGAAGGCGGTACCAAGCTCGCTCTGACAATGGTCCCTAGCCCTAATTTCCCTTTATCATCGTCATGAGCGATGCTTGCACTAATTCCGGGAATACATAGTCTACGAGAAACTCGTGTTAATAAATTTGCGAAAATAATCGAATTTCTAGCGGTTTACCCTCTTCTATGCCTTCCGACGGTCGGATGCCTTCTATGGGGTTGGATCGGTTCCAACATACAGCCGCGGCTATATGACCCCACCTATTGCTATCGCCACCTTAGGACTGGTTTGATCGTCTTGCCATTTTTCATGTCTTCCATGGCCTGGTGACTCTGATCCAGATTGTAGTGCGAGATCAGTTTTTCAAGAGGGAATAAGCCTTTTCGTTGTTGTTCGATCAAGAACGGAATCATCTGGTGGCATTGGTAAGCGACAAAGAATGAAAGGATAGTAGTATATGGGTACTGTACCTCACTGGCTGTACTGTCTCCTTGGTGACATCCCACATATTGCCGACCCAAAGTCAAATGGGAGAAAACATTTACAGACACGCGTTTAGTCGGACCCGGCGCACCTACACTGACCGCTCGACCACGAGTAGCAAGCGAGTCGATCATGTTTTCAATAACCAAAACCGCACCCGAGCAGTCCAAGGCAAATGCGACCCCATTATGAGGCCAGCAGATATTTTGAATCTGCTGGACAACGTCACCGTCACTCCCGACAAGGGCATGGGTTGCGCCTATGTCCAAGGCCACCTCCAAACGTGAGGGCTGCAGATCCACGGCGATTATTGTCTGTGCCCCCCTCATCTTGGCGGCCATGATGGCGCTCAACCCCACTGAGCCAACACCGAAAACGGCAACAGAACTTCCAGGGGAGACGTTGAGAGAGTTGAGTACGGCCCCGGCGCCAGTCTGTATTCCGCAGCCCAGAGGGGCGAAAAGCTCCAAGGGCGTGTCGTCTGGCACCTCCACTACACTCGATTTGCTCACCACGGCAAGCCTGGCAAAAGAGCTTTGACCGAAGAAATTGGCAAAGACTTCTTTACCGCCAGGCAGAGTGACTGTTGCGCTGCGGTCAAGGCGTCGTCCCCCAAAATTCAAGGGGAGCAGCTTCTCGCAGTAGGCAGGACAAGGACAGTCAGATGCGCACTGTGAGCAGTTTCCACAGAAGTTATAGCTCAGTAAGACTTTAGCTCCAACAGAGACACTATGTGCGTCTTGTCCTTTTTGTATGACAACACCAGCGCCTAGTATTTACCCTTAGCATCAAAGTATCTATGCATTATAGGGAAGATTATCGAGGGAAAAAAAAAAAAAAAAAAAAAAAGAAAAGAAAAGAAAAGAAAAGAAAACCTACCTTCATGGCCCAGTATACAAGGGAACTCGGCTGGCAACTTCCCATCTGCGCAGGCAATATCCGTGTGGCAGATACCGGTAGCATGAATCTCCACAAGAACCTCATTTGGCCGTAGTTCATCCAGGATTACTTCGGCCAAGTCAAAACGAGCGCCCGCGGAGGACACCACTAAACCTTCGGTTCGTTGAGGCATGATTTTGGTAAAGGAGAGAGTATGGAGAGACAGTAGTAGAGAGTAGTAAATGCACAAGCAATCTTCAGAAACTTAGGGTCCTGACTGGCTCCTTTTAAGCTTTAACTTTGGCAATGGGCTATGTATACACAACAGATCAACAAGGACTCACCAGTACGGAGTACTTCGGACGAGCGCATCTTCTGGACTATGCCGTTTAGGGCATGTTGGAGAATTAGTGCTTCCTCCCGTTCTATTAGCTGTGGGGAACGGCTATTTGCTAACCCCCCCCCCCCCCCCCCCCCCCTCCGCGCAACCCCGGTCCTTCCCCTTGGGGAACCGAATATCGGAAGGAGGACCCTTTCCGATCGGCTGCTTGTCTGCATGATACTTAAATAGAGAAATGTTAGTTGGGTCAGGATGCATAAACACACGCGTTAATTGTTTGCTGAAACCGACATGAGCACCGTTGAGATCGAAACCCGTCTTTTCATAGACGGCGAATTTGTCCCCTCGTCTGATGGGGCAAAGTTCGACCTTTACAGCCCTTTCACAGGCGAGCTAGCTGCCCAGGTGCATGAGGCCAAGGATGTCGATGTTGACCGCGCGGTCGAGAGTGGAAAGAAAGCATTCCCGGCGTGGGCAGCTATGGATGGTACTGTTATTTGCTCATATCAATGTATCCCCGATGGCGAAGCACGGAGCTGATGAGTGCCATGACTCTAGGATCTACAAGGAGGACGCTCATGTTGAGACTGGCCGATCTGGTTGACCAAAATATTTCGGAGTTCGCACGACTCGAGGCTCTGTCCATGGGAAAGCCCGTCTCTTCCTATATGGACCAGATCGGTACGGCAACACTCAGGTGTAAGTATCCTAGGACAATCTATCGTTGCCTCATCAGTTATTGACATGTTTCCAGATTATGCCGGCAAGGCCCTGGATATTCACGGCGAGACTTCGCTACTCTCGGAGGGCCAGCTAAATTTCTCACTCAAGCAGCCATACGGGGTTACTGCGGCCATAATCCCATGGAAGTAAGTCTAACCCTAAAAATAATAGACGAGCATCGCTGACTTTTCGTAGCGTGCCCTTGATTATGATCTGCTTTAAAGTCGGCCCCGCGCTCATTGCTGGGAACACCCTTGTGCTGAAGTCTTCTGAGAAAGCACCCCTGACTTCCCTTCTCTTTGCTCGACTCACAAAGGAGGCTGGATTTCCTCCCGGTGTCTTCAACGTTGTATCGGGATTTGGCCAGACCTGCGGGGATGCCCTCGCTCGCCACAAGGAGATCCGCAAGATTGCATTCACGGGCAGTTCGAGGACAGGTAAACTCATTCAGAAGGCTGCTGTGGAGTCTAATTTCAAGGATTGCTCTCTTGAACTTGGGTAATGCCCCCGCCGCTTTCCAATTCCCGGTCATTATTAGTATGTAAAAGGCTAATCCGCTGACACGATACATAGGGGAAAGAGTCCAATAGTGATTTTCCAAGATGCGGACCTCGAAAAAGCAGCCAAAGCCGCTGCCTTTTCCATCGTGGCCAACTCCGGCCAGGTGTGCATGGCATCTTCACGGGTCTACGTGCAAGGTTCAATCATGAACCAGTTCAAGCCAATGTATCTCAATGCAATTCAAGCGGTCACTGGGAACATTGGCGACCCGTTGAGCAAGGACACAGGGTTTGGGCCCCAGGCGGACACACAACAGCACAAGAGCGTTTCTGCGTTTGTGGAGCAGGCTAAAAATGACAGACTGAAGGTTCTGTTGGACTCTTCGTCTGGCAAGGATGGGAAAGGAAATTTTGTCTTTCCCATGGTTCTGCATGATGTGCCCGATAGTCACAACCTCATGCAAGAGGAGATCTTTGGGTAGGTTTCCCTGCAGTATTACCCTATTAAGACCACTTATCCTAACAAACGACTCTTTCTAGAGCCATATCCTGCCTTAACACCTTCAAAACGGAAGAAGAGGTTATCTCCCGGGCAAATGACTCCGAGTTCGGTCTCTATGCCACCGTCTTCACTCGCGATCTGAACAGAGCCATCCGTATGGCGAAGAATTTCGAGGCAGGATCTGTTGGTGTCAATATCAGTTCTCCTTATTATTGCCAGGATCTTCCATTGGGCGGCTTTAAACAGTCCGGAACCGGGCGAGAACTTGGGAAAGAGGGGCTTGACATGTGGACTGAAGTAAAGTCGGTATATGTCTCGTTGGGGTGATTTAGTGTATTCAAAATTTCCTGCAGTTCTTGGCGCATTTTTGACAAAACATACACAAGTCTACTCCAGATCGTGAACTAGCTCAAAACAGCCATTCAAAACTAAATAACTGCATAACCAGTCATTTTAGAGACCATATAATCACCATATATGCATTAACTATAAGCTATAGCCCCCAGAAAAAAATGCCCTAAATGCTGCAATGCTAAAATACACCTATTTGGGTATATATTTTAATGGACATTAGTCTGGAGTATAACTGTGCAATGTGATGTCAGAAAGCTAGCTATGCCTTACTGTGACATATTATAAGTTCTAATACCAAAAAGGCCTGATATCTGCAACAGTATATATGGGGTTCTGAGTAGACATGTGTATGTTTTCGATGAAACGTGCACCAAGAACTGCAGGAAATTTTGAATACGCTAAATATCCCGCCCCACCAATTAATTCACAGAAGGAAGCGTTCCTGGACACCATATGCTCTCCCTCCGACTGGGCGGCGACAATGGTTTCATTGCCCTGGCTGTGATGATCGAGCAGTTGAGACATGCTGCCATGCATCAGTGACTAAACGGGAGAATACGATGACTCGCGTCTTCCATCCGTCACTGACATCGGCCCGTGTCAAGATCCCTACTGTCCATGTGGTAGGAAGCAGTGATACTATGGAAGTTTTTGAGCAGGCAAAGCTTTGTCGTGATTTATGCGATCCGTGAATGACGGATATGGTGATGCACTCGGCAGCTCACGATGTACCCAGGAAGCCGAAAGAAGTGCAGCGAGTGGTTAACGCCATTCGCGCGACTGCTGCGGAGGCAAGGCTGGGGGTTTACTAAAGTACTATGTATGTAGTGACCTAAGAATGGACTAGGTCCCTGAAAAAGAAGTCAAGTTAATATCATCCGGAGCAATACCAAATTTAGCTCGGCATGTTTTGGATTATGCAAGTTTGTGCCGCCTGCCACGTCCATAGATCAATTCCCACCTGCAAGAAACGCGATTTGATGCAATGCAGATACTGGAAATGTGCTTCATGCATGCATAATCTCGCATGATATAAAATTGTCCGAGGGTGCTGACGAAGGATCAGAGCCCTACACCACGTAATTAAGATTTGGAATCTATGCTGCCTTGAACATCCGAAAGGGAAAGAAAGTGTGAATCAGCATCTAGGACTCCCATATATGAAGTAACCATGGCCCGCGTATCTAGTTGATCCAAAGACCATAGACAAACTAGGTGCTCGACAAAATGCAACAAAGAGAGGAGATTTGGCGCAGGATGGCATTGAGCCCATGGCCATCATTGGTATGGCTGCCCGATACCCGGGCGAAGTATCAACACTGTCGGGCTTCTGGGAGATGATCAGTAATAGGCGGACTGCCCATTCAGAGGTGCCAGTGGATCGATGGAACGTTGATTCCTGGTATCATCCCAATCATGACCGTGAAGGAACGGTATGGCCATCTATGGTTTCTATTGAGCATTGAGTCCGGACGTTGGTGGGATGGCTAACAAGACACGATAGACTAACGTCAAATCGGGATGCTTTTTAACCGAAGATGTATCCGTCTTCGATGCCCCATTCTTCTCCATGACTGCCCAGGAGGCCGCAGGAATAGATCCGATGCAACGATTCATGCTCGAAGTGACGTACGAAAGTTTGGAAAACGCGGGCATCCCCATGCAAAGCCTCCCTGGAACAAAGACGAGCGTCTATTGCGGCTGCTTCAAGGGAGACTATGACAATCTTTCCAACGCCGACATCTATGATGCAGCTCCGTACCAGGCCACAGGAAAAGGAAAGGCCCCCAGCTACCCCCTGACTGCGTACTTGTTAAAATCATGGCCGTTGCACTGAACCCAACGGACTGGAAACACATCGACTTCATTGCAACCAAGGGCGCTACAGTAGGCTGTGACTACGCGGGTATTGTCGAAGAAATCGGCTCCGCAGTTGACCCGGCGCATGGACTCCAGATTGGAGATCGCGTGGCGGGATTCACTCATGGCTGTGAGTCTATTCCTCTCCAGATTAAAAGGGCGGTTGATCTAACACCAGGAAAGGCAACGGAGAGAATCTTTCCGATGGCTCTTTTGCCGAATATATCGCGGCCAAGGCACACATCAATATCAAAATGCCCGACTGGATGTCCTTTGCAGATGGGGCTACTCTGGCCGTTGGTATCACCACCGTTGCCCAGGGACTGTATCAGCAGCTGCAGTTACCTTTACCGAACCTAACGAGGAGCACCGTATCTGTCCTAGCGAAAGAGCCCATTCTTATTTATGGAGGCAGTACTGCAACGGGGACGCTTGCCATCCAATTTGCGAAATTGTATGAATGGACCCCTTTCAAGCAATCCGAAGTTAACAAGTCCAACAGGTCAGGGTATACAGTGATTACAACCTGCTCTCCGCATAATTTCCCTCTTGTCCGTGACCGAGGAGCCGACCACATCCTCGATTGCCGCTCCCCTACTCTCACCGAGGACATTCGATCTTTGACAGACAACAAGCTCCGTCTAGTCCTCGATTGCATCACGACCAGTGGATCTATTGCTAGATGATGTGAAGCTCTTGCGCCTCCGTCTGCTGACTGTGATATTCGGTACTGCGGTTTGTTTACCGTCGGAGACCTTCCACGATCTGATGTCAAGGCTGGATTCACGTTGGCGTACACAGCCCTTGGTGAATCCTTCCAGAAGTGGGATAATTATTATCCTGGTAGTCCCGAGAACGCGCGATTTACGGGAGATTTTATGAAGCTAACGTCGGCTTTGCTGGATGCACAGATGATTCAGAGTCATCCGGCAGAGGTTCAATATGGTGATTTGATGGATGTCTTGCAGGGCCTGGATTGTCTGCGCAAAGGGGGTGTGAGCGGGGTGAAATTGGTTTATACTTTGTAGAATTGCTAGTTTATGTATCGCTTATTTTGTAAATATTCTATCAGAAGCGCAATTCCCATCCAATCTGAGGCCCGATCTTGGGCAACTCATCCGCCACGCTCTGTACGTCTTTATCACCCCGGCCACTCAAACACAGCACAAGGTCCTTGCCGGGTCCTAGCTGCTTAGCGGTCTCGATCGCCCCCCATACCGCATGTGCGGTCTCCAATGCCGGAATAATACCTTCCAGCTGGCTCAGAAGTCGGAAACCCTGAAAGGCCTGCGCGTTAGTGGCCGAGAGAAAGGTCGCACGGTTGCTCTCCTTCCACTGAGCCAATTCCGGTCCAACGCCAGGGTAGTCCAGCCCCGCGGAAACGGAATACGTATCGGAGATCTGGCCATGTTGGTTCTGTAGGACGTACGTCCGAACACCATGTAAGACACCGACGGAACCACCGCTCAAGGTAGCTGAATGCCGCGCCGTGTCCAGACCATCTCCGCCGGCTTCCACCCCGACGAGCTGAACGGAGGGAATCGATGAAAAGGGGTAGAACATGCCCACCGCATTCGAGCCTCCTCCAACGCAAGCAACCACGGCGTCCAGACTCTTGCCCAGCTCTTTCAGCTGCGCCTTGGTTTCGTCCCCAATGACCGACTGGAACGTGCGCACGATTGTAGGGAAAGGATGAGGCCCAATCGCAGAGCCGATAATGTAATGTGTAGTATCCAACCGCACAATCCATGCGCGAAAGGCCTCGTTCACGGCGTCCCGAAGCGTGCGCGATCCAGCCTCCACAGGGACAACCGTGGCGCCCAGCAACCGAATCCGAAAGACATTCAATACCTGGCGACGGACATCTTCAGCACCCATATAGATCGTGCACTTCATGCCAAACTTAGCGCACACAGTGGTAGTCGCGACACCGTGTTGGCCTGCGCCGGTCTCGGCGATGATTTCAGTCTTCCCCAACCGACGCGCAATCAGGATTTGGCCTAGGGCATTGTTGATTTTGTGGGAACCCGTATGATTGAGATCCTCCCGTTTTAGCCAGATATTCGCTCCACCAGCATGCTCGGTCAATTGATGGGCCAGATGCAGACTGGACGGCCGGCCCATGTAGGGATAGTAAGAGCGATACTCCTCCCAGAACGTGGGATCTTCCAGCGCCGACTGGAACCCGGCCTCTAGCTCTGCTAGACAGGTCGTCAAGGCCTCGGGGACATACTGGCCACCGAAAACGCCGAACCGTTCTGTCCCATCTATCGCAGTTGTTGTTGTTGTTGTTGTTGTTGCCTCCTCCTCTCCCCCCCTCCTCCTCTGCCGTATCTGTCTGGGCAACCTCGCTGCTTTCCACCACGGTCGTAGCCGTCGTGCCGCTGTAATCCCGGGTGACACTCCTTTCCGTGATTTGCGAGCAGTAATCCTCGACTGTCCTGGCAGCCTGCCCGGCCGGGGCATCAGCCAGCACCGCAATGATCCGACTACCAATAACGGCGCCATCCACAACGGAGGTCACACATTTAAAATGCTCACGGGTGCTGATGCCAAACCCAACGGCCACGGGCACATTGCTGGACAGCTCCTTAACACGCTTGATGTGGGCAGGGAGGTCTGCATTGAGGGATCCGGTGGCGCCCGTGACACCCATGCGCGAGACGAGATAGATGAAGGAATCGGCTATGCCGCAGAGAATCTTCATGCGGTCTTCTGTGGTCGAGGGTGCGATCAGGGGGACGTACGAGAGTCTATTGAATTGAATCGTTAGAAGGTCACCCATTGTGACAACCGCATCGGAGAAGGCGCCACATACCCAGTCTTTGTGCAGCCGTTGCGGAATCGGATCACTTCCTCTGGAGGCAGATCAACGATGATGAAGCCGTTGACTCCAGCTGCCTTGCAATCGGCCAGGATCTGGGTTTCCCCATCGTCACGTATGTGACCAATGCCGGTCGGCCTTGTTGTTGGCATAGGGCAAAGATTTGTCGGAGATGTTCCATGTTGAATTGATTATCTATCAAATTTGAGCAGACAATGGAACCAAAAGAAGAGGGACGAGAGTATTTATTCGGGGCCTTTGTTTGATTAGGGCCTTCCTGCGGAAAAAAAAAAAAAAAAAAGAAAAAGAAAAACGTCCCACCGGAATGACTCAAAGGACGACCTCCAACATCCCTGTAAATAATAATAGAACTTTTGTCTTTGTTGGCTAGCGATATCGACCAACAATGCATCCTTTAATACGATATGGGACGCTTAATTGGCCCATACATTTTAGCCTCCATTCTTAGCGGCGTAAGGCTCAGGCTGTGCCTGATCTGGATGTTCTTTAATTTTAATATATATATATATATTTTTTTTTTCTTTCCGAATATTACAGCACTAGGCTGCGAACAAGGCTTGAGAGAGCACTTTTCGGCGTTGTTCGGCTGAGATTATCTCTCTTTGTTGCCATCATCTCGTGTTTCAGTCAATATAAAGCAAAACCGCGGCACCATGAAAGAGAAGAAAGAAAAAGAGTTTTTGTCAGCATAAAGATGATACTCAAGGTACGCAGCGCCTGCAAAGAATGTCATGGGTGAAAAATCCGCTGCCGCATCCCTCCTCAAGGAGGACCCTGCCAGGCCTGTTTAACCTCACAGCGCCAGTGTTACTTCCTGCCGCAACACAAGGCCGGTCGCCCACGGAGAGCCATTCAATCCGTATCCAGCGCCCTGCCCAGCCCACACACTCCTCTGCAGCAACTAGAGAATGAGGTGATATCCTCAGACAGCCTGAGCGTGTGGAACGCAGACCATCCCCTTCCTTCCTTTATGAACCATGCATTGACAATCAACGACATCCCGTCGCTGTCTCCTCCCAACATGGCCAATTATACCAGCGGTCCACTCCCCAACATGCTCCCCGACTACGTCTTGATCAATGACACCGCCGATTTCTGGCTCCAGTCGCATAGAAATGGGGAAAGTGAAAGCGGATCATCGTCGCGGGGCCGGATAGGTGAGGGCCCGTTGTCGGATGGATCCGTGGAGGGTCCCCAGTTTCCCAGTACGACTAGTAGCAGTATCTCTCCCCCATGGCCCGTATCAGTTGTTCTATGCCCCGGAGATAGCACGAACATCGACTGGGATCGATGCGAGAATGCATCGGTGTCGTTCTCCAAACTGCTGGAGAAATGCAGTGAGCTCGATCGCTCGGCGGACATGTTACAGGAGCAAGACCACCACCACCACCACCACCACCACCACCACCAGAGAACCACCATCACGCACCATCATCTCCCACCCATTCTGTGCGCGATAGATGCTCTCTGTGAGTTATGTGCAGCGTTCATTGACGAGCATCCTGCGCCCTGTCGCAAAGCGTCCCTGGACCCTGCCCTTCTGGCCCTAGTCATCGCGGCCAATTTCAAGATCCTCCAGGTTTGCAGCCTGCTAGTGTCCATCAGCGTCTCTGAGGCTCAGACGCCGCATGTGCAGCTGCTTCTCAAGCGCATTGATTTCAATCTGATGCAGACCAAGATCGCCCTGGCCTTTATGAAGGAGCAGGAGATGACCTCGCCGTCGGTCTTCCAGACGGAGCTCGATCAGGCTGCGCGTATTCATCGGCAGATATTGGTGATGACAAGAGGATAACGATGGTCTCAGCTTGTCATAATAATTAAACGACAGTATATGCACTTCCTAAACATACGAGACTTATCTTTGTTTGTACGGATGTTTCATGGAATTACGCGGTAAGCCAGCGTCGGGCTGGCAGTTTAGGTCGATTGGGTCTTGGCCAACAAATTCCCTCGTCCTTTGGATTCCAGAAGGTTGTGATGGATTGAATATAGGCGAAGGAAATTGGGAGCCCAGGCGAATAGCTATGTTCTTGAGAGCGTACTTTGCTCCGAGGGATGCTGATGAGTACTCGGGTGGTTGTGATGGTCATCGTCGTCGTTGACTCCTCTGATAGAATATGATGGTTGACGAAGATTGCCACATGGACGACAAAGGAAAGGAAAAGAAAGTCTGCGCACTCATACCCAAGGAATACAAATGCACACAGAATCCAAAATGCTAAAATAAGAATATCAGATATTTGCAATAAGTTAGCCAGTCATATACAATAGATCACAGATCACAGCGAGATAGATAGATATGACAACATCCTCCCATTACACAAAAAAACGCCTCGTCAAATGCAGTCTAAACCAAAAAAAAAAAAAAAAAAAATCATAGTAGCCAAGCAGCGACAGTAACTGTTGGCAATAATGCAGAATCAACATGTAGGACCGAGCTTTTTTTTTTTTTTTTTTTTTTCGTAGCTGTTGTCGCCATGGCATTTTAGTAGTTATTGTAACTGAGTGAAGTTAGATATATGAGTAGATTCGATCATATCATGTGATAGCTTCTGCTTTCTGCATTTGTTGGGAGGTGATAAGAGCAAAAAGAAAACCGAAAAGATTGAGTTGTTTGCCCGGGTAGGGCGTTAGGAATCCTGCATCTCTTTATCAGAGCCAATATCTGGCTCTGTGGCGAAAGGATCAAGACGTCGAGCGCGTTTCTCGAGTTCCAGGGCAAACGGTGTCACCGTGAAGCTTCGGAAATCCGGACCATACGTAATCCAACGGTGGAACTGCAACCATTAGAATCTACCTTTGAGGACAGAGCAAAAAAAGACCAACCATCGCAAGTCGAACCCCTAACCACAAACACCGATACATCCTAGCCATACTCAGAGAAGGCACCTCGATCGTACGCCCTTCATCCTCTGCCCAAGCACCCTTGAAGTGATCCACAGGGAAATATTCCTGACTCCAAATCTGGCCCCGGAGAAGGAAATCCTCCGGAAAGCACTTCCTGTCATCTGCAACGGGGAATTCTGCGCGTTCAAGGACGCGGAGATCCGTGTTGCTGCGCAGCATTGCGTTCAGGAATGTGGTAAGTTTGCCCCATGGAACAACTACTTCGATATGCCTTATGCTGGTGTTGTTGAGCGCCATGCTCCAGGTAAAGGCGAGGTAGGCATGCACGGCTGGAAAGACGTTCTTGTTGCCTATTTGATCAAGGAAGGCAGAGAAAGTCTTGAATGCGAGATGAGCGCTGTAGTAGACCGTTATTTGAGACTGCGAGTTCTGAAACTCGCAGAACTCAGCTTCAATCACGTCCACTTTATCAACAGACGTCCAGTTCTCTGATGCAGTCATGGTTTGGTCTTGTTGCTGATCTTTGAATTCAGCAGGTACCACGGCATCAGCGACCCCATACTGAGAAATGGCAGTAAAATTGCACGATGCCATATAAACCCCGTGCAACCTGAACGAGTTCGCAAGTCGACTAACGTACTTATCCAGATGCAGCAGATACTCATTCACAAGCACCTTGAGATCAGAAAGCGGACCTTGCGAGAAGAGATTGCCATGAGCAGCCACAAACGCAGAAGCAACTACCGGTTGATTGTATGGTTTGGGACCGTTCAGAAGCGGGTGAAACAATAACTGAATGCTCTCTCCAGCACTAGGAAACGGGTGCAGACTAACCAGACTTTTTGTGTAGTAGAACAACTGTTGAAGCATGTCTGGACGAGCGAGAACAGCCAGGTGATGCTGAATTCTGCCAACACTTGGGTTTTTGTCAGCTGCTTGGTGGTACCAATATCGGGCCACACCGGCCCAGGTCTCGCGATCCCGGAGGTCAGATTCTTCTACGGCCATGCGATAGCGCGCCAAGTCACCAAGACATTCGATCCAAGTATCCTCAAAGGCAGGCACGCTCTCTAGTAGTAGGGTCATCATCGAATAAGCCAAATACAGAAACGTAAGCGTATGCTCCAGCGAATCCGGAAGTCGATGGCGCAACAATTCCAAAAATGAATGAATCCCATAACGCCACATACGCGCCGGCATAGCGTACTTCTCCGATAACTTTTTCAGAGCCGGACCCGCAGACGGGTGCTGTGAAGCGAGGAAAAAGTCGTGATGCTCATGAAGTAAAGTCCGATGCAACGAAATCAGCGCCTGCCATTGGTGATCCGACAACTTATTCTTCGATTCGGCCTGCTGCTTATCAATCTCGATGCACTTCTTCTCTACCATCACCAATCCGGCGTAGATCCCGCGGACCTCGTTGACCAATTGGTCTTCTGTTAACGGATGAGTCTCTAGTTGCCGTAGCTGTAGGGAGGACATCCGTTGAGTACCTGGGGCTGCTTCGCTAGACGTAGTCGTAGGTCCTCCCGGAGGTCTCTGATCTCCCTCTCCATCATTGTCATTACTATGTGTCGGTTCTGGCGGTACAGGAATGCTCTTCATGGGTGCCGAATTGATGACGTTCGAATCAAAACTGGATGCTGACCTCTCCTGGTGCTGCGCCTCCGTTGTATGATTGTCTTCACTTTCATTATTCGGATTGAGAGTCCGCAGGTCCATAGTGGCCTTAGCGCCGGCACCGGGAGGACTGAAACTGGGACAGCGATCTTGCGACGACGTGCTGGGTTTGCGCGGCGGCATGTGCGCGAGTGGGTAGTTCGGAGATTCAGATCGCGGTAACTTCCGGCGGCGTCGTCCGGGGGAATTGGCGGTTTTTGAATTAGATCTCAAAAATTTGACGGACCGCTCATCATAGGTGCAGACACTCCGCGTAGTATTCGTACATCCTCGCTTATGGGACAGGGAAGAGGATGAGCTTGGGGCGAGACACGGGGCCTTTGCGGCGGACAAATCCGAAGGCGAAGCGCGTTTGTTACTGTTTGCGGGCCTGTTAAAACCCGGTGAATATAAAGCGGTAATTAGCAAAACACAGCCTCAATTGAAAATAGTAGTACTAGTAGTACTAGTAGTGACAGAGCAAGAGACTTGGGGGCAAAAGACTATTTATCTTCAAGCGATATATGTGGGGGGGGGGGGGGGGGTGCGTCGCCACTATTGAAACTAACCTTGCTGGGAATAGGCCTATAGGACCAGAAGCCCAACTCTCCCACCCCTCGTTGTTGGATGTGACATGACCGGGAGGAGTGTTCATGCTTGGGCAAGGGAGAGTCGGGCACTGATGGAAAGATTCTTCGGGGCATCTGACTATGTCAACCAAGAACATAAGACAACTGGCAAGCTGGCAACTGGCACCACGCACAAGGTCAATTTTTTTTTTGAAGTCTTTATAAAATAATAAGACAGCCGTCCAGTAGAAATTCCTGTGTTTGATGGTCTCTATCTCTACAAAACTACCCCGGATGGTCGCGGGTCTTTATACTTGAAACATATCATGCTTCAGCCTAGGATCAGCTGCATCGTAGCCTAGTCTTCCATCGGGGTATACACCCCGTACAACAACATGATGATGGGCAAACCAGCATCTTGCAGCCTTGTCTAGGGTATCTTTGCAATTTAAACCAAGGAAGGCTCTAACAGCCGCAGCCAACCTCGTGGCATGGGGGATCTGAACTTTGGTAGGCAAATACCTTAGCGTAATCCGATGACTAATCAATACCAAAAAGCCTACAAACAGGGGGTTGTGGTTGCCTTGTGGCGGGGGCGGTCCAGAATGCGAACCATTTGTTGCCCTTTATAACGCACCCTTCGGCAGCTCGGCTTGCCGGTTTCGATTTTGTTCTGGATTTTTCTATATTTTTTCTATATTTTTTCTATATTTTTCTACAAGTTTCTAGATGATCTTTATTTGATAGCTTATATCTACTACGAGTCATTACTAGTACTGATACGGAGTACTACCCGGTGGTAGCTATACACCATTTCGCACTCTCCATAGATACATCTCTACTACCTAGGCAGTCCCACAGTAGCGGGCAACCTATGCATGGTTCATCTGCAGTTCGGGGAATACTTGATTGGAGTGTCTGCCTACATACCCCACGTTGATTCATGAACCGCAGACCGCTACGGGTCAGCTGACTGTGAGTATATGCACTGTCAGGACCTCGTATGCTGCACTCGTCATCTCTGACCAAGATTGCCCGTATAGAACCTATCTGTGCACCAATAACTTTAAAAGAGTCGCAACCAAGGGTGATCATGCTATCTATGACGAACAGACGAACGGCATCAACTCTATACTTGTGTAAGGATAATACATCACACCACTTCACCCATCACCAAGCATTACGTGAGAAAGATCCGGTACTACCGCAGTTAGATTCTAGAGCCTCGATCATATGTTTGTTAATGGTGGAGGGGAGGACAATACCTTTCCCATAACCACTGCGCGACATATCGGACAGTTGACCTTCTTAACTGGTCTCGTGGGGTCATTTTTCGTCGCTGGGATGTGCAGGTCCGCGCACCATTGACAGAGGACCGCATGTCCACAAGGGATAATCACCGTATCGACCAGCTGGCTCATACAGATCTTGCATTCGAGCTTAATCATCATTTCGGAGCTTTCTTTGGCATCCGGCCGTCCATCGCCCATATTATCGAGGCAAGGGCCATTTCGAGCAGGGGGTTCTACCCTGACCCACCCTCCGTCTCGCCACTCAAGCGGGCTTCTTGCTCTAAGCATGTTCGGATTGTACCATGCATGGCCATGGGCAGGGTGATCCTGAACACGAATTTCGAACCCTCGTCTTATGGCTTCTCTCCTAACGAGCCTTTGCCATTGCTCGAGAAATTCAGTAGGCGGTTGCAAGCTGGATTGTCGGGGGAAAGAGTAGTTTGGACTCGGAGGTTGGTCGTAGCTAGGGCTATCGATCGCAAGATTTTGGAAGGGTTGTGATAGGGGATTCGCTGCTTAGAAGAGAGACACACATTAGCATCGATGGACCAATAGCAACCAGGGCTGTAACAGCATACATGGCCCGGGATTACCACCCGCGACGGCTGTACCTTGTGGTATAGCCATCCCTGAACTTCCTAGCATAGGATCCTCGGCGTACTGGCCAGAGGGACCTGTGGCGGTTTCTTCCATGTCGGCAGCCAAAAACGTCTCGCTTAGGATTTGAAGGTTCGCAAGGGTACTGACAATTTCTTCTCGAAGTACCTGAAGCTCTCCCCTCACCGTATCGATGGTCTCGTGGCGCGATTTTATTGAACGTCGAGGGTGAATAGGAGAGAACGGCGCAGCTGCAATCAGACTGGGCGCAGAGGTAAACGCAGGAAGCCTTGGCGAGCCCAAAGCAATCAACCTGTTCACCTGACCAGGAAAACCACAGAGACTCCAGTATTCTAAGGAGCAATGGACACAAGTGAGTGATGGGAGGGAAAAAGTGGCGGACACAGGAGAAACAAACAAAAGAAAACAGCAACGGTGGTGGCTATGGCAACATAGAACTCGACGACACGCAGTGAATGAGGGATTACAAACCCCAACACTTCCAGCAATATGCAGATGCAGAATATTCTACTGGTGTATCTTGTCTACAACCGTTGTTGACAGATAGCAGAATGTGACCGGCAGGAGTGCTCGAATATTGTTGCACACACCAACAGCAGATAGATGTATCCGACTTCAGACAACCAATGGCATGTTTGTGGATACAGCTGGATGAGGCACAAGTAAACATTATCCTGCTGGTATTGCGGAAGTATGGCGTTGAGAGGAACGACCTGCGAGACAGAACTGAAGTTGCTGTTAGCACGTCTTCTTCCAATGGACGAGAAACTGACCTAGATAACAAAGGTGAGATCGACGAGCGTATATTCAATAAGCGATCCTCAACGTAGCGAGGTTTTTGAACGTTCAAAGTAGTAGACGAAGGAATTCAATGGCGCAGGGAGCATAAAATACGGACAATAGAAGCGGCAAAAAGACGCTGACCCGCCTGTAGCTGGCGAGTCAGCCAGGTCCCTAGTCGACTTTTTTCACTTTTCAATCCACGAATTGGGGGAGAGCAAAGATAGACGATGGCGTTGAGGAGAAAAATGGAGAGAGACCTCCGACTGACGTCGGCGCAACGTCTTAGCGGGTGTTTCCGAATTGGGAAGTCGCAAGTGAAGGACTGTTTCCCCGCCAATCTACCCACTCCATTTACCCCATGCTCCATTCTGGTGGCCGGGGAACCGTACTTATCATTTTTTCCGTCTCCGCCATCATTATGTATCCCTGGCGAAATTGTCCGGATGCACTTTCCATGTGTACTTGCTTGCATTTACTAGTATGTGCACTTTACGTACACTGACTGATATCTCTTGTACGAAATCAGGGTCCCAACCCCGCCCTCAAGCCTCCCCAGGCCAAATCCTATCAGCAATGCGCCGAATAAGGCTCATCTTAGCCACCATATCATCCACCCCAACAGCATTCCCACTACTATGACTCGCAAATCCACACTGCGGACTAACACAAATCTGCTCCAGGGCTTCCTTCTCACTCCTCCCACTCCCCTTCGAAATATAACCCGCAGCGTCATATATCCTAGCCACCGTCGCATCGAAATCCTCCAGTTCCGGGTACTTACTGCTGACAACTCCCAGGACGACATTCTTGTTGTCTGGTAGGTACTGTAGAGGCTCAAAACCTCCAGCACGTTCCGTATCGAATTCCAGATAGAATGTGTGAACGTTTACTTTCTGTAGTAGCTCTTTTGCAATGCGGTCGTAGGGTCCTTCGGTGAAGTGTCGTGATTTGACAAAGTTTCCGCGGCAGAGATGCAGGCCGATGTGCATTCCTTGGGGACATTTAGCCATGATATTGTTGTAGACGTCGATGTACTTGGTGAAGAGCTCATCGGCAGTGCAATTGTTGCGCTGGTCGTTGTTGAAGTTTTCGATCATCTTTTCGTTGCAGAAATCTGAGCTCACATATTAATAGGCATTCGCGTAGAATGGTAGTGGAGTAGTGACCTACAGCACATATTCGGATCATCAATCTGCACATTTCGCAAACCATGGTCATACAAAACCTGTAGCTCCATCTGATATGCTGCGACAACATCCGCGAAATACTCGTCGTCATTTCCGTAGACGTCCTTTGGGTACGCAGAACCCTCCCTGTATCGCAAGTGATACCAAGTCGGGGCAGGGATGGTGAGTTTAATATCTCCATGTTTCTCTTTTGGCAGGATGCTTTGAAGGTATCTGATTTGGTCGATATGGTCCTTCGACGCTACAGATGTGTGCTTGATCTTTCCTGTACAGACGACAGTTTCACCGGGTTTGTAGTTTTTCTTAAGTAAAAAACAACGATCAGTCTTCACTACTCTGTAGATGCCCCTCACACTTTAAACTCAGCAATAATCACCTCGAGAAAAGCCCCAACATCAGGAACATAAGGTCTGAAGATCTCCACATCCGGTCCAACAACATTCGTCATACCCTCCAGATTCTCCCAAAACGTTCCCCAGAACATGTGTCGGCGATACTCCCCATCATTAATAGCACGGAAACCACAGTCTTGCTGCAACTTCACAATCTCATTCACAGCTCTGTCTTCTGCTTCGCGCAATTGCGCATCTGAAGCTTTCTTGTCGTTCCAGGCGTGTCGGACTTCCAATAGGTAATCTGGTCTTAGGAACGAGCCGACATGCTCAGAGCGGAAGGGCGGATTGTGATGTAATGGGAAACTCATGGTCAATTGAGAGTAAATAGAGAATCGGGATATGCGAACATCAATATGAGGGAGCGTTTACTCTTATAGTGCTACTATCCCCGCACGAATCCTGACCCGCCGGGATAGGGAACAATCCGACGGGCTGTAGGAGTATACAAAAGTACGCCCCGTTCATAACTTATGGATTTACGGATTTAGTTACTGGATTGCCGATTGACCAACAAGGGGTCAATTGCCGCTTGTTTTCCGCAGGGAAGAGTATGTCTCTATTGATACTCCGTTGATTGCGGGGTATCTTGCCAAAACCAGCCATTCAGTGAAGGGAAGTATTTCATAGAGCTTAGTGCAGCTACTGCGGCCTTGGTCGGGGATCACCGTGTTAATGCCTAGGTTTTCATAGGCACCAACAGCCACGATACCGAGCGATTAGGTTGAGTCTCCATATCGGAAGCTCAAATTGACAGCCGAAGTAATCAAGGCCCAATCCGATATCTGACGATGAGAAGAGAACTGTTTGACTTTATGCCTGCCTGGTTTCACTGTGCCGACTATTTTGTAGGACATCCACTCCGACCCCGACGGAGGCATAAGTGATCCTTCCGTCGGATCCAGACTAAGCTATCGGAGTAGTTACAAGGTAGACCTGGTCTGTCTGATCTGACTGTCTCGGTGCGGACCGCGGTACTGGATCCCGCATCTAATGACGTCATTCACCGCTCTCCATCCCAACGTCGATTTTTTAATTCTATAGACTACAACTCACGAGCGTACTCGCTTATGCTCTCCAGACTGCAACAACTAGGGTGGCACCTCCGGCCACAGTTACGACCGTCTCCGATTCCGCTTCTCAGATTACCAACGACAACCACACCAACTATGTCCACCTTCACAATCCCCAACCACTCCAACCTAACCGTCACCACAACCCCCGACCTTTCCCAAGATGACCTCCTCCAATTCCCCGCGTTCAAGATCTGGCTGTCAACCGTACAGCGCTCGCTAGAAAGACAGCAGAACCCCAAGCATGAATTCCACAAGGACCCATATGTCCTCAGAAAGATCGACATCCAATCGGTGGATAAATTCAAGGGGGGACGGCTGGGCTTTGTGAAGTTCCGGGCGGATGTGTCGAACTCGCAAGGGGAGGGTCTTCCGGGGAGTGTGTTTTTAAGGGGTGGGAGTGTTGGGATACTAGTCAGTGCCGTCGTTCTCCATCTTACAGCCCCATATGCTAACTATGTATCGATACAGCTCATCCTCCAACCCGACGACGTCCCCCCATTCAACGAAGACGAAAAACGCGCAATCGTAACAATCCAACCCCGCATCCCAGCCGGCTCCCTCGCCTTCTCCGAAATCCCTGCCGGAATGCTCGACGACAGCGGAACATTCGCTGGAGCCGCAGCGAAGGAAATTGAAGAAGAGACGGGACTGTCAATACCGCAGAATGAGCTTGTGGATATGACCTCGCTTGCACTGCAGACTATGCATGAACCGCAGGATGGAGAAGCTTTACAGAGAGCGGTTTATCCTTCTGCGGGCGGGAGTGATGAGTTTATTCCGCTGTTTTTGTGTCAGAAGAGGATGTCGCGGCATAATATCGAGGGGTTGCAGGGTCGGTTGATGGGTTTAAGACAGGATGGGGAGAAGATTACGTTGAAGGTTGTGCCTTTGAAGGATTTGTGGAAGGAGGGAGTGCGGGATGGGAAGACTTTGGCTGCGTGGGCGCTTTACAAGGGCCTTTCTGAAGAGGGACGGATTTGATACCAAGCTATTTATACCCGGGTTAAAGCCATATGTACAATCCTGGTTAAGCGTTTAGAGCTTCAACTTCTTCGCAAGCTCAATACCCTCCGCTATTGTCCCCACGCGAGCATCGATAGCATATCCCTCATTCTCCAACTTCTTGACCTCCTCAAACAACATACTCAACGGCACCGAAAAGCACTCGATAAATTCGTTATCCTCAAGCTGCGGCTTCGGATTCTGGTTCTCGGGAAGCGACATGTCCACGCGAACATGCACCATGTTCAGATTCGTATTACAGAATCCAGGATCTACCACATTAGCCACCATCCCATCTTTCACCCACCCAAGGAGACCAAAGAAAAACTCACCATTATACATAACACTACTCGTCTCCTCCGCAACCCCCACGTACCCAGTCTCCTCCTTCAACTCCCTAACCGCACACTCCTCAACACTCTCGTTCGGATCAATCAACCCAGCCGGAACCTCAATAACAACCATATCGATCGGGGGCCGGTACTGTTTCTGCAATAGCAACTCGGGACCGGTTGTCTTGTTCAGGATGGTGATTATGCCGACGCCGTCGATGGCGCAGCTTTTGGGGCGCGTTTGGCGCTCGGCGGATTCCCAGGTTCGTTCGATGCCGTTCGGGTCTAGGTAGGTTGTTTTGACGAGGCGGGCCCAGCGGGCTTCAGCGGGGTCCTATATCGTTATCTTCAGGTTAGTTCGTGCACGACGAGTAGCCTATGTTGGTAGTCGGGGAAGTGGTAGCCTACCAGCGGCCCCGCGGAGAGGAACTTGGATTTGGCGTAATTTGGCGTCGACATTGTAGCGTAATCAAGCGATACAATAAGCAGAAAAAAGTCAAGTAGGCTGCGTAAAGGGTATCAGGGTATCAAGAATGAAGCTGAAGCTGTGATATGACGTTCAACGAGGGATCGGGAGGGGTTGAGCTTTATTTCCATATTTGGTTAGTCTAATCGGAGGGCTGACCCTTATCTTATCTGAGATACAAAATAAGATAAAGATCCTCATACAGGGCGTTACAGACAGTGACTACAGGTCAGCTCACCGGCGCCATCTTCTGATGTGAGCTCAACTCACCGACGAGTCAGTAAATCACGTGACCTTTTCTTTGTTCCACCCCACTGGTGAGTTGAGCTCCCAGCTATAAATTACTGTACAGTTCCTTACTTTACCATCTCTGACAGATTTGCGGAGAAACATTGGAATACTTTGGAAATTAGTTAGCTCCATGGAAGTTGACAGTTTATGCATTAAACCGAGACGGTATGAATGCAAGAGAATTCATAGAATTCAACATCATGATATGTGTCACGGGCTCAGAATAGTAGATACTAACAAAATGATCTTCTAGTTTAAGGGCACGATTATGTGGTAAAGGTCAAAACAAAGTGAAATCAACTATTTGTGGGCGCCAGTGAGTCGACCCTCATATCAAGTGACCATCATGTGATAAAAAGTGGATCTCAGGTGAGCCGAGCTTAAAGGGCGCCGGTGAGCTGACCTGTAATTTGTTACAGACACTACAGACTCCTAAGCTAGCCAACTAAGGACTTCATGCTGCTCTTCCTTTACAGCGGAGTCTAAGGTCATGAAGCATGTTGATAAGGCTCATTCGACCCATATGTACTGAGTACGCAGGAATGGAGCCGGTCTGATCATGATTAAAAACAACGTGTACGCGGACTACAGTAATAACAAGGGATCATCTGTAGAACAGAGGATCTGACCAAGTGGATAGCAAATCTAGTCCCCTCTCTTGTGGAACCCTCCGAAACCCAGTCAATCCGCAAACAGCGAACATCCCGACCCACCGGGTACGATAGTGAAACAAATGACACATAATGGCATTGTCCAACAATGCCGTTGTAACTCTTTACTCGGCTCGGGCATTTGCGGAAATGGGATGGTTGGGTGACTGTGTTACCACACCGAGATATTTATGGCTGGTCCTATCATAGCCATTATAATGTCTAGTGCTTATGCTCCTAGTCTGCATTGATCCCCTCAGATCCGAAATTCCCAAGGAAAAAGAAAATCCTGTACATTAGCAGATCACCGGTGACGCACTACGGCAATACCCGGTGCTAAAGCAGAAAATTGGAGAATATGCACGATTGGTGGAGAACCATTTTTATTGTATTCTGCAGGCTACAGACAACTTTATTGAATTGGTATCACTGCCCATAAGAACCTGTCTATGGTACAAGCTTCATAAATAATGCACAGGAGAAAGTAAAGTAATGCTAGGGAATCAACCGATCCATAACCCATAAAAAAAGAGAAATCCATAGCTCCGTAACGACCAACGCTCGCGTTATCGTGACTTCATGCGATAGTTTCGAATAAAAAAAAATTAGTCGTATCGTAAAGGGCGAAGAAAGAAGGAAAGTAGAGTATCGTGGAGTTTTAAGAAGCCTCGATCTCGCCAAGGCACTTCTCGAACTCGGTCCAGTCCTTCATGACGACCTTGGCACCGAGTGTCTCGAGCTGCTGAGCCATCTCCAACTTCTTGTTGTCATCGGGGTAGCTTCCAACGTAGGCGATGCAGTGGATGCCGGCACGGATGGCGCTGAGCGCACCAGACTTGCTGTCCTCGATGGCAACGGTCTCCTCGGCCTTCTTGCCGCACTTGTCAAGAGCGTGGAGGTAGATGGCGGGGTCAGGCTTGGAGGTAGGCTTGGCCAAGGAGCTGGCAGCACTGAAGACCAATTCGGGGTCGAGCCACTTGTCCTGGCCGACCTTCTTGATGGAAGCCCGGACACGGCGGAGAGCGGACGAAGAGACGACGGCCATGTCATACTTCTTAGAGTTGTAAAGGTTCTCCAACACCTCGTTGACACCGATGCAAGGCTGGGCCTTCTCGTTCAACTTCACGATGACCTTGTCCTCCTCCTTTTTGACGTAGTCCTCCAGATCTTCCTTGGACAACTCGAACTTGTACTTGGCCTGAAGAGAGATCATCATACCACGGAAGTTCTGACCGACAAAGTCCTGGATGAGCTGAGAGCCGGTGTAACGGTCCGGGATGCCACGCTTCTCGAGAATCTCGTTGGCGAGATCAGCACACGCCTCGAAGGCCAACTCTTCCGAGAGGACGAGGGTGTTGTCACAGTCGAAGAAAAGTTCAGTGATCTGGAGAGTTGTCAGCTGAGACGAATAAGAAGCAAGTAGTCGATAAAACGAACCTTAGGCATGGTGACTGATGTGGGTAGAGTACGTAGAAGTGTAGAGTATCGGAGAAGAGATGCGAGTCGGAGAAGAGATGCGAGTGGTAGAATCGAGGACGGTAGAGTGGTGGCAAGAAAGGACGAAAAGAAGTAGGAGAGAAAGAGATTATTGGTGTTAAGCGAGTTGATGTGGTGAAGTCAAGATGAGTGAATGATGGCAAGGGAGAAAGGTGGCTTAAGTATTCGCTCCTTCCTGAGACACCACAACGGCTGTGAAATCACTAGTCATTCCAAACTCGGAAACAAGCGGGTCGGACTCCACCGAATTGAGGTCATATCGTGACGTTCGCGATTGGGCAGGAATGACCAATAATAATCCAAGTTTCCGGCTAAAACCGGGTCTGCTGTGGCACTAGAAGGCTACCATTCCTTGTTTAGGAAACGCTCAGCTACCTCCTCCAGCTAAACCACTTTGGGAATAGGGTCATAATTCATGGAAAGACGGAGAATCCAGCGTCATTAATTAATTGCCTGCGAATCGAATCGAAGGGCTTCTGTATTCGGGACATGTGAAGCCATACTAACCCGGTGCTGCCCAATACAGGAGGTAGGCCGTGCGTTATCAGTTGAGTTGCTAGGCAGAGTACGCATTCTTGCTCTGTATGCACGGAGTAAATCATGCCAAGTATGTGTAGATATGGGAGTCATGATATCAAGTCACTCTATGAAAGATTCAAGTTAACAAGATTCCATCATGCCAAGTCCGTATTAGTTCACGAAATTGACCATGCCTCGGAGTCTACAATTCTATCCCGATTCAGCCTGGTGCCGGACTTGTACCTTGAGCGATTATGCACGAGATGACCGATTGGTTCTCCTGTTGATTCCAGACAGATTATGCTCCGTACTACAATGAATGCAACTGTTCTAGGCAATTCTTCCTTGATTCCAGCACTATTCTATTCCGTACTTGATACGGTGTCTATTTTGGAATAGCGCTTAGTATCTTCCAGAAGATACCAATCACTATACATAGTAAACGGAGAGTCTCAAATTCTGGCACCGGAGTCTATGTACTGCTATGTACGACTCCTATGACCTGAGCCCCACGCTATCCTACTTGTATACAATCTGTAAGCTGATTGGCCACATTCCATGAAATGTACCAATCCACTCCTCCGTGAAAATTGTTCTGGTCGATGATTCGCAGAAACCCCTCTTTTTTCTATCATTTTCTTCCCTGTCTCTCGCTTCTGATATTCCACGAAGTAAACAATCAACCATGGGTACTTCCGAGCCATTCCCCGTGTCTTTATCGGACCTACACTTCCCCTCCACAGAACAACAGACCATTTCCCAGACTCTCTCCTCGCTGCGCCGGTCAGCCCTCTCCATCACCAACCGCCTCCGTTCCGTGCAGTCCGATGCCAGTTTCGTGCAGGAGGTTGCAGACCACTACGATCTGCCGCTGGTTGCCAATGAGCGCTGCGGGAGTTGGTATATCCCTCCCAACGCCAAGGCTGGCAGCGCATACTTCAAAAGCACAGACGGCCATACCGGGCAGTGGGACTTTAGCTTTCGTAGGCTGAATTTGCAAGTTTTTCCTGTTGCGAGGGAGCACGGGGGGTGAGTTTAGTTTACTACTTTTACTGTAAGAGTGGCACTAACTGCGCAGATGTATTATCGTGGATTCTACCCGTCGGGGGAAATGTAAGTCTCTAATCCCGGGGTCTTCATATATTATCATCCTTTAACATGCAACCTTCCCTTTTGGTCAGTGATGCCTGATGCCCTCTCCAAGACCGTTCCAATATGGTGCGCTGTCGTCAATCGGGCCTTGTTCCCCTCCGAAACGGACTATCACGCCGTGGAGTTTCCGCCGGAGTATCTGCCGGCTTCCGAGGAGTCGCAGATTGAAAACAGAATTGATAGTTTTGTCCAGTCTCTCAAGGTACCTTTACTCTCTATGTTCGTGTTTAAATGACAATAACCGACAAAGTTAGGACCTCAAACTCGACCTAGACAACCTACGTCAACAACTAACCAAACCCATCCGCGTGGCATGGGCCAACCGATCCTACTTCTACCCAACCGACCTACCCAAAGACCCCAAATACAACCTCATAGTGCTATGCTCCGCCTCCAAGCGCGTGCACGGCGCCGAAATGTCCGAAGGCGGCTACATCCAAGGCGCGGGGGATGACAGCGAAGGCTGGGCTCACGGACTCACCCCGCCCGTTTTCTGGGCCAACCAGCCCGTGCTCTTCTCCACGCACGAGGAGGATTTGCCGTCCGTCATACAGGACCTCGTGGATGAACACCGGCGACAGGATACGGGTCATCAGGCGATCCTTGTTGCGCCCACTAAGAATCTGTATATTAGCCAGACGGATCCAAGCTTGAATGAGAGTGGGCGCTATGACCTGGTCATTGATTGTAACGGTGGCCCTGAGGCGGAGGCGGTGCAGGGGAATCCGAGAAGGCTGAATTTGGGGTGTGGGCATTCGAAGTTGGGGAGTCGGGATCTGAGGAAGCAGTTGGATAAGGTCAAGGAGTTTGTGGAGACGCAGATGGCTAAGGATCCGAGTAGTTCGCTGCTTGTGACTTGTGAGACGGGGAAGGATTTGTCTCCGGCGGCTTTGCTCGCGGTTCTGTGTTTGTTCTACAATGATGATGGTAAGTTAAGTCAGGCCAGGGCTCCTTAGGACCAGCGCTAACTACTGCAGGCGAGTTTATCACATCTCCAGCAAGCCGTGTGATAGAAAAGCAATTCATTCGCCAACGTCTCGCCTGGATCGTATCGTCCAAGCACGATGTCAACCCTTCTCGCTCAACACTTCAATCAGTCAACGCTTTCTTAATGTCATGACGAACACATGGTATTAAATCGAGTCGCTATCGAACAAAATGTACAGAACAAATATACAATGCACTTTACTCATTCTCAACCGCCTCGACAATAGCCCCCGCACTTCCCTGATCAAGCGCGTTCAGCACAGCCATGTCCTCCTCGCTGATATCAAAGTCGAAAATACTAGCGTTGGCAACGATCCGGACCGGGTCGTCTGTCTTGGGCAGCGGTACCCATTGCTTCTGCAGAGCGTAGCGAATCAAGACCTGCTGCGTCGTTTTTCCGTACTTAGTGGCAAGCTCAACCAGCGTAGGGTCGTTGGCTTTGTAGTTGCGAACAATAGGCGAATACGCTTCCACAACGATACCGTTCTTCTTGCAGTACGCATCGATCACGCGTTGTTGGCTCCAGGGGTGGAGCTGCACCATTAGCACCAAAACATCCCTATACCCTCGGATGACTGCGACTCACCTCAATCTGATTCACATGCGGCGGCCACACCTTCGCCCACGGCTTAAGCTCCTCAATATGCTTAACCCCAAAGTTACTAACCCCAATAGCCCTCGCCTTCCCCTCCTCATACAACCTCTCCAACGCCTGCCAAAGCTGCTTCCTCCCCGCACTCCCAGACCCCGAGCTATGAATCAGGAACAAATCCACATACCCCCCCGCACCCCCAACCTTCTCAACACTAGCCAGCAGCTTGTCATATGTAGCCTCCGGCGAGCCCGCAGGACTCAGGATCTTAGTCGTCGCGAAGATCTGGTCGCGCGGGATTCCCGATTTCCGAATCGCCTCGCCGACTTCGGCTTCGTTCGCGTAGAATTGCGCCGTGTCGATGTGGCGGTAGCCGGCTTCGAGGGCTTTAAGGCACGAGGTCACGCATTGGTTTGTTGGAGAGCGGTAGACGCCGAAGCCGAGGCGGGGTATCTGGACGGAGGTGCTGGGGAGGGGGAGGGTGTCGGTGATTGTGTAATTGGGCATTTTGTTCGTTTTCGATCAGCACGGCTGTGTCGATTTGCGAGAGTTGTGTTGAAGTGGAATTGGTGGTGTAGAGAGTGGTAAAGGTCGGCGCGAGGTGAGTTGGTTTTGAAGCTCTTTTGCCCCGCCGTCGGAAATGATATCATCACGGGCCGGGTTTATTGCGCAATTCTTTCTGTGAGTCAAATAGCGGTACCTTTTCAGATTCTGGATTTTTCTATAGATGTTGTTGATCACGCAATATCATATTGGACAGGGAAATTTGCATATTTATTTGACCGGTGTCTACAGTCTCGATGCCTGAGAACTCCCCTGATACCTGCGTTGAAATGACCTGCCTATGAGAGAATGAGTACCAGGGATTGGTTTCTTCGCCATGGACGTTATGCTCACTGGACTTGCTCTCACAAAAAAATTTCTCCAATAATTCTTGCTCAAGCATCACTATCTATACTTCAGTAGCTTTCTATGTCCCCATCCAAGCAGGCACTAAGAGGCGCAGCCAAACAAACCCATGAAGCCAAAAAAGACGCGCCTTACGAAAGAACAAGAGAAAAGCACGTCAGAGGGAGCTCTTACGAATGAATCTCAAATTCAACGTGCCCTTGCATCGCTAGAAACGGTCGGAGCTCACATTGAGAATCCCTCTCTCGAAACAGCAAAGCAAAGACTACAACGCTATCAGGGAGTTACAGCAGAAGATCGAACTGACTATTTGGTCTTGGAGCTGCTTTAAGTCCTCCCTCCTGTTGGACAGAGAAATTTGTGCTGTGATGTATTTACGCGGGATAACGACCAGCTCCAGAAACTCAAGAGGGAGCTCCGGGAGTTCCTTTTTCATCCTTGTAGGACTTTCGAATGTCCTTTCATCGATATGTCCTGTTTGATGCGTGTCTAGTGAAAGCTACCAGCGGGAAAACGCCAAAAATAAGCCCTGTTGGTAGTGACGATGACGGTCCAGATCCGGCTCGGGCTGATCTGTCTAAATTAAGAGGAGATGTCCTACTTCGAGATAACAACCGCTGCATAATCTCCGGACATTACGATGTCTATCAAATACCCCGGAAAGAGCGAGAAGGTTTGCTGACTACATATACTTCATGTTCACACATCTTTCCGTATTTATCGGGGCCTAGCACGTTGAATGGTATATTGACTGACGGAGAAGTAAGTAATATCAATCCTTTCTTATTGAAACATTACTAAAAAAAAATTCTAGTTGAGTAGGGTCTCTCGTTTTTGGGCATTCGTCTACCGATACTTCCCGAATATCAAAGGGGTATTAGACATGAACAAGCCAGGGGAGATCAATGCCCGGCGTAATACAATGACAGATGATAGCATATTGTATACTGCTTTCGCGAGCTTTCAGTTGACGTTGGAACCCCTTGGGGTATGTCTGTTTCTCCTATATTCTTTTTATGCTAATTATCTAGGGCCATACCTACGACATCAGAACATTTGATGGATTCCCCAACCCTCTACAACAGATGGTTGCCTAAAGACAGACAAGTCTACTTTCAAACTACAACGGACATCAAACTCCCGGATCCAGAACTCCTGAGAGCGCATCATGCAATAGCGGGATTCCTTCATGCAAGTGGAATCGGGGAAGAAATCGACAGGATTCTAGAAGGTGACATGGAAGCTGAGGAGACATAATCCTTCTGGTATCGATTTAGAAAGGGTGAATCACTTGCTTACCGCCATCAATTAACCTAACAATAACTCAGGGGTACTTGTATTTATAGCTAGTCCGAATAAACTACGCATAGAACCATAGAAAGCGAGTACCATCCATGGCTTCGCGGTTATTACTGTGGAGGAGGCTGGTGATTGGGTGGCAATACCGTTCCGTACCGTACCGCTGGCAATCGCAGGGGCACATGGCGGTACGGCTTCGATAACGACATTCCACGGCAGAAACACAGTCAACATCCAGCCTCTTTTTTTTTTTTAGTATTCTTCTTCTTCTTTAACTACTTGTCAATTATCCCTCTTTCACGGATTTGCTGCATCGTGAAAGATTCTTTGTGTTCTATTCTTCTTTATTGACCCCCCCCCCCTTCATACTCCGTCCCTCTTACCGACTCCGCGATTGGAGAAAAGGAAAAAAAGCGGTTCCTTACCAACTCAACCCAACCTTAGCAAAAATTCCAAGCAGAGCAGCCCTGGATGCCGCTATAATCCAGCATCCTCTTTAATCATGTTGCAGGTCGAGAAGCAATGGATTAATGTGCAGCAGAAGACATTCACCAAATGGTCAGTCGCATTTTGTTTATCGTGGTCCCCTCTTCACCCCCTCCGTCCCTCCTTGCCCCTCGGACGAAGCGCCGGGGAGTTTGTGCCTGAATTCTCCGTTGTGTCGCTTTCTCTATTGACTGATGTGGAAAAAAGACCTGTTTGCTAACTATTGCCACTCTACAGGCTCAATGACAAGATCAAGGTTCGAAATGTCTTAATCGATGATCTCGTGGTCGACCTCTCCGATGGTGTGAGTCCTCACCCCATACCCCGATATTCCTGTCGACTTTGTGCGGACAAGCTCGAATAATTTCGCATGAACTAACGTTGACCGTTGCTCTCCTAGGTCATCCTCATCCACCTCCTGGAAATCCTCGGTGCAGAGTCCCTAGGTCGATATGCCTCGAGACCCAAGCTCCGCGTGCAGAAATTCGAAAATGTCAACAAGAGTCTTGATTTCGTCAAGGGGAGGGGGATCCAGATGACCAACATTGGAGCGGAGGATGTGGTTGATGGAAACAGAAAGATTATCCTGGGTCTGATTTGGACGCTCATTTTACGGTTCACCATCAGCGATATTAACGAGGAGGGTATGACCGCCAAGGAAGGTCTGTTGCTGTGGTGTCAGAGAAAGACAGCTTGCTACGACGGTGTCGAGGTCCGCGATTTCTCTACCAGCTGGAATGATGGCCTGGCGTTCTGTGCTCTTCTCGATATCCATCGTCCCGACCTGATCGACTACGATGCTCTCGACAAGAGCGACCACCGCGGAAACATGAAACGTGCGTTCGATATTGCGGCCAACGAAATTGGTATCCCCGATTTGCTCGATGTCGATGATGTTTGTGACGTTGCGAGACCCGATGAGCGTTCGCTGATGACCTACATCGCCTACTGGTTCCATGCCTTTTCTCAACTGGAGAGAGTGGAGAATGCCGGTCGTCGTGTGGAGAAGTTTGTCAACAACATGCACGGAGCGTGGGAGATGCAGAACTCGTACGAACGACGAATGAAGGAACTCATCCGCACGATCCGAGGGCAACGTGATGGGTGGAAGAACTCTTCCTTTGAAGGAACATACAAAGACGCCAAGGAGCAGGCCCGCCAATTCTCGCTTTACAAGAGAAACCACAAGCGTCAATGGGTTGCGGAAAAATCGGACTTGGCTGCTCTCCTGGGCAACATTAAAACCAAGCTCAGTACCTACCGGCTGCGTGCCTACGAACCCCCACCGGAGCTTACTCCAGATGCCTGCGACCAGGAGTGGGAGTTACTGACAAAGGATGAGCATGAACGTAGTCAACTCATCAACGAAACCATCCGAGATATCAAGAACGCCCTGCGTCGCTCCTTTGCGGACAAAGCCAATGACTTCGCCCTTACCCTGAAAACCCTCTCCCTTGCTATTTCCGGTCTCGACGGTGATGTAGAAGACCAATTAGCTCATGTTCGGAGACTCAACGACAACCTCCCTCCCCTTGATGCCTTCTTAGATACCATTGCCGCAATAGATGAGCAGTGCGCGGAAGCCAACATTGAAGAAAACGACTACACCACATACACCCTAGACGAACTTTCGTACGAGCTGAGCCTGGTCAAATCCAGCATTTCCAAGAAACTGGCGTTCTTGGACAATCAGCTTGTGGCCCGGAACATGACGAACCTCACACCGATTCAGCTGGAGGAATTCGAATCTGTATTCCGGCACTTTGATCGTGACTCATCCAACACACTGCAAGAACTGGAATTCTCTGCTGCGTTGGCGAGTTTGGGTCTTGTATACGATGAGGACGAGATGCACGATGTCTACGTTGAGACGTGTGGCCCTGCTCGGCTTCAACAGAATGCTGGTGTCAGTTTCGAGCAGTTTATTCGGTTTATGGTCAGTGTCACGGAGGATCAGAATACGGCAGAGCAGGTTTTCCAGAGTTTCAAGGAGGTTGCAGATGGAAAGGTATGTTTTGTCCGCCCTAGGATAAAATCAAGAAACTAACGCGTGTCTTGCAGCCCTATGTCACAGAAATCGACCTTCGACACTCCCTTATTCCGGACGAAGTTATCGAGCACCTTGTTCAAACAATGCCGCAGCATGATGGCCCCGATCTTATGGAAGACAGAGATCTTCCGAAGTACGACTACATCAGCTTCATGGAGAAGTTAATGGAAGCCAACAACAACAACAACAACAACGACGACGACGACGGCATAAGCGAGGTGTCCGCCAATGGAGATTAACTGCATTATTCGATTCATCCAGCATTTTCGGTTGTTCAGGTTTTCGTTTCTGTTTTACTTTATCTGTTTTTTTGGGTGCTCTATGGGTGTTCTCTGGAGCTCGGAGGGTTTGGCTCTTGACTGGCGACCACATTGATCATGCATACATTTTTCTTTCTTCTTGTATTGTTAGTTTCTGGTTTTCTGTTCTCTCTTTCTTTGATGCCTTATATCCGAGCTCATGGGATGACTACGTTGTGTGTACGCCACAATTGGGGAAATGGGGGTAATAACTAAAAACAATAGAAATCATGTTAATGGTATCTGTCACATACTTGTACAGACTGATCTTAAAATAGAGCATAAAGTGGTCCAATTGGCGTGTATATCACGTGACCCGATCTGCGGGAATCAATGAAGCGCGGCGGAGAGCTTGTTTGTTCCTCGCCAGCTATTCGATTTCTCCCATCAAGCCGCGCAAGTCATTGCCTTTATCACAATATATTATCCTTTTTGGATTATTATTTAACGTTCTTCATCCTCACCTCGACCCTCTTGCGACACGTCCAAAATGGACCGCACCTTGGACGAGATCATTGCCGAACGTCCTGTATGTCTAACAGCTCTGCATCGACAAACGACGAGAGAACTAACGGCCTAGCAGCAGAGACAACCCCAGAACCAGAACCGTGGTGGTCGCCGCCCTCAAGGCCGTCGCCATGATGGCGTGAAAAAGGTATTACCTTTTTTTTTTTTTTTTTTTTTTTTTTTTTAGGGAATTGCGCTGACATGTCGGGTTTCTCTGAAATAGGTCCTCCCTCCTGTTCTCCTTTCGAGCTTTCCTCCTCCTCTACCTCTATCTCTACCTCCTCATACTCTCCTCGCATGGTGAAACAAACCAAAAAGAAAAAGGCAAAAAAAAAAGAAAAAAACGCAAATGCATTCGCTGGCTGGACCTGTCGTTTCAAAAGACGCTACACCGCGAGGGACGGAGCTTTTTTTTTTTAACACAACGCAACGATAACATAAGTTTGACTTCGAGCTGACCTTTGTTTTCTCTCTTTTTATTTATGACAACAGTCCTATAGAGAGGATAAACCTGATTTGGATCTGTAATTATCCGTCCCTTACACTTGTTGATGGCTTTGAGCGATGCGAATTGATTGCTGACAGGGTTGGGAATAGTGATTGGGTCCACGACAAGTACGAAGATGATCGAGAGTGTATGTTTATGTCGATACATGGTGATGGTTTTTGTGGTGTTGACTGTTTTCTAGCTCGCCCGTCCCGCGCTCCGAGACGCCAGAGAGGTGATCGTTACTCGCCGTTGCCTGACGACCGGTATGCATTCTCCTGGTCAGTCTAAATTTGCTAGAGGTTGCTAACCATGATAGTACCTCCGCACTAACGAAGATTCGCGTCGAGAACCTTCACTACGACATCACAGAAACTGATCTCGAGGTTCGTCATTACTCGACACCACCACATGCGTGTCACGCTAACTAGCTAAGGACCTATTCACTCGAATCGGCCCCATCCTCAACCTCTCCCTGGTCTACGACCGCGCCGGCCGCTCCGAAGGCGTCGCCTACGTAACCTACAACCGCCTCAGCGACGCCAAAACCGCAATCGGCGAATTCGACGGCGCAAACGCCAAGGGCCAGCCCATCCGCCTCACACTCATCCCCGGCGGCGGAGGCAGAGGAAGACAGCAGGACCGCAACCCCTTCGACAAAGTGGAGAGACCGCGAGGCAGCCTTCTCGACCGTGTCGAGCGGCCTCGGGATTCTCGCAGTCTGAGCCCGGAGGGCGCCGAAGGCGGACGACGCCGGCGCGGCCGTGGTGGTGCTGGACCTGCTGGCCGCCGCAGTGACGTCTCCAAGCCACCACCGGAGAACATCGATCGCTACGTCCCCGGCCAAGGCCGACGATCGCCGACACGCAGAAACGGAGGAGACAGGCGACGAGGAGGAGGCCGTCGCGATGACGGGAACAAGGCGGCTAATGGCCGGCCTCGCAAGACGCAGGAGGAGCTCGACCAGGAGATGGAGGATTACTGGGGTGGTTCTGCGAATGTTGGAGCTGGAGCTGCGGATCAAGAGGCTGTTCAGGATGAACCGCAGCAGGTTGCGCCTGCTACTACGGCTGCTGCTGGGGATGACGATGTGGATATGATTGAGTAGAGGTGCCATCTCGCCATCTACGGTTCTTTTTTGTCTTAATTCTCCATTCTGTTATGTCGATTGGTTTAAACAGGTAGATTCCAACTTGGTTATTTGGGTTTGGTTAATATGATTTCATTGTAGTATTCACCACTAGTATTAGTTGAGCAATACAGGAATATGCATATTCATGGGTATTACCATAGCCTCAGCACTCTGGCATCATTCACACCGTGCCATATTCATCAACAAGAGACCGCACCGCAAGGCTGTTCTGTCTACCGCCACAACCCATACGACTCCCGACAAGCCTTCCACAACTTAATAGTCCCATCCTCACTCCCAGTCCCATAAAGCTTCCCATCCGGTGAGAAACTAACAGACCAAATCGGCCCGTGATGCCCCTTCTGAACCTCCAATTCCTGTCCCGTATGCAAATCGTAAACACGCGCCCATGTATCCTCCGCACTACCCGTGACCAACCGTCCAGACTCGCTGTTCACAGCCACGCTCGCCACGTCGTATGAGAAATCGATCTTCTTCAGCATCCGGCCCGGGTTCATGCCGTCGAATAGGTATACGGATTTACCGGCTGCCACGGAGAGAATACCCGGGTCGCTGGGGCGGAAGGCGAGACTGTTGAGTTCGCAGCTACCGATTGGTCCGTCGACGGTGTATTCGAGGACGGGGTGACGGGAGCGGAGGTCCCACCAGCGGATTTTGCGGTCTTCGGCGGCGGTGGTGAGGATATTGTAGTCTCTGTTCCAGATGATGGATTTGATGGTGCCGCCGTGGACGCCCGGGCCAATTTCGTAGCTTGTCGGGTCAGGGTTGGGTTGGGTTCCTGTGGGGGAGGAGGAGGTACTGTTGTCGCCGCCGCGGGTGAGGTCGAAGATGCGGAGTTTCCTTTCCGCGCCTCCGGTGGCTAGGATTTGGGGGTTTTGTTGGATGGGGAATGCCACTGCGCGGCAGATGTGGGCGTGTTGAAGGGTGTGGAGGCATTCGCCGGTGTGGGTGTCCCAGACCTTGCTGTGGTTTGTTAGAGGTTGCCCGGACGTGAGGTCGACGCAACTTACGCTGAGAAATCTGCTGCTGCGGTGGCTGCTATGTTGGCGTCCGCGGAGAGTCGAGCTTGCCAGACGGCTCCCTTGTGGCCGAAGAAGGTACCGATCCTAGGATAGAGCATCAGTAAAGCAATTCACTATCGTGATATGAAGATAAGACCAACCAATCACCAGTAATGCCATCCCGGAGCATAGGGTTGTTGTCTACAACGGTTATTTCCTGACATAATCAACCATAAAAAGAAAGACCTACCCTTGCAAGCTGAAATAAGGTAGTACTGATCATCCTCAACAGTGGAAGAAAAGTTGAGGTGTGGCACAGGACGAGAATGTCCGTGACAGGTTAGAGGTACCACCTTCGGGATGTCTTAAACAACGGTCAGCCGCAGTCTGTTGAACCTCAACCCGGGAGACACAAAACCCAACTAACCTGAAGCCATTTCAAAAGATGAAGCTTGAAATTGAGGATACAAAGGTTTGGATCCTTCAATGGAGACGAATTCGCGTCCAATCCCAGAGTCGGTCAAAGGAACGATCGATCTTGATTTCAGCACGGAGCACCACACGGACCCAGTAAATCAAGTACAGAAAGTCAAATGAATGGTCGTAAGTAAACCGAACAGACACGTCGAAACAGTCAGAGATATATGCAGAAAGGATAGAAGGAAATTCGTCAGGTTCGTCAATTCATCAACAGGACGGTGGGGGGGTGCAAACGGATGAAGAGAAGGGAAGGTGAGAAAGACGACACGGGAAAAAGGGAAAAAGAGACTGGACGGACGGAACACCCAGTCCTTGGACAATTATCGAGTATTATTGACAGAGAAAGCAGAAACAAACAGGGACTCGGCCCATGTAGCGAAACAGACCGGGAGGAGAGTCTGTAAGTCTGCTTTGATACTCGTCCAAGCCAAAATGTCCGATGGCTTGGCGCTATGCCGAGTTGGGACTAGTGGCTCTGCACGTGAGGCGCGTAGTTGGACTTCGATTGTATGGCTACTATGTACGGAGATGAGGTGCCACTTTTCCGACATAAAATAGCAACTACTACTACTGTACGGAGATGAGAAACTCTCTGTTTAAAAGCAAACATTCAAGGATATAATGTAATAGTCAGGTTCAGCAGTGCTGTATCTATCATTGGCTACGTATTCCCTTACAGTAGTAGTATTCTCGATTCATCCAGCTTCAGCATTCTCATCAGCGTCCTTACTCTATACATAGCATTGCATAGACTAGAACATGTAAAGCAATACAGACAAGCAATATCAAGCTATCATTGCCATAGTAGAAGTGCTCAAAGATATACAAGTATACATTTCTAGCAAGTTCCAATACGACTCCACCGCCCACGTGATATGATGTACGATTGACCCCGACCAACAAGTCATTCACTATTATCAATCCACCTCTTTTTGTCCTTTTGTCAATAGATTCTTTCTGCTGGATTCTGCCACTTTTACTCTTCCCCTATACTTCCTCTACCTCCACGACTCTGCGGTGACAGTCGTATGTATGGCTGACTTCAAGATCTCCGCGTCTTTGGAAGGCCACGGCGATGATGTAAGGCCCGCTCCGGCAATAGCCAAACAACCCCTTAGCCACCTTCACCATCCAAATACTGATGACTTTGCGATTTTGTCTCACAGGTCCGTGCCGTGGCTTTTCCAAACCCCAATGCTGTGCTGTCAGCTTCTCGAGATGCAACAGTTCGTCTGTGGAAGCTGGCCTCTACCCCGCCGCCGGCTTACGATTACACCATCACCACTCACGGCACAGCGTTCATCAACACCTTAGCATATTACCCTCCAACGCCTGAATTCCCCGAAGGACTGGTCTTCTCAGGTGGTCAGGATACAATCATTGAAGCGAGACAACCGGGAAAGGCAGTTGATGACAATGCGGATGCTATGCTTCTGGGTCATGGTCACAATGTTTGCTCATTAGATGTTTGTCCTGAAGGAGGATGGATTGTCAGTGGAAGCTGGGATTCTACGGCAAGACTATGGAGATTTGGAAAGTGGGAATGTGATGTTGTGATGGAAGGCCACGAAGGTAGTGTCTGGACGGTGTTGGCTTATGATCAGAACACCATCATCACTGGTAAGGACCTTGGTTGCGTGCGACTATCTGTCAGACACTCACACGCTTTATAGGCTGCGCCGATAAGATCATCCGGATATTCGATACGGCCGGAAACCCCTTACGAAGCATCAAAGACTCCCGTGACGTCGTTCGTGCCCTCTGCAAATTGCCCTCATCCCATCCCACTGGCGCGCAATTTGCCTCCGCGGGTAACGACGGGGTAATTCGGCTTTTTACCATTCAGGGTAAACAGGTTGCGGAGCTACATGGCCATGAGAGTTTCATATATTCGTTGGATGTCTTGCCGTCTGGTGAATTGGTGAGCTCCGGCGAGGATCGAACTGTTCGGGTGTGGAATGGGACACAATGCGTGCAGACCATCACCCATCCTGCGATATCCGTATGGGGTGTCGCTGCTTGTAAAGAGAATGGAGACATCGTCACCGGTGCAAGTGACCGGATAACCCGGGTCTTCAGCAGAAGCATAGAGCGCCATGCGAGTCCGGAAGTGGTGCAGCAGTTTGACGGGGCCGTGCGAGAGTCCGCCATTCCTGAGCAACAAGTAGGAAAAATTAATAAAGAGAAACTACCAGGTCCCGATTTCCTCAAGCAGAAGTCTGGCACCAAAGAGGGTCAGGTGCAGATGATCCGAGAACACAACGGCAGCGTTACGGCCCACACGTGGTCGTCAGCCACACAAGAGTGGATAGCGGTGGGCACGGTTGTCGATGCAGCTGGCAGCGGGTCAAAGACAACATATGCTGGGCAAGACTACGATTATGTTTTCGACGTCGACGTCGAGGACGGCAAGCCCCCTCTCAAACTTCCATTCAACGTCTCACAAAACCCGTACGATGCGGCAACCAAGTTCATTGGGGACAACCAACTGCCCGTCAGTTACCTTGAACAGGTTGCTCAATTCATCATCCAGAATACACAGGGTGCTACTCTCGGTCCGCAGGAAGCCACCGGTGCTGATCCTTGGGGTACAGAGAATCGGTATCGCCCTGGAGAAGCGGAAGCTCCCTCCGTGCCTGAGTCGCGGCCACAAGTCCTTCCTCAGAAGTCGTACCTCTCGATTAAGTCTGCTAACCTAAAAGTGGTCGCCAAGAAGCTCCAGGAGCTAAATGACCAGCTTGCGTCTTCGGGGTCAAAGGAAATCTCGCTCGGGCCTTCCGAATTGGATACAGTTATTGCGCTATGCAGCGAACTCGAGTCGTCCGGAACCCTTAAACAATCGCCAGCAGTCGAGGCCGGAGTGAGCTACCTGTTCAAGGTCGCAACGACGTGGCCAGTCGCGAATCGACTCCCTGGTCTGGATCTCCTCCGTTTAGTAGCTGCAGCAACTCCAGTCACCGCAACGACAGCATACAATGGGCAGGATCTTGTGTCTGGTATCCAGTCGAGCGGTGTATTCAACCCTCCTTTGAATGTGAACAACGCCATGCTTTCAGTCCGCATGCTCGGCAACCTGTTTGAAACCGTTCCGGGTCGTCAGTTGGCCACGACCAAATTCGACCAAATTCTAGCTGGGATCAAATCCGCCCTAGCTAGCAACGGGACTCCGAACCGCAACCTCACCATTGCCGTCGCAACCCTCTACATCAACTACGCCGTGTATTTCACAACTGAAGGTCGGGAGTCGGCGCCAGAGTCCTTTGAAAGGGGTCTAGTGCTCATTGAGGAATTAACCAAGATGCTCTTGGGTGAGAAGGATTCGGAAGCCGTCTACCGTAGCCTCGTCGCTCTGGGGACTCTGATCAAGTCTCTTGGTGAGGAGGTTAAGAGTGCGGCTAAAGATGTCTATGATGTCGGTTCTGTTCTTGGGAATGTCTCGGGAAGTGCTATTGGAAAGGAACCACGAGTGAAGGGTGTTGTTGGTGAGATTAGAGAGTCTTTGGCATGATGAGCCCGACTCTTAATGGCGAATGCATATATTCCAGTATTAGCAGGGTTATCCTACGATGAATGAATATAACAGCGTAACTCTTAGATTTCTCATTTTGGTCGTTAATTCATAGTTCATACTTCAACGTATAACACATTAAAGCCTCCCCTCCGCATCAACACCAATTTCCAAAACCTGATCAATCCCAGGATACTGCGGCAAATCCAACCCATACTTCTCCACAATCGCCTTCGTCAAGAACCTCCCCCCAATAAAATGCCTTCCCTTATAGTGCTTCACACACGGCTTCGGTGCCGACAAACTAATCAAGCTCTGCGGCATAAACTTCGCCCCAGGGCCCTCCTTCGGCGGACCTTCCTGGATATCCCAGGAACTAGGCGCATCAACACTCAACACGGGAACAGAGGTAGACTCGATCTGCGAGATAATGGAGGGAAAGGGTTCGCGGAGGGGACCGCCGAATGAGAAACCGAAGATAGCGTCGACGATGAAGTGTGTGGATTTGAGGGCTTCGCTGAAGTCGGTGATGAAGGGGATGGAGAGGTTGTTGAGTTGGGTTTTTAGGCGCTGTTTAGTTAGTACACCGATCATATTGATGAGGGAGAGGGTTGAGTTGGGGGAAATCAATACCTGGTAGAGCTCATTCTTGCCCTCCTTGGGATAGTAGATGGACGGGTTGTAGCCGTATTGAGCGAGATGGCGTGCTGCGACTAGACCATCGCCTCCGTTGTTACCAGGTCCGCAGATCACGAGAATGTTCTTGCCCGAGGTCAATGGGTGGACGCGGTAGACTTCAACCTTGTTAGTACACATGTCTACATAGTATATCCTAGACTTATGGATGTCTTACCAGCTTGCGAGACAGATAATCCGGCCAATTCCATTAGTTGGTCTAACGACCATCCGCCGATTTCCATGAGGTCCTTGTCCAGGGCCGCGGCGTCTTTGGAGGATATTGCCTATTGGTGTTAGGATTGAGATACCTTGGTGGTATATATGTAGTTGTACATACCTTCAGCGACATCTTGGTTGCTGTGGTGTAGTTTCTGAGCGTGGTGAATGGAGATCGTCTGAGAGGGAGCAATGGGCGAAACATGTATGTCCTCGATAATTAATGTCGAGAAGTTCTGAATATAAGAACGTTGGATGCGTGATATCAATGCGATTACATCACCCCTCCTCAGAGTCCTAACCCGTATTCGGAAGACCCCCCCGGAATAATGAAGCTGCCGAATATCCGATCGAACTTCCGCGGAGTGGGAACTGGGATGTCGAGAAATTGTTTTGCGCGATTGTCATCAATTCGGTTTATTCATTTTCTCACATTTATCAAAGTGTCGTCAAGATGGTCGTCCGCATTCGTCTCTCGCGATTTGGCAACAAGCACCAGCCGTTCTACAACATCTGCGTTTCGCAGGCACGGTATGTCAATTTTTCTTCCACCCGAATCACCACCATCCACTACAACCATACATCCCAGATAACCCGAAACCATACTAATACCGCTGCATCAGATCTGCCCGAGACTCCAAACCCCTCGAAGTTATCGGAACCTACAACCCCCTCCCCCAACGCCCCACGAACCTCTCTACCGAACAAGCGCGCAATGCCAGACCATACAAGGAGGTTGCTCTCGACCGGTCACGAGCGAAGTACTGGCTTGGTGTCGGGGCGCAGCCTAGTGATGGTGTGTGGAAGTTATTGAGCTTGGTATGTTGTCTTGAATATCTGGATTGGGAGTGGAGTTGGTGCTAATTGGGATAGGCTGGTCTTGCAGAGGGGCAGACGAAGACGAAGACTGAGGGGTCGGAGTAGATGGTGTTGCTTCGGATGGACGTGTCGGATTGATGGTTCTACCTGTCATGTTCGGTAGAGGATGGACGGACTGGGAGTCGGACACTCTGCGGAGAACGAAAAGACTACATAAAACGACTATACGTGCGGCCGGAATCGATTTCTGGCCGGTTTTTCTGATATTTGGCATTCCTGGCGTTTGGACTTGCTTGGGGCGACATGATACAACTCGGGTTTCAGTTGTACGTATGTACGATCTGTGTATATTATGGGCGATTTTCGCTCTACGGTATGAATTGTGAGATTTAGTTTATGATCCGATAAATGTGCGCTGAGACATGCATAGATCATGTGGCAGGGATGCCGGTATCGACAGGCAACGATATGTTGATCAGGTGTCAGGGTATGCATGCATCTAGTATACAAGACACATCTCACCTCTTTATTTCTATTACATTTTATTGTTTTGCCGAAGTAATGGACTTTATGAGGCATTCAACTCTCTTATGAGTCACATCCTATTGACACTGCGTCATCCATCTCGTCGCCTTGAAGTATTACTGAAGCCTTTATGAGCTGAAAGAACTCGAGTCGTCTTTGATGACCTCTGATTGGCCACGTGCACAGCCAACCAGCGACCGGACAGATGATGATCCGCAGGAGAGTTTGAGCTTCCCATGGGCCCGAATGCAGCCACCTGCTGCCCAGTACCGTACAGTACCATACTGTATTACAGGACATCAAGGCTTGCTCGGCGATTGATCTTTTATAAGAGGAATATAATTCATCTGAAGAGGTGATAGCGAGCGCGTTTGACTGAAGTTTGATCTTAAAAAGGGACCCTGATGCCATCAAGAGGTCGCTGGCTATTCGGCTGACTAATAACAACCTGACACCATTCCCAATCAGGAACCAGGGATCACTCTTATCAGGGGGTAGGATGACGGTCAGTTGACAAGATGATGGGGTGGTCGAGTACTTGTAATGCTCGTGCAATGAGGTATTTGTGTCATTAGAGTGGTTGATTTGGATAGTCGAATGTTAAAGAGCAATATGTGTGGTATGGATAGTGACATAATGCATTGTCTAGTTCCTAGCAGCTAGCAGGATGGCAAAGTTTATTAGATGACGCCGATATGCCCTGATCGAGGTTTATGCAGGTCCCATGAGTGAAATGCTTGACGAGACCTTGATCTTATCACCACTATTATTATAGTATTATCGTCATATATGCCTGGATGAGCATGGCTACTTGTATCCGTGGCATATGAATAATACAAGCACATAGTGATAATAACCGTAGATACTCGGTAGATTCAACGCTTGCTCCGTGCTTTGTACAGATATGCATTATCAGTGGAACTGTCAACTGGGCTCCACTTACATTCTTAGGTACGGGTGCGGACACGGACCAACAGTGCATCTTTCCACGTTTGCATCCGAGACTGCTATGGCTGTTCTCGGAATATAAAAATATCTACAATAGATTATCCGTACTCTGTACAGAGTAGAGGGGTCTGATATCGTGAAGTACTGAAATACAGATACAAATTACCATACAGAGTGTACGACGCGCGTGCGAGGGTCTGCCTGATTGCGGAAAAAGGGGAAAATAGAAAACAACTAGGCCCAGAGAGGATATGGCTGTAATATATCCAGTAATCTTTCAGACACTAAACCCGATAAGGGGCCGCTTGCTCGCCCACCACATCCCCCACCCCCGTCAAGACCGTTCCGGACCTTCGATTTTCTGGTCGTTCTTTTTTCTCTTTTTTTGTTCTCTCTATTTTTTTTTTTTTTTTTTTTTTTTTCCTCTCCATTTCTCGCTCGCTCTCTCCGGGTGATTTCGAGTCCCCTTCTTCACTTCTCTCTACTCCATACACTTCTCTCTCTTTCTCTACTATACAAGTACACCATCACGACACATTCTTCGCATCTTTTATCAATCTTGCATTTTCTGGTTGTTCTCGTCTCCCGTCTTGTTCTGCGACCTGCTTGGTCATACTCCTCTTTCCCATCCCCGTTTCTTTTCTTCTTCCACCTCCCCTCCTCCCCTCTATTCCTTTCTTCTTTTCTACATTCCGCCACCTTTTCTTCTCTTATTTCTTACCATTTTCCCATTCTGGTTATCATCATAAATTTCGTGTTACTACTACTTTAACTATTTATTTTCGTGCCTGATCATCTCTCGCTTGTCCGTCGCGCGTATTGCCGTTTTCGCCGCATTGTCAGGGGCGACTCGCGCCCCCCCCGTACGGAGTCTATCGACCATCGCACAATTAAGGGAAAACCCACCTTTTTTGACGCTCACTGACCACGACTTCTTTTTTTAAATTTTTTTCTTCTTACTGAGTCAAGCTACCACTCTTGAATCTCAGAATCTTTTATAATATTATATTCCCCGCTGGTCGTTTCGTGAGATCATTGACCTTCCCTCCTATTGCCTCCTTATCGTGGAGCCAAAAGTCTTGGGTGGCCACGCACGCACAACCACACATCCACACAACCTCGCTCGCTCTCTCTCTCTCTTCCCCTCCCTCTCTTTTGGAGATATCTAGCATATCCATAACCCTTTGTGAGGCATGAGCGGCAGTTCGAGTCAGTCTACCCGTACAAGCCCTGGGTCCTACAGTACCACACAGCGTACCGCATCAATCTCGTCCGGTTCCTCGCCGCCGCAGTACTCCCTCCCCTCATCTTCGCTGCCGCCCGCGACGGCCCAGAATGCGATGTCGACCGACGTGTATAGCCCGACCGCGTCGCATCCACCAACTTCGTTCAGCAACTCATTTTCCCACCCATTCTCCCCCATTGGCGCATCTTCCGCCTTCGACGGCGGCGCTGCTCCCGGCACCATGCGTCTAAATGAACCCGACCGGTCTGCACAAAGTCTCAACGGCTTCTCTCGCGCGGGCAGCATTGGTGGCGGCGCGATTCTGATGCGAAAGCTCCCACGAAACACCAGTCGCGAGGCGTTGCGCAGCATGTTGCTTTTCGCCAAGGATTTTGTAGATGCCGACTTCATCCCAGTCGACCTGCCGGAGGACACTGGATATTTGAGCGCAATCGCCCGCTTCAATTCCATGCCTGCAGCGGAGGAAGCGAGAGCTTTGTTGCATGGTAAGCCCAACTCGAAGAATGACGCGAACATGATTGTCGATGTTGTCAATGGCTCGGTTGGACCTAACCTCAACCCCGGTCGCCGAAACACCATTGACTATACCGCGACTCGAAATCTCTTGGGCAACGTTCCCACGAATGGCCCTATGTCGCGCTCGTCACGCTTCAACGGTACCTTCCAGAGCTTGGAACGGCTGTCAGCCACTGCGGCCAGCAACGACGCGTTGCCACCGGCCTCCGAAACGCGCCTGCACAATCTCTTTTCCCCGCAGTCACCTATCGGAAATGGAGTCAACGACCTCCCGCGCATCAGCGGCAAGTCCATGATTGACCAAGATCCAGATGAAGAAACTGGGGAACTGCTGAAGGACCCCGTTGGCTATGCCGAGAATGGGCATTCCGCTTCTACAGCCACCCCCCGTCGCTCCACAAATCCCCAGTTTCCCGTCTCCCGATTTGCCAACATGTCTCTGTCAAACAACATGGCATCCCCACCATTGCCCAACTACGCGTCCGGGGCTGGCGGCGGAAATGCAGCAAATGGGGGACCAGGACGCATGAGCAACTACGCCTACCCGCAGAATATGAACAACGGCATGGGCGGAAACCATGGTTACCATTACGGCAACCAGCACAATCCCCGCCATAGTCTTCCCGCCGCCAACCCGAATGACTTGAACCCGCCCTGCAACACGCTATACGTGGGTAACCTGCCTCCAGACACCTCTGAGGAGGAGCTCAAGGCGTTGTTTTCTAAACAACGTGGGTACAAGCGACTATGTTTCCGCAACAAGCAGAACGGGCCCATGTGTTTTGTGGAATTTGATGAGGTGGCTATGGCCAGCAAGGCGCTCAATGAGCTATACGGGTACAAACTGTCGAACAGTGTCAAGACTGGCATCCGTCTGAGCTTCTCTAAGAACCCCTTGGGTGTGCGTTCTGGTCAACCAGGCAGCATGGCGAATCCCAACCATCTTTCCCAACAGGGTGTTGTCCCCGGAAACAATAACGTTGGTGCGATGCACAACAACAATAACAGCAGCAACAGCAGCAACAACAACAACAACAACCATATGTTCTCCTCGGTGAATGGACCGCCCCCGGGTCTAGCGGCCCCTCCGGGGTTGATGATGCCGTTGGCATTGCGAAACAATGGACCTATCCACCCATCCGCCAATCATACTCACGCCGCCATGGCGAGCAACGGTTCATTCAACCCCAACGCGGGCCTGGGTATTCGGGCCAACGGTATGAACCCGATGATGTCGCCGACTCCGCCACTTGTCCACGGGAGTGGTACGCCTGCGCCTGGCCCCAATGTGGGAAGTTATAATTCATACTATCCCGACTACATGATGGGTCGGTAAACAAAAACACTAGCATCGTGATCGCTTGAAATAATGTCCGGCATGTTTGATGACAACTGGGGTATCTGGCGCTTTGGGATTCCTGGTTTTCATGAGCTAGATCAGCATTTGGAGGCTCCTCTCCTCCCAGGAGTAAGGATTATGGTTACTCTGGCTTTCTGTGTTCTCTTCTTGCTTCTTATGTTTTCTTCTTATTACTCCTTTTTCTCCTTCTCTTTAATTATTGACTCTTACGTTTATTATTCCCCCTTTACTTTACTTTTCTTATACTTGCACAGCATCGGACTATGGGCGCTGTTGTCGTTGTTTCATGCTCTGTTCTCATGTTTGGGAGGATTGCATTTTCATGCGTGTGTTGTTTGAGAAGCTTACGAGGATTATTCGTGTGTTGCAATATTTGCTTGATGTCTTGCCCAACCCCTTTGTTGTCGGATTCGTCGTTCCATTCATACCCCGTGTTTTGCTTTGCTTTTTTTGTGCGGTTTCTGACGTTTTTCTTGACTTTTCTCCTCTCTGTGAAATCAAACCTTTCTTGCATTGTTCTATTGTATGGCATATTGATCTGGGTGTGTATTCAGGGGATACAGGTGGGAAACGGTTGCATTGGTATCCCTGGTGCAAGTCTTCGGGTCTTTCGTTTTGCTTGATGTGTTTTTTACGATTGGTGGGAGTATTCTTTCTTCGTGCACTATTCCCTGCGTCTTGCTATAATTCAACTTGTTTTCTTTCTTTCTTTCTTTTTTTTTTTTTTTTTGTTTCCTTCTCTTATACCACCCCATTGGCATATATACGGAGCGAAAAAGAAGTAAAGGGCCAGGGTCGGTATCTTGTCCTACTACATTTACATGTGAGAGGCGTTCTTTTTACATGGATACAGCTTTGGAATTCTCATCTCTCTTCTCGGTCTGCGGAAGAGGCGTCCGGCTGTTAGGTTGGCTTACTGGTTATAGCGCATTGTTTTGCGGATGCCATAATTGTCTTGATAGCTTATTTGCATATTATTCCCTTGCTTTTAATGGTCTCCTTAACTAGTATTCTTTTCACTTGTGGATTGGATGTTTGTATTGCTTTACGATACCTTTACATGTATTTGATATCTCATTAGGATTGTATTCCTGAACTAAAATCTCAGCTCTATAACGATTTTCTTGCTCACGATGGTAGTTCGTTGGCGAGTTCGCGATGCGGTCACGTGAGTGCACGTGCCACCGGCAAACGCAGAAAAGTTTCTTCGCTTCGACTTCACGCTGTTTTTCTCCTTGTATCCGCATTGCCAACTCTCTGTCCAACGCGTGAACACATTCTGCCTGTCAATCAGATCAATTGCATCTTCTTTGCTATTAGCTTAGTTGAGAAGATCTCTAGAAGCAGGATTTACGGCCATAGTCGGGCCTGTCCTGAATTGAACTGCTCACCTTGAAAATTTCCCCCTCCACACACAAACACACAACCTCAAAATGCCACCACGGATACAAACCCAACGGGTTTCCAACTCTGTTGTCCCCTACCTCTCCTCTACCTCCTCCACATCCGTCTCCTCTACCTCATCCTCTTCTTCCTCCTGCACATCTCTCCCACCATCCTCCTCCACATCATGTCCCCGCCGCACCTTCTCCTCCACACCAGCCGCCCAAACCCGGCTCCGCAGCCACATGTTCGAATGGCTAAACAGCGAAGGGCGAAAGCTGCGATACCACGAACCAAATGTCTACAAATATGTGACAAACCTGAGAGACCTGGCCAAGGACACTGTGCCCCCGGAGCAGTTGTCGAAGAGGCCGTTTCCGCTGAACCAGAATTTTGTCAGTGAGCCGATTCTGAGTGAGGAGATGCGCGGGGAGATTTATAAGAGGGTTGCACAGGATAAGAAGAGTGTGAGGGCAGTTAGTATTGAGTTGAAGGTGGATATGAGGAGGGTTGCGGCTGTGGTGAGGTTGATGGAGATGGAGAAGGGTTGGAGGTCACAGGTATGTTTTTCTCTTTTCTTTCGTCTTTTTCTTTTCCCTTTTCCCCTGCATTGCGTGATGAGACAACAAAAAATATCGATTAGTCTTTATGACCTTGGTCACCAAGGAATGCGTATAACAAGTCTTATATCTGATTGCAATGCTTCTATCCTCTTCTTCTGTCATGCCAATGTTATATCAGTCACTAACTGGATACACCAGGGCAAACCACTGGCTCTCCCCTACTCCCGCGCGATCCAAGAAATGGTCCCAACAACCCGCTACTCCCCCGACCCCCGCGATCAAAGACCCCACGAATCCATCAACGACCTCCCCGTCCACCGCCTGACGGACCCCCAAATCTTCTACCCCGTCTCCGAATCCCGCCAATTCACCCGCGTCGACGCCGGCCGCGTCTTCTCCGGCGCGCCGCGCCTCCCCAACACCACCGTCGACGAAATCACAAACGACCCCTCCTCCTCCATCTCCAAAGCCACCCAGGCACCCAACCGTATCGAATGCGTCGGCAAAGGTGACCAGGAGACACAGGTCCTGCAGCCTGCGGACGCACGTATCCCGCACCCGTACCTCGTCGCGCACGAGCGCGACAGCATCAAGAAGCCCCACGAGCGGGGCGAAAACATCAAACGTTTCGCCTCCCGGCTACAAGAGGAAGAGCGCGTCGAGGCAGAGCGCAAGCAAGCTGCCGAGGAGCGCCGCGAGAAGAGGACTGCCAAGGTTAACCCTGAAGACTCGCGGTTTGAGTTCCGCTTCACGGATGTTGTCGTTAGTAAGGAGACGACTGGCGCTGATGGGCGTGGGCACAGGGCTCCTGGTCGCCGGTATGGTGTGCCTAGTTATGAGCGGAAGAAGGGTGAGGTTAAGATTCCCACCAGGGTTAATGTTTAACCTCTTTCCTTTCTCTTTGCTGTTTTGATTGGGTTTCGTTATGGTAATAGGTTGGTTGGTTGTATTTGTACATATATGGGATTTTCCCTTTTTACGTGGTGAATGAGCTGTGACTGTATTTATATCATGTTTATCAGATATGTGGTATGTTAAGAAATGTACGAATATCGATATCTATCTTCTACTTCAGTCTACTATAAGCACTTGGCCACATCTAATGCATTAGCATTACCTATCCTATCCTAGTTCTCCTATATCCATCCCCAACTCCATATATCACAGTAATTAACCCCGAAAATAGACAAACCAGAAATAACAGATACATATCCCGTATACTGATATGTAGATCGTAAAGCATAACACAAGGAAAAGAAAGAAAACATGCTATGCTGGGTATCCAAAGAAACCATCATAAAACCAAAAACAAATCAAACAAGAGTAACATAGCAGGCGAGAGAAAGAGACTCGCCCAAGCAAAGACAAAACAAAAGGAATTTTGTGTGGCATATATGCAGTTCCGCTGTGCATGTGCCTGTGCCTGCGTACATAAATGATATAACAAGAAAAATGAGAGAAAACAGAAGAGAAAGAGATTATTCACCATCCTCACGTACAATCTCCGCCTGCTCCGGAAGCTGCGGCGGATCTTCCTCTGCTCTCCCTTCGCCTTCGTCCGCCGCCACCGGCACAACCCCATCAACCTGATTCTTAACCATCGGGCTGCGGGTTGATGACGGTAATACCGGAGACGGAGGCTTGGTTACTGCCGTGCTCATGTGCATGGGACTCGCGTGGCCGTCTGTTGTGGGGGAGGGAGAGGGTTCGGGGTCGTCGTTGAAGCCGCGCCATTTGCGCCAGCCGTCGAAGTCGATTAGGGCTTGCATGCAGCCCCATTCTGTGACTTTTTGTTCGAGCCAGGGGAAGCCGACGGGCTGGGTTCGTTAGATATGGATTGAATAGAGGGGGATATAGGGGAAGAGGGAAGGGCGAACCTTGGTTAAGAAGTCGTTGCAGCCAGCGGCAAGGGCTTCGTGACGGTCACTTTGTAAACTGCTAGCCGTCAAGGCTACAATAATGACGGGGCTCTTGAATAGTGTCCGGTCATGCAGTGTATCCTCTTCCTTGATTGTACTTGAAACTCCCTGGCCTGCCCCTGACGTAAAGTATGAGTTGGTGTTGGCACTGGAGCGGCCATCAGGGGTCTTGGGGAAGACACCAATCCCGTTCAACCGTTCCAGTCGTCGAATCTCCTTGGTAGCTTCCAATCCGTTCATGACGGGGAGCTGGATATCCATCAATACCAAGTGGAAGCCACCCTGGCGCCACTTTTTCACGGCTTCTTCGCCATTGGCCGCACACTTCCAACGGACACTCAGACGTTTCATAAAGGCTTCCAGCAGTTTCTGGTTGATGATGTTATCTTCGACGATTAGGACGTTGATCGGAGGGACGGTGCCTTCGATGAGACCGCCGAACGCGGCACTCAGCGACAATGGACTGTTGGGCTTCTTGTCCTTATAAGAGGGCCGTGCTCGCGGTGACGACCCCCGTGTGGGTGGAGTCAATGTCTTAGATTGTGGAGATTCGGGTGCTGGTGGGAGTGGTGGCGTAGCAGCTGCCGGAGCTGCTTGAGGACTTTGAACAGCGGGGGTCACGGATTCGACTAGAATCGAGTGAGAAAAGTAGAATAGGAAGAGAGAGAAAAGAACAAACCTTTTGGCACTGGTGTCTGCAACGACGTTGGAGAGTTTGTGGGATGTGTGGGATGGCGTATCGTAGGTGGTCGACGGGCATGTCGATTCGCGCGAGTACTACCTGGAGATGGGAGAGGAGGAGCCTTGCCCGTAGCTAAAATCGATATCGACGGAGTCTGATGCGCATTGACACTGGTAGCAGCACTGGAAGCATGCGTTGGGGGCGTCGAGACATTGGGATTCATAGGCATAATGGAAAAGTAATCTCCATGTTCAACGGGATCGGAGTGGTGATAGTACATCGGTCGCGGGGACGGCTTAGGAGTTCGACGAGGCGGGACATCAATGACCAGAGCCTCCTCCACGCGCTGCCCCCCGGGGTAGTAGGTATCCAATACCGATGCCAGTGATTCCTCTGGGTTCAATAGCCGCTCCGGGGTGGACTGTTTGGTGGAGCCATCGCGCGGGACAATCTTGATCACGATGTCGGGCGAATCGAACGTCTTGCCCAACGAATTGGTGAATTTGACAATGACCTGGTCGCGTAACTCATCCACTACGGCATCATCCAGAATTGGCACCAACGTTGGGGAACCACCTGGCCGTCTAACCCAGATCTTGCGGGTTGACATCTCGACGTTGACTGGACCGCCGCGACTGCTAGTACCTTGAGCGCCGTTATGAAATAGTAGACCCGGGTCTAGGATACCGCTGACCAAGTGTTGTTGATTAGGCGGAAGCAGAGACTGTCTGCGCACGACAAGGCTAGGACGTTTGAGGGACGAAGAGGTAGGCGGAGGTACAGCGGACGAAGAGGTAGGCGGAGGTACAGCGGACGAATGATGGTAGTTATTATTATTTGGATTCTGATTCGAGGGGACCAATTCGGCCACAGGGGCAAGCGACGGAGTCGAGATCCGAGGGTCAACGATGGTGGTCGTTGTAGGATTGACACCGGAGCGTTGTTGTTGTTGTTGATCTTTCTGTAGTATCCTGGGCGAATGCAAGGCACCACCAAACGGATCTGAAAGGGGAGGCGGAGAAGGACTCGATGGACCGGGCGAGGACGCGACAGGCAAACGAGTCGACTGCAGCCCGGAGAAGTCGTTTCTTTTCCGAATTTGATCGGATTGTTGCCACTGGTCTGCGGTGGCGGAGGCGGCGGTCGTGGTAGTGGGACCTGGATCCAAGGAATTGCCCGACTGTTCTGCACCTTTTGGCTGCGATCCTCTTCTAGCTAGTACTTCGTCTGGTCGGCCTTTTCCTACCGACGCGGAACGCTCAATCGAGTCGAAATACTGTCCCTGTTGGTGGTTCTGCTGGTACTGCTGGTAATTATGATGGTGCCCCTGATAATCGGCGGAGGTACCGGTCGCCGGAGTAGCTGGGCCCGCGCCCACGAGTATCTCGTCCGGGGAGCTTGGGTGGTCGAGAGGTAGCGAGGAGACAACGCTATAGGCGCGGGGCTTTGCAGTGGACTCGACGGGGGAGGAAGGGGAGGGGAAGAAAGGCGCGCAAGAAGAGACGACGTTGTCGGAGGGCGAAGAGGTCAGAGTACTGGAGTCGACCGCTCTGGAGTCCGCCTTTTGCTTCTTTAGAGGCACAGTCGAGGTGGACGATCGCCGCAGCAGCTTCGATTTGAACAGGCGAGAGAGACGGTCGGGCATGGTGACAGTTTCTCGTATGGGAATTAAAAGAAAAGATAAAAATGAGGAGGGGTGTGTCACTTCATGGTAGTCTCAATGGGGTGAGGGGGCAGTAAGTGATAAGAGAGATACAAAGTATCTTCTGTAGAAGAAGGAATGAGAGTAAGATAAGAAAAAGAAAGAATGAACTCTCAGCATTGATTATTGATTAATCTGCATATCACTCTGTTAGTGAAGAAAAGAGGAGGGCGTTGGTATATTAAATGAAACAGGAGACAAAAAAGAGCGACATGCAGTGGCCAGAGCTTTCGGATTTAATCCCAGCAGCTATTTTTATGTTGTCAATACAGGAGTTCACTACTACTAGTTACTGCTGCATCCCAGAGTCTTGGTTTTTATGTAGTAGTATTATGTGTTGGCATTAACTGCATGTACTTACTAGTACCTCTTATTTTGCAATTGCTGCCCAATGGCTGTTGATAGCCATCTGTATTAGCACTTTATGGGCGTATGGATGTACGTGTATCTCTAGAATGCTGCTGACTATGGAGCTTCGTATACATAGCTATATTGAAGAGCATGCTGTATCCGGAGTATATCCCCCCGTACACCGATAGTCAGATCGCTTTCGTTTATACATTGCCAAGTTAATCCCTCAAATTGACATGGCGGATCCCCAGACACCGGGGTTTGTGGAGAACCACGTTCAATACCTCGAATCAATATTTCGAATCAAACAAATACATTCCTAAACCAGTATAAACTGTGCAGTGAGAAATACTTGGACATCACAAATCAAATACCCGAACCATCAATCCAAGCGGCCATCCGTCCGCTCCGTAATGAATGTACAAATAGAAAGAAAAAGAGTCAATCGAAAGGAGTGCAGGCTAATCAAGAAATATACTTGAAGCACACAGTATCCAAAAGAACAAAAACATCAGGACATGACATAATCTTGTAACCAGAATCACACCAAGAGATCCGACAAGGGAGGGTATCAATCAATAACAAAATAAAAGGACCAAGGGAAAAAAAAAAAAAAAAAAAAAAAGAGGGGGTCTTTTCTCGTCCTTTCTTTTTTTTTTTTTTTAACGCATGACGAAAGTAGCAGAAACATCACCCGGAAAGAACAAGAGCAAGGAATACGCCGGATTGCCAACACCAAACCCAATCGATCACAGAAGAATCAAATAGTTCGATGGCGCAATACCCGCTTCGCCTGTTGCTTTTCTGGCCTGCCACCATCGCCCGCTGACGTCGGATACTTCCAGGATCTCGTGCTTCGAGAAGCTGATCTCGTTGGCGTCTTCTGGGTTCGCATCGTACGAGTAAATTGCCTTGGCGCGGTACGGGTACTCGGTCGGTTGAGGAACTTCGCTCGGAATATCGCCAGGGTTGCCAGCCACCGAACCACCGAACCGGGACGCGTGGGGGTTCTCAGCACCAGGAGGACCGCCGGGATACCCAGACACTGGGGACGATGTTTCGAAGCCGTTGAGTTGAGCAGAGGTGTACATCTGGGGCATCTGGCTGGTCGAGGTCTCGGGACGGTTGCCGTAAACGTTCGACATATGCCGTGGGTTGTTTCCGTATCCACTTTGCTCCTTGTTGAGGGCAAACGAATCGATAAAGCCGCGATGAGAGGCTTGAGGACTGGATCCGAAGTAAAAGATCCACACAATCTAATTGATTGTCAGCACAAATTTGGGTGTTTGATTAGATGGCGGGCAACGTACAATCACCATGGACAGGAGGATAAACCCAGCCCCTGCCGCTTGTGCAGATGCTTGCTTCTGATATACTAGCGTGTTCGGGGCCAATGTAGTGAAGACCAGGCCCGCAGCCAGGTACGCAACAAGCTAAGAATCTCATTAGTATCGACTGAGTCTGCTTGAAGTAGTTCAAAAGCAAACGTACTGCAACGTTATAGACGTGGCCCGTATCCGACCCGAAGACGACGGTTATCCCTGTAATGACGCAGAACATGTAGGCAATAGCCCACCACGAGTAATTGGGGAATCCCCCCTTAACATCGGAGAAGATGGACGCGACAAATGCGATCAACCACGCCAACTAATCCGGAAACAATCATATCAGCACGGGTCCCTTGACCAACTTCAGCACACCAGGAAACCTACGATGGAAATAGAGATGGTTGCGAGAGCAAAAGGATCACCTAGCACATTGCTCGCTCGGAATTTGGCCATCTTGCGTGGAGGGATCGGTTTGTGAAGAGATGGAGATTGAGCAGAATAAGCGACCATGAAGGACGGTTGGCGTCGACTCGCGAGTGGACGAACACGGGGTGGTGCAGGATAGAAAACGAGGCTGGTAGGTCGGTCTTTTGGCTGTCGGTGCAACGGTCGATGATGGTCGTTGCGCGATGTGAGGTTGAATCGATTTATATATTTCTTGGCTCGATTTTGTGCTATTTCTTTTAATTCACGGTTCGTTCCGTAGTCCTATCGGATAAATACGAGTTGCGACGGTAAATGAATGTTGATTGATGGATGGAGGCTGTGAATCCACGTTGGAGAGGTTAGCCGAGGGAAAGTAAAACGAAGGCGCAAATCAGGCAGAAAGATAGTAGACAGTTGAAGAGAATAAAATGAAATGAATAAAATAAGGTAGAATAGAAAATAGAACGAATGTAGAGTAAAGACAGTACCTCAAGATCAAGGGGAAGGAGAGTGGATCGGAAGATAAACACAACAGCGGAAGGCAGAAGGAAGTCTCAACCGCCGCGTGTCTTACTCGAGAAGAAAATTGAACAAAGTCCCTTGCGGAAACGCGCAGATGGAAAAAAGATATAAAAAGGATCAAAGAAGCAAATATAAAAAAGTACGACAGCACCAGGCCGGGAATGAATGAAAAGGAACAAGAACGAAGGAAGAAGAGAAAGGGGGGAGGAAAGAAGAGGAAAAAAAAAAGAGCGTCAAGTCGACGGAAAACCCGATCGAACAGGAAAAAAGGAAGGATGAGTTGTCGATAAAATAAGAGAGAAAAGAGAAGGGCAAAAAAGATGGAGAGAATTGATTATGGAGAGAGAGCGGGAAAGGAGAAAAAAGAGCGAGAAAGAGAGAAAGAGGAAATACTAATGTGGACCGGAAAGTGGGAATTAAAGTCTGGGCTTTTGGTGGGGAAAGACACACAAAAGACACACGCACGCTCTGACTTGTTCCACCGTCCCCATGTCTAGACCCGAGGATCCTTCACAGACCATCTTGAGTCCTATTGTACTGCGTTATATACAACACTTCGTTATGCCGGAATTCCATGCAATACTCTTTGTCAATGTATTCATCATGTTTGAGCCATTGACTCGCACTTTGCTGCTCTTTCCCCAGGAGCTCACTATCATACCCTTCGTCACCTCCCATGATCCGTCTCTCAAGACTTTGTTCAATCATCTCCATATGAAGCAATGACCAGGGCCATGAGGTAAATGCAAAACACCGACTGATCATCCCGTTTCCTCCGAGTCGCGACAACGGCGACAGGATCCGCTCGCACACGGGAAGAATGGGCTGTATGTTCTCTTTGGTAGACAAGCTCAAGAGACCAGAGACAAGAGAGCATGTCGCGAGGCACCACGTTGCGTAGAAATACGGAGGCTTCCAGCCGCTCAGGTAATTCTTCAGGGATATCGTATACACCATCAGTAGGCATTATAACGAAACGGTTTTTGGAGAAAAAGACAGATTGGGCAAGATGGCGCAGAGATTTGGAAACAAGGAACAGTGATGTTGGTGGGCACCAACAACGGCAGATTGCTGCTGTTGAGAATGCAGTATGATAGCGATTGCAGAAGCACCCGTTATTCAAGCGTTGGTGACAATTGCGAAATTGACAGCTAAAGTGAGATGCTGAGCACTGAGTATCTTCTACAGTAGGGCTGATCATAATGAAGATAGAATTTTCCTTCGGGGTCCCAGGTGATCTCGCGCCATGGAGTGACCAAATCTGTCACGGAGCATGGACGCTAGCGAGCTGCACAGCATGTTTGATTATTTTGGCCTGTTTGGTGTAGAACATTCACTGAGCATCGCTTAAACCCCGAGCGCACACTAGATAGCTCGTCGCCGGCAGGCCTACCTCTTTCCTTTCTTTCCTCATGTTAGAATTTCGTCAGATAGTCTACCAATATATATTCATATTGCTCGAGACCGTCACAAGATCCGTGTACTCCAAAATCCGACATTGAAGTTCTAGCGGTAGGTCCAGGAATCGAAAAGATTTCTCAGGAAATTTGCCCAACGGCTTGGGTTGCTGCTTGGCGTTCCAGGTTATAGAGAGAAGAGTCCTGGTCTCGACTCAGACGAATGTTACAGTTTGCCAGGATTGGGAGCTTCAACAGTGGACGAAGCACCTTTTTCGCTATGTCTATATCCTCAACATCACAAACCAGGAACAGTTGAAGCTGTGATGGAGGGATATGCTTGCTCATTTCCTCAATGGCACAGTACCATTCGAAAAGCATCGCATACATGAACAATTTAGATACCGATGGACCAAGAGGTTTACCATAGTAAGAATCACAATCATAATCGTGCAATACCCTGTGACCCCTGCAGCATGGGGCTCCCTGTTCACATGAGCTGACGTTGAGATGGATGGTTAGGAGAAGAAGAGCCCTCATGGAGCTGAGAGTAAGTTTTTGTGGTTCTTCCAGGTCCCCACATTCAAAATACCGGACGAAAAAGTGCTTAGCAGAATAAAATAGGGGTGTAGCCTCATAGCTGGTAATTGGGTTCAGGCGTATGGGATAGTTTGGCTGGGGGAAGACGTGGTGGTATATCTGGCGCCGAACGGCGGGTGGAAGCCCCAAAAAGATGCCATGTTTTTTTTTTTTTTTTCCTTCTCGAGACACTGCTGGACATTGTTCAGTTCCATTGGTTCGACAAAGGAGAACATGCATTCAAACCTTGAGTGATTGGCAGTGCTCAATACTGTCCAATTGCTACCGGAGTACTCATAATATACTGCGAAAGCTCCAATTGACTAACTACCAAAGACAGTCTTTGTTCTGTGGAGCATTATCCACAAATTGTTCCCACTTGCCCCTATACCCGTCCAATCATTTTTTCGCAGAAAGACCCCAGTCACGTGTGGCCAACAAGGCGAGATAGAGTGGACTTTTGGCACGAGGAACTATGAATACATCGTATTTGAGAAAAGAAGGCGATATGGTGTCTATAGCAAAGGACGGATCAAGTGGAGATAGCGTGGCACCGAATTGTTAAAGTCAAGCCCTCATGTCTAGTGTCTACGGAGTACTCATCACCCCGAGAGTTCTTCTATTTCCAAGATCACCCTCTTTTATCTCCTGTATCGTTCTCCTGCATATATGCTGAAATCTCGAAATATGGAGGGCCCTCTGATCCCGGGGTCGAAAGTCGCAAACTAATGACCAAATTCTACTGGCTCTCAGAAAGCATGAAAAAGAAAATGGTATGTCTATGGAAGCGAGTGAATTGGTAAGCAAGATGAGACGAGAGGCAAGAGTGAATGGGTGGACGGCACTTACCAAATTGACAGCAGTGCCTTCTACTCATCTCCCTTTCGCTTGCGGAGCAGAACTGTCCTATCCTACTACTCCATGGAAAGCAACACGTTATTTCTGCACTGTTAACACAGAGATTTCTTTTGAAGACTTCTTACTTTTTACTATCAACGCTCCAGTTTCTACATCTGACGTTCTGTTGTGCTTGTCTCACGGCTATCAGATCCGGGTGCCCATCTGAACCACAGTCGATCCCAAGAGAACCGCGTTAGACTCGACACTGCCATAGTCGATTTGCTTCAAGAACAATGGAGACTGAAAGCGAAAAGACACCATCTCCCACGATGAACGCCCCGGCTCTTCGCGAGGAAGAAGCTCCCCCGGTTATCCAAGCACAGCACCAATGTAGCGATTGCGTGAAGCGATTTCTTGTATGGACTACTACTGCAATCGAATCAATTCAACGGTGTATGTCCTATGTTCAAAATGAGTAACCTGAATGGCTAGCGTCATGTAATTCTACCCGTTAAACTGCATACTGTTCGCGATTCATAGATTCCACTCGCTTATAGGATTCGAGCCCGCCATGCCTGGCGGTCGTCCTGCTACCAGAGGCACCGGGCTACGCCGGGTGATGGAAATGATCACTGATTCTGCTCGCTCTGAAGTTTAATCTGCTCAAGCCCGTTATGAAGACCAAGCCAATCCAAAAAGACCGCCCGTTCGCCATCACTATGTTGGCCAACATGTTTGGTTAGATGCCAAGTCTATCCGGACCCTGCGCTCGTAGAAGAAGCTAAATTGGAAGTATCTAAGACCGTTTTCGGTCCGCATGCCTACAAGATTGACCTGCCAACCAGCATGAGAATACGTCATGTGTTTAATACGCTATTAATTCCCTGGTCAACAAGGACTTCCCCCGCCTGTGGAAGTTGATGGAATAGAGGAATGGCAAGTTAAAGACATCCTGGATTCGCGCCAAAAAAAAAAAAAAAATACGAGACCGTGTCCCTGACTGAAGAATTGGCAAATATACTGGTTATGATGAGCCTGCAGCATATCTGTAAGGAGCTCGTGGACTAACCAACGGTCACGATGTACGCAACAGGAAAAATTCCTTGCATTAGCTATCAGATCTGAATACTATCTGAAATAATAGCATCTAGCCTCAAGACAAATCGAGACAGGGACAGTCTTTGGGGTCCGCGTAAAAGATGCCTCCAATCTGCTCAATTACTTTGCATCTTTCTTCCATGTTATATGCATTATGAATCAATCCGACTCCTTTCTTAGTTGCTTCCTCGAAAATTGTGTGTAAAACCCACACACCACCCCCCGCTGGCCAGCCAACTCGAATGTATTCATCTGAGTCCTTTAGGCCATTCAGCTCCCTCCTCAATAGGTCCACTCTCTTCCCATTTTTCCACCAGGTGGCCCCAAGACGACGCACTGTTAGGGTTAGAAATTTTCACAGCCAATTAAGAAAAGAGAGATAACTGACTACGATCACAATATACATCCTCTTCGGCCTGTGAACCTGCTCGCAACTAGAAGAAGGTATATTACTTTTTAAAGGGTTTGTAGCTTTTTGTAGCTATAGATGCTTGAATATTGAAAAATACAGTGGTAATTTATATTACTTGGAGAAATATTTATCTGTAGAAGCTTTCTGCTCAGTTTATTATTATTATTATTATTCATACACGCATCTGTCAGCCCTATAGGCCGAGTGGCGGCAGGTCCTGCGGGGCAGCCGGGTAAGCCGCCGTAATGGTAGTCGCTATGTACATCGTCGCCTTTATACACATATCCTGATATCTCATTCTGTGTGTTGTATATCCCGTGCTGCTGGTTTTCGTGCCGCTGTTCCCATGGCCACGAGGATCCATGGGCTTGTTGGATACTATCTCGTTTCCTTCCCTACTTTTGCAAGCGTGTAACCTTGGCTGCGTTATGCTGCCGGTTTCCCTGAGTCTGTTGTTGTGGCTCGGTATGTGGTTGGTAGAGTTTGAAACTGGCCTAGGAGGCCTGTCTCAAGCATGAAGTGCACTGCTTTTGGTACCAGGTCTGGCCGTGTTAGGTAGGTCCGGTAATCCAGCTCCTGTCTTGATCCCTGTGTAAGATGGCGCATTCGGGGTCCTGCCTGGTTGGTACAGTGGAGGAGAACATGGCGTATGTCTTGGAGGCCACGTCCACAGGAGCATTCAGTTGATTCCATAGCCTTGAAGGTACCAAGGTAACTGGCCAGCGCAATCTTCCCAGTTTGCATTTGAACGAGGACTGATGTAGCAGCTCTCCGAAGGCCTTGGTATAGCTGCATTGGTGCTTTTGAGGGTTCTTTCCATAAACGACGGACGGAGTTCCCATGGGGGGAATCTGCTCAGTGTATGTATATAATTTCAGTACCATAATACTCTATATACGCAAGTGGCCGGCTGGCTTGGGTGGCCGGTCCGCTTGTGAAATGCGTTAGTTAACTAATAACTTAATAAAATCTTGAATAAATCTTATCATCTTCAGATATATATATCATAGGACTTCATATTTCAATTGTATGATATATTAACGTCCATATCTTCTTCTGTTGTGGAATAATTGACATAGGGATTTGTGGTTTTTGTATGGGAAATTGGCTTATTGCCGAGCGAAGCTCTTTTAAGCGACGGGCTTTGGGAATGAATATTCACTCTGCTGATTCATGTTGCTTCATGAACTAATCTTGCCTACCTCGAGCATGATGGTTGAGCCCAGACAAGTGATCTAACAGCGGGTTGGGTGGGTATGCCTGAAGCCCAACTGCATGCTGAAGGAACTCAAACGCAGAGATCTGGTCAGTCGTTTGTTTTCAAAACCGTCCGGTATGTTTACTCTGGTTATATTGGATTGGGTGTGTTTCGCTGTCCATATTTATCCAGAAAGGACGAGTCATGGTTTGATTAGATCACAGGTGGGACCAAGGTATATACGAAATTCATTTCCATGCTCAAACGTCAGTTCACCGCAAGACATTGCGGGTAGCAGTCTCCGACCACAACTTGGTGTACTGCTTGTGCAACCAGACAATATGCGCGGGCATGGGCTCCGAGTCCGCCTTTCCAAGTCCCTTGTAGAAGCAACTCTTCAGCCCAAACACCGCGACGCCCTCATCCGGCTTCACAACCGCGGACATCTCAAAGAGACCGTCCGATTCCCGTATATCGCGCAGACGGGGCGAGTCACCGCAGCGCACTACAATCCGTTCAGGGGTCTTCTCGACGACCTCGAAGTGGTCCGTAATCAGGGTTCCCTTGTCGTATGTCGAGGAGCGCAGCTCTTCCGGCGACCAGAGGTGGTTAGCGGTCTCGGGACCTTGGTACTTCCGTGCTAGGTATGCGCGCTGGAAAGCATATCCTGCATCACATTAGCACCCATCCCTCTCCATACACAATCAAATCTGAAAGGAAACAAAATGCATACCCCATCCACTCCAAACACCCGCACAAAACGCCTCCACCAACTTCCCCTTCTTCTCCAGCAGCGCGGGGTTAATCTCCGACAGCGGCACCTTGCGGATACACAGATCGTGCGTCGTAGGGTTCTTCGAAGGGTTAAACTTGCTGAACAGCTTCGACTGGAAGATGTGGTCTGTGACTGGCAGCGCGACGAAGGTACTGTCGCGGGTGGCCCAGAAGAAGGTGCCCAGGGTGGCGGCGGTGCCGATGGTGGTGAGTTTGAGGGTGCCGCGGATGATGCCCATTTTGGTTTCTTTTTGTGAGTTGTAAGGGGAGGTGGTGGTTAGGAGGAGGAAAGAGGTGAGAGAGTTGAGATGAGGTTGTGCGGAGGTGGGAAGACGCGGGACCGGAGCAATTCCGACCGGGGTATTGCGATTGCTTTACAGATTGGCTTGATGCTACTATGGACAGAGAAGTCTGCTGAGAAACATCTACGGAGTGATAATTGCATGCTATTCCCAATTAAAGCTTGGTAGAGACTTGTTATGTCCTTGATTGTTGACATCGAGCTGATATAGTCCGATGATGTCATCTATACGGGTCTGGAACTGCTTCTAGTTATACGATACTTCTACTTCGCGCTATATGTTCATGAAAGCGCTGGGTAATTATACCAATTTAGGATACGGAGTACATCTATCTCATTATGTTGACTCGTGCAATGCAAATCCAAAGCGCTCAGACAAAGATATGTCCCAGTTGGCATCCGAGCTAACGGGACTATGCCCGTGCACGGCTGCGAGAAACACAAATCATACATGATGGACCCGATACAATCCATGATGCTCTTGACAAATGTTTCCGACTATAAGTCCAGCCCTTGCCTCCTTTACCCCGGATTTCAGCTCGGGTTATCCGAGTCGGAATCCCCGTGATTTGCACTTTAGGTTGCTGCTGCTGTGATTTTGCGGGGAAAGCGATCTCGATTTTTAAAAAGAGCATCCACCAGCTGCTCCATTTTGTTTCAGGTCTGCCAATCCATCTCAGTCCGCTGGGTTATCGATCGCCATGGTAGACCAAAAGGAACAGTCGTCTTATGAGGGCGTGACGAGCCACACAGAGTCCATGGCGGATGAAAACGCGCCCCCCAAAACATCCCTGGATGATTTGAAGGATGAGACCAGGGTCGACCCGAATAATCCACAGGTATATCCCTGTAACCGTTTGAAAAAAAAAAAAAAAAAAAAAAAAAAAAAAAAAAAAAAAAAAGAAAGAAGCAATCTCCGTAAGACGATAAACTGACCAATTGCACAGAACTGGTCCCTCGTGGCCAAATACACTACCTACCTGACAATATGCGCCTTCACCTTTCTGGCCAACGTCAACTCGAGCAACTTCACCGTCGCCACAAAAGCCATCATCCAAGAATTCCATGTCACCCAGACACAAGCAGGCGAGCTTGTCTGCTTCAATGTCTTCCTCTTTGGTCTGGGCAATATCGTCTGGGTTCCTCTAATGCGCGTTGTCGGAAAACGCCCCGTCTATCTCCTAGCCATGGTGATTCTGTGCATGATGAATGTCTGGTCCAGTCAGGCGTCAAGTTACCGCGAACTTCTCGCTTCGCGAATCCTTTCTGGTTTCGCTGCGGCGGCGGCTGATGCTACTGTACCTGCCGTAGTCGGGGATATGGTGGCTCCCCAGGAGCGCGGGCATTATCTAATGATTTTTCACTTGGCCATGACAGGTGGACTATTTGTTGGTCCGCTGATCAATGCGTATCTAGTTCAGGAGCAAGATTGGAGATGGATGTGTTACTTTTTGGCCATTGCTGTTGGGGTCGTGTTTGTTTTTTCTATCTTTACAATTCGTGAGACGTCATATCTGCAAGAGGACAATATCGAGACTCGAGAAAAACGGACGCAGCGGCAATGGATGTCTTTGACTATCGGATACGATCGACAGGCTTCGTTTGTTCGGACTTTGGTGGATATCTTGACTAACGCTGCATATCCTCCATTGATTTGGTGTGCGTTCACTATCGGGATTTCCGTAGGCTGGTACGTAATACCATTCCCCTCGCAATGATAGCTACTGACATCAATAGGAATATCGTCGTGCAGCTAACCGCGTCGCAAGCATTCACCGCGCCACCTTATAGCTGGTCCGCAGGAAGCGTGGGACTCCTCTCCCTGTCCGGATTCATTGGGTCCGTTCTAGCCTTCTACGTAGGAGGTCGACTGATCGATATCATCTCAACGCGGTTAACGCACCATCGTGGAGGCCAGCGAATTCCCGAGTACCGACTTCCGGCCATTATGATCCCAGGAACGATCGGACCAGCAGGCATCCTGATCTTCGGACTATGCGTCGCCAACCGGACACACTGGATCGGGGCAGCGTTTGGATATGCCATGCAAGCGTTTGGTGTGGCAGCTATCTCGAACGTGGCTGTAACTTACTCATTGGATTGCTATAAGCCGGTACGTATCTATTTGCCTATAACAAATCAGTGCGCAAAACTAACGAAACCAGGTCGCCGGCGAAGCCCTGGTAATCATCTTCGTCATCCGCAACACGATCGGAATGCTGCTGTCATTGTACGCATCCGATTGGATCAGTCGACAAGGTGCGGCGGCGGTGTTTGGGGAGATGATGGCGATTCAAATTGCGAGTATCCTACTAGCCGTTCCGTTGTTCTTCTGGGGACGACGACTGCATCGTGCTACTTTGAGATATGGGCCTATGAAGCGGTTTCAGAATGTGGAGTAGTCTAATATAGTGAGAAATATAGCATAATAGTATTGTTCATCCCAAGACAATAAGCAACTGCTGTAACGTAATCTATCACCGACCTGGCCAAATCACCGACCTGGCCAGCTAAAATATCCATACAAAATGCCATATTTCAAACCATCATATCTCAACATTCATTTACTATCTTAGCTTCTGACATTAGAAACAGATTATCAGTGAGTAAAACTACCAGTGAGCCAATTTTTAAATGAATTATACCTGTACTCCTTTTTTAATACCCACCTTCAGCTCTTACGCCTATATTACATTGTAATTTATACTATCTTGATAACTAGCTTAGGAAATGGCTTCAAATTGATAATACTTATTATAGTAATGTCAAGAATATTAGGAATCAAATGGTTTAATCTGCGTCTACAAGGACGTTGAGATATGATGGTTTGAAAAATAGCATTTTGTATGGATATTTTAGCTGGCCAGGTCGGTGATTTGGCCAGGTCGGTGATAGATTACGTTATGGAGTGACAAAGAGAAACGATGTGGAGCTGTGGCGTATTTTGGTTCTATCACAATGATGATATCGGAGAGTTGTTCAACCGACAAAGAACATCCTTACAAATCAAGGCATTGACTTCTAATATGCTATTTAAGGGGCACCAATCCCAGACAATGAAAGAATACCATATCAATTCTTTACTATCATCGTTTCAATACCCTCCAAAATGCCGAAGGCCTATACTCCCATCAGGGTTGGTTCCATGAACCTTGCCCAACGCATTGCCATGGCACCCATGACCCGATTCCGTGCCGATGATGCTCATGTCCCCCTTCCCATAATGAAAGATTACTATCAGCAGCGTGCTGTAGTGTCTAGGAGCTTGATCATCACCGAAGCCACCTTTATTTCTCCCCGAGCCGGCGGTTACGACAATATCCCCGGAATCTATAATGACGACCAGATTGCTATGTGGCGAGAGGTGACCGATGCCGTCCACGCCAAAAACTCATACATCGTTCTCCAGCTGTGGGCGTTGGGCCGCGCTGCAGATCCCTCTGTCCTGGGACATGAGCAGCTCCCAGTTGTCTCAAGCAGTGCAACTCCAATGACGCCCGAGAAACCGGCACCGCGATCACTGAATGAGTCCGAGATCCACGAATTCATCCAGGACTATGCGCAGGCTGCTAAGAATGCGATCAAAGCCGGCTTCGACGCCGTCGAGATTCACGGAGCAAACGGCTACTTGATCGACCAGTTCACCCAGGACACATGCAATACCCGCAACGACAACTGGGGCGGAAACGTCGAGAACCGCTCCCGCTTCGCCATCGAAGTCACGAAAGCAGTCGTTGACGCTATCGGTGCCGAACGAACAGGAATCCGACTCAGCCCATGGAGCTCTTTCCAAGGAATGCGCATGAAAGACGCGGTTCCGCAATTTACCCACCTCGCCAAGGAACTGGCCAAGTTCCAGCTGGCTTATGTGCATCTGGTTGAGTCCCGCGTCTCTGGAGGCGGAGATGCGCCCCAGTCCGGCGATAAGCTTGATTTCTTCCTTCAGGCCTATAGAAAGGCCAGCCCGGTGATTGTGGCGGGTGGCTACACGGCGAATAAGATTGACGAGGCGCTCGAGAAGACGTATGGTGATTATGATGTTATTGTTGGTATTGGGCGGTATTTCACTTCGAATCCGGATTTGATCTATCGGGTCAGACAGGGCATTCCTTTGCGGCCTTATGAGCGCGAACACTTTTGTACACCGAAGGATCCTTGTGGGTATATTGATTATGACTTTTCTCGTGAGTGGGAGTGTTCCGAGGCGGATGAAGGGGGCTGTCAGCCGTGAGGTGTGGACTTGTATATAATTAGACCCATATCTTAGAGAGTATGTAATGTTCGAAGGTTGACCAACTCTACTTTTAGACATCGATCAGTTTCTCCACAAAGGTGTGGATGAAGATGCTTTGTTTGCACCTGCTGAATTGCTGCCAAGCCAACTCGTAACCATCGCCTTGCTCTTCCTCTTCCTCTTCTTCTTTTTCGTCTTCTTTCTCAACACCCTCATTTCATGCACCAAACACTTTCCCATCATGGCAACCGGAAATTTAATATTCTACCATAATAAAAAAGATGTGATAGAAGCAGTATCCCATCCTGCTACTATCGCTGAGCGGACGCGTTGCCGCAGGCAGTTGGACCATTCTCTTCCCACACCTGAGGACCTGAAGGAACGTCACATACGACACGAGCGGATGCCTCTAGAAGAAGAATCGAAGCCTCTCTATCTCACACCTTACGAAGCCACAATCGAGAATACGAATAACCAACGCCTGGTCAACTGGTATCCAAAGTTAGAAGCCGATGATGATCACTATTCATGTGCGAGTTTTCTCACGTGGTATTTGAGGGAATATTTTCTGTCCTACAACTTACCAAAGGGGGATCTCATCCCTTCAGGTTCACGTTATCGAGGGTTCGTTTCCCCCTACATGATCCAATCTTTGTCGAGCATTGTCCTCATACACCTTTAGTTTCGGAGAGTTTGGAATTACTTGGATTCGGTATGCTTTCAACTGTGTCAGGTTCGCCAGAAGAGTCCTGGCAGGTGGAAACAGCGTGGGATACACGCCAGCGAGGTCATCCTCACATGAAGGTCCTGATTGCTAGTGGTGTATGCCCGGACGACAAACTATCAAAAGCAGAGGTTGCAGTTATCCACGATGTGATGCATAGGCGGCTGAGAACAATGCACCTTTGTAACCACAAGGTTTCTCCGGTATGTGCTTTATCTCGAAGAAAACTCTAAAAATGATGGATGAATGACTACTATTTGTTTGCTTTTTCTACAGATCCTTTTGTTCTCCGTCGTATCTATGAGCCATGTCCGAGTATTAGAAGCATTCCAAGACGGTGAAGAACTCGTGGTGCGCAGCAGCAAGAATTACGATATCGGAAGCCGGAATCTGGATACGCTGCTTCTTCTATCGCGCTGGTGGCTGGGGTATCCGAACGATAAACTGGATACAAGAGGCTACGTCCCGACAGACAAGGTCTTGACTTGGGTTCAGGAGCAGAATTCTCAGGCTCTCAAGTCAAGACGCAAGTCAAAGCCCAAGACAAAATCCAAGTCAAGATCTACTTGAATGACTAACTCCATGACGCACGTTATATAACTATCGTTTCTTTAATGTATAATAAGTTAATGGTTTACGAATATTACGTCTATCGTCTTCTCCGATGCTCTTACAGTTGATCACTCTGGAGGATGAGCCAAAACCCCTTTACTTCACACCCTACGAAGCACCCATACTGGTTACAGACTACGAAGCCCTACTCGACTGGTACCCCGAACTCGAGCAGCCCAATCCTGGATCGCGTGCAAATGACCTCGTATGGTACATAAGAGAATACCTCAAACGTTGCAAACTACCAGAGGATGAGATGCTTCCTCCTGGCTCGGTGTACCAAGAGTCTGTCTCCCTTGTCTGTTTATCGGATTCTGTCTCTGACACATCCTTACAGCTTTGGCTCATTTGGTCCGCTTTTTGACTTCAAGAGTCAATACATTTGGCGGGTGCACGCAGCTTGGGAAACGAGCGAGCCGGGTTTTCCGCATATGAGTCTTGATGACTAGCGCTGCGTGTCCGGGAGACTTATTTTTCCGTGGCGAGCTTCTGGCTATTATCGATGTTATACACAAACGTTTGAAGACAATGCCGCTTTGTAATCATGTCATTGCCCCGGTATGTGCCTGGAATGTCCTGTAAAAGACGTTGGATGACTGATGGGTGTCTTGAATTCTAGGTTCTTTTATTCTCCGTGGTGCCTATGAACCACATCCGAGTAATAGAGGCGTTCTACGATGGAAAGGAACTCGTCGTACGTAGTACTAAGAACCATGACATTGAGCACCGGGATTTGGATCTCATTATCCGTCTATCACGGTGGTGGGTAGGATATCCTAGTCAAAAGGACACGAGGGGATTTGCTCCGGCAGCGCTAGAGGAAATTCTAGCGGCCCGTGGGCTTGTATGATTGATTTCTCTATTCCTCGAACATATACAAGTTGCACTCATGAGCTTCCCAAGCTTCTGTCACGGGTCATTGAGCCCTAACAATAGATAGATTGACGCAAAGATGGCGTTTTCAATTAGAATATGGCGAACCATGTCGCTCATCAGATACTGATATGTATGTAGAAATGTACAAAGGCTCAATTTTGATCATTCAACAAAATAAATAGGAAACTATACATACATGCACACATTTCAGAGGCCAAGTGCTATGCGGAAAGAGACGTAGGAGGGGTAAGAAGATGAGGACCAGATTTATTTTGTAAAACCCGGGAGAAACCGACCAAAGATATATTGAAAATATATCTCGTTTAACCAACGACACGATCCACAAAAGTCTCCTCGAGCTTAGCAACCTCCCGTTTAAACCCCTCAACCTCCTTCCAGCAGTCCAGAGGCCGCCGGTCGTTCAACCGCAAGCAGCCGGCGACATCCGCTCTCGCCCGCTCAACGTTCTCGCCGACATCAATAAGCTTCTTCCGCCCGTCGAGCTTCTCCCGCAGCTGATCGATCTCAGTCTGCACTGCGGTCCGCGTTACGTCACGGTTGATCGGACGGTCCACCGGCGCAGCAGCAACGGGGGTGTACTCCCGGCCAGCGAAGGGAATTCGGGGAGCGTCGAGGTTCAGAGAGCCGGGGGTGTGGCTGATGTTTGGTGTGGAGGTAGCGGTAGCGGTAGCGGCGGTGTCTTTGACTTCGGCCAGGCGCTGTTCGATGTCGGCGAGGGTCTTCTGTTCGCGTTGGCGGAGGCGTTCGAGTTCCTTGGCTACGCGCTCTTGGATCTGGAGTTCGAGGGTCTTTGCGCGGGAGGAGTCGGTCTGTAGGAGCGTTCATTGGTTAACTTGAGCTCAAGAGTCTTTGTTGGTTTTGGAGGGGCTTGGTGTGGGCATACCTCGGAGCTGGTCTGGAGGGCCTCGACGAGGTTCGAGGAGAATTGAACGGGGGAGTTGCTGTTATTTGAATGGCGTTAGCTTGTTGTTTCGTTGATTGTAATCCAGGGCTTGTATCTTCCGGAAAAGATGCGAATAGCCAGTCCCAGTAACTCCGGCTCAGTGTCGAATTGCGCAAGATACTAGCTTCGGAATTGCCTCCCCAAGAACAATATAGCTGCTACACCAAGCAGAAAAGAGCAACAAATCCACTATTGGGGCAATTCCTACCTCGAGAAAACATGCTTCGAGCCCTCAGGCTTGGAGTTGCCGGCGCCCATTGTGTCTCTGGTATTGGGGTTGAATATCGCTCGGAACCGTGAGAAAGTCGACGAGGAGCCCAGATATGATCCGGCTAGACTGCGTAGAGGGAGAGGGGTCGTGGTTTGTCGAAGGGCTGGATTTCAATCACTGTCGACGTCCGAGTTCTGCCGGCGATGGAATTCGGCGGTCGGTCACGTGATTCTTGCCTAAGGCATTAAGTAGAGTACAAGAGTAACTAAACAAAGCAAGTGAGGAATTGTCAGGAGAATTATTATTCAATTCTATGTACATTTTACCGCATGGGCTCTACTGAGATCTCAATTGATATTGGTATTCGTGGTGTTCTCATTGGAGAGTTCACCATAAAATGATATCATCAACCGCAAACGTCTACATGCAAGTGAGCGAAATGGATGAATTTCCCGCACGATTAAAGCGCACTTAATATTGTGTAAATTGCCGGATGGATGACAATTAAACCAATTCATATCAACGCGGCAGGAACCGGAGAAAACCAGACGATATCGGGAAGCCGGCGGTTTCTGTTCTCTTCTGCGACTGACCTCATCGACCCCTCTCCCATGATATAACCTGGAATTCATCGCTCCGACAAGACCTGCTGTCCCTTTTCCCCTCTTTTCTCTCTCTTTCTCACTCTTCGTGCGATTCAAGTCCCTCATTCCATTCCGTCTGGTATACCGCAATCATGTCTTTCATCCTGGACGAGGCCAACCGCATTGCGCACCTGTTCGACTACCCCGCCGAGCAGGTCCATCGAGGGGTCGCTGAATACATCCGCCAGATGGGTGAAGGGCTGACTCAAGAAAACACGACCCTGAGCCAGATCCCTACCTTTGTGACATCCGTGCCAAATGGTACTGAAAAGGTACGTTTTCTCTTCTTTTATGCAAAGTCTCGACCCTGCTGACCTGGAGATCTTCTATAGGGCCTCTATCTAGCTGTCGACCTCGGTGGCACCAATTTCCGTGTGTGCTCAATTGACCTCCATGGCGATACTACATTCTCCGTCACGCAGTCCAAGATCATGGTTCCTGGCGAGTTGATGTCGGCAGAAAACTCAAAGGAGCTCTTCGTGTTCTTGGCCCGGCAGATCGAAGCCTTCCTACGCATTCACCACAATGAGCACTTCGAAACACACCTCCAGCGTCGTCGCGATGGCACTGCTACACAAGAAATGTTCGATCTTGGTTTCACGTTTAGTTTCCCCGTGCGCCAGTCGGGCATCAACAAGGGCACTCTCATCCGATGGACAAAAGGCTACAACATTCCCGATGCTGTGGGCCAGGATGTCTGCGCGCTGTTGCAGTCGGCAATTGATGAACTAGAACTACCGGTCCGTGTCGCTGCGCTTGTCAATGACACCGTCGGAACTCTCATGGCCCGGTCCTACACTTCGCCTGGGAAAACACGGACGTTGATCGGAGCCATTTTCGGCACAGGAACCAACGGGGCTTATTTGGAGAAGCTTGACCGGGTCACTAAGCTGGAGAATGGCGAATATGGCAAATACGACAAGTCGACGGGCGAGATGCTTATCAACACTGAATGGGGAAGTTTCGACAATCACTTGAGCGTGTTGCCCAGCACCATCTACGACCAGCAGGTAGACGCAGACAGCAACAACCCAGGGATTCAGATGTTTGAAAAGCGTGTCTCGGGCATGTTCTTGGGCGAGGTCCTGCGTCGGGTCCTGGTGGAAATGCACCACAACCCATCGGTCAACTTGTTCAAACCTAACGAGACCTCTAACGTCATTACTCCTGACGATTCACCCCTCTTCAAGCAATGGGGCATCGATACCAGTCTTTTGAGCTTGGTAGAGACAGACAAGAGTGCAAACCGGGAGCACGCCAAGAAGGCGTTGAAAGACCACTTGAAGATCGAAAAGGCCAGCATCACAGAGTGCAAGGCTGTCCAGGTCATTGGACGCGCTATTGCTACGCGCGCTGCCCGCCTGGGTGCCGTGCCTCTTGCTGCCATTGCCGTCTCCACCGGGAGACTGCAGACCGACGAGATGATCGACGTCGGTGTTGACGGAAGTCTCATCGAGTTCTACCCCAACTTCGAGGGACACATTCGTGAGGCATTGAAGCAAGTCCATGACGTGGGTCCTGAGGGTGAGAAGAAGATTCGGATTGGCATCTCCAAGGATGGCAGCGGAGTTGGTGCTGCATTGATTGCTTTGGTTGCCGGTCGTGAAGTCGAAGCGATGAAATATCAATGAATGCTTCGCCGCCACCAGCCGCTACCTTACAGCATTGCCACGGCCTTCTTTGAAGTCTAATACTCTCGTTGTCCTTCAAAACATAATGCTCGTCATGTTTGACGGCCATCACCCCCGCCGAGTAGGTGCGGGACGAGGTATATCAGTATCATCCCCGGAGTTGTACATTTATTCCATGTTGGCATAGCATTATTCGGGATATCCTATAGGCGCGATGGATTGTTTTTACTATGGAGTCTATTGTTTTGCTATGATACTTGAGCATATAAACATCGAATTAGACCAATGATGAAACTATTGATCTAACAAGATCCACCTTTACATGGTAGCTTTCATGGCTTAGTTTTCTACGATTCAAACTATAAACGAGTTATCTTGATGTTCAAAAAGTGCCACCCACTATACACCAACTTCTGCCCCGAGACTTCACCCTTCATCAGCCATTTCGAACCATCCAAAGCACCTTTTAGTCCCACTCGCCCTTGTCCTCCGGCTTAGCAGGCATATGCTGACCTGCAAATCTAGAAGCTACTCTTAAGATCGTGTCTCCCAGTGTGCTCAGCGCCTTTATGTTATACCGATCGATCTTCATGTGCAAATGCAGCGCAACGTAGTGCCTCACTCCACCGAGATAGCTTGCTCACATTACTCGGAACTGTTTCCCGTGAATGCAGCGTCGAACCAACTTGTCTAGGGGTGATGGAAGTGCATTCAGATCATATACGATGGCTAAACATCGCATTATCTGAGAATAGATCAATGCTAACAAGACATTAATCAACAGCATGTCACCATCTTCACACAGCTATCGCAATCGATAAGCTGCACGCGTCTTTACACTGACAGCAGTGCATTGGTATTCAATGGGTGCTGGCGCAATTGAGCCTGAAACTGCTGCTGTATGCATGGCTTGCATAGAGTTTCAGAATTTCCAAGACGATGAATCGAAGTTGCATAGTATTGGAAGTTTAAATACTGTATCTCAGACATGTGATGTTTGCCGCTACAGACTGGTCTCACAATGACGGAAAAACCCTAAGAGACGTGGATATAACTGCTGTCTTGTACTCTGTACAGATAGTAAAGAAAGAGTCCCTGTGGGGTATGATAATAGGAGAAACATACGCGCATCGAATAATCATACACGTTCGCCTGAAACGGAGCATGCCGTCGGCATGCAAGGTGCACCCTGCATATTTCGATGTGTGCATACACGTATGGCAAGGGTATGCAGGTACCCTAATATCGCGCTGAGGTTGGTAGCTCCTTTTCCATACCACATAATCAACACATAATGCATGCTCGTGGATAACTTTATCGCGTCACGATCCATCGCCGTGCCTGTATGACAGTAGATACCATATGTAGACCTCTGACGATTATGATGCAAATGTCCCGATCCGCCTCCCCCTTTCTTCGCCTGTTATCCTTTCATTCACAGCCACGAACGGTCATGGCAAGAGCAAGGGCATTGTTGTTGTTAGATCTGGACTCCTTCCGCCGGGTGTTCGCAATCAATTCCGTGTCAGCACGAAACCGTCCTGCAAGGTACTGGCTCCTGGCGAACGGTACTTCCTGCATTCGTTCATTTTGATTTTTCTTTCTTTAACCAAGCGTCCCTTTTCCTGGCGGCCCCGTGTTCGAAAACTGGTTTGTACTGCGAGTATTATATCGAGTTTTTGCGATGCGACAAACAAACGACCGCAAATGCTTGAAGCATTTAGGCCAGTCGATGGAAACGATTGAGATGGATTCGACCGAGACTCTCGATAAGCCCTGGTTGAGAAAGACGCCATCCGGAATAAGCACGCTCGTTGATTCCCCGCGACCTGGGAGCCCATTAAAATACTACTATGAGGAGCTCGAGCCTGTTTTGCGAAGAGAGGATACAGAGGATGAACATGAGTATCCGTCATTATGGAAGTTGGCGCTCATCACGACTGGGATATGCCTGTGTGTGTTTTGCATGGCTTTGGTTGGCTCACCTTCCTTTTCCTGGAGGATATAGGGGGCTAATGACTGTAGGATAACACAATCATGGCAACAGCGATTCCTAAAATTACCAGTCAATTCAACTCGCTGGACGATGTTGGCTGGTACGGTAGCGCGTACCTACTACCGACTTGCGCCCTGACTCTTGTCTTCGGCAAACTATATACGTTCTACTCGATTAAATGGGTCTACCTTGTCGCTCTGTTCATATTCGAGCTGGGATCGTTCATCTGCGGCGTGACCCCGACTTCCATCGGACTGATCATGGGACGCGCGATTGCTGGTCTGGGTGGTGCAGGGCTATTCTCCGGTTCGATCCTCATCGTCACGCAAACGGTGCCGCTCCATAGACGACCTCTGTACACGGGCATGGTCGGGGCTATGTTTGGTGTTGCCAGTGTTGCGGGACCGTTGATGGGTGGTGCCTTGACGGATCATGTTTCGTGGAGGTGGTGCTTCTACATCAATATGCCAATTGGGTTCGTCACAGCTGTGTTTATCTTGGCCTTCTTCCAATCGCCAAAAGCCATTAAGAACAGGACCGGGTTCAAGCATCAGATCTCGGAGTTGGATATCCCCGGCACGATGTTCTTTCTGCCGGGTGTGGTCTGCGGCTTGTTGGCATTACAATGGGGCGGTATCAAGTATGAGTGGAGTGACAGACGGGTTATTGCACTTTTCGTGTGCTGTGGAGTGTTAATCTTGCTCTTCTGTGTTGTGCAATGGTGGAGGCAGGAGAAGGCTACTATTCCGCCCCGGTTGATCAAGAACCGTAACATGTGGGGATCAGCATGGTATGCGTTTTGCATTGGTGGCTGCTTCTTCATCTACGTGTACTATGTGAGTACCTCAGACCGTCCACCAAGATTCTCAATGCTAACCGGGCCGACAGCTTCCCCTATGGTTCCAAGCAATCAAAGGCGCCTCCGCAACCAAATCCGGAATCATGAACCTTCCCATGCTCCTTGGCGTTGTCATCTGCTCTGTCCTCGCTGGCGCCCTCGTCACCTGGATCGGCTACTACACACCGTTCATGATCGCCTGCTCAATCATCATGACCATTGGCGCCGGCCTGCTCACCCTCCTACAACCAGACTCCAACCACAGTGCATGGATCGGCTACCAAGCCCTCTTCGGCATCGGTCTCGGTTTGGGTATCCAACAGCCCATGATCGTCGTCCAAACTTCACTCGCGGCGGGTGACATCCCCGTTGCGACGGCCGTCAATATGTTCGCGCAGACGCTGGGCGGGGCGATTTTCATCGCTGTTGGACAGAATGTGTTTTCGAATCGATTGCTCGATAATATGGTGAAGAGCATGCCGCCTTTGGAGATCGCGAAGGTGATGGATGTGGGTGCTACGTTGGTTCGTCAGGTTGTGTCGCCGGAATGGTTACCGGAAGTTCTGCAGGCATATAGTGATGCTATCACGGAGGCTTTTTACCCTGGTGTTGCGATGGGGTCTTTGTCAATTATTGGGGCGTTGGTTATTCAGTGGATATCTGTGCGGGGGAGGAAGATTGATATGGGGGCTATGTGATTGAATGATCTTTTTTGCCTTATGATTGCCGTATGTAGGAAATGTTTTGGCGTATATATTCTTACGCTTGTTTAGGCGCTGGTAAAGCAAGCTAGTATTCAATAACAGAAAGGCTGATAGACCTATTGGGGTATCAATTTAGATCAAATTAAACCGAATATGGGGAATCTCTATATCCAATGAATGAAAACTCTCGAAACGAACAAGAAGACCAAGTAAACAAACCACTAAACAGCCGCATACAGACTCAAATAAATACCCCAGATAACACCACACGCACTCGCAAACACCACTCGCCGGTCTACCGGAATGACAGTATACATCAATCCTGAGACAAGAGGCCGGAACTTAAGCCGGGCGACCATAATAGGGGGCAAGTCCTGTCATTGTTAGATCAGATCTCATCAACGCGCTAGAAAAGGAAGGAAGACAAACATCGCAAACTAGTTTCCAAAGACCCCCAATCCCAAGCTGCCCTTTGAGCATATTAATCAAAACCACAAACAAGACGATATTCACCACACCAGCCACCGTCTGATCGAGGGTGAATTTCATGGCGAAATTGCGCCATCCCGAACCCGATGGAGATGCTGACGATGAACCTGACGAGAATGTCTGTTGTCGGGGTGGTTTCTCCTTGCGTGGGAGTGAATCTTCAAGATCTAGCACTGGCTTGTCTTTCTCTGCATCGCTTTTAAATGCATTTCTTAGATTTGGAAAGCCTGGAAAGCGGACTTCGATGTACCGCTGCCAGTAGAAATTGGGAGGCACGACAATAGCCCCGTAAATGACGAATGCTAAGAAAACGGGGATATTAAGAGCAAATGGTTTCTATGCGTTGTTAATTCTGTAGGTTTTCTATACTTTCTGGGTAGGGCATACGTCTTGTCTGTGCTGGTCTATCAGTTGCGCCAGGAGGTTGGATAAGGCGTTGAGGACGGTGGATTGGAGCAGGGTCGCTGTTAATGGAGATGGAGGCATTTTGATTCAGGGATCATTACATGATCCTCTTAGAAGACTCTGAATGATTGTATATAGTCTTCCAGTCTCCCTTTTTGTATATTCTCCCCTTTGATGACTGTCAGGTGCTAATGCCAAGACGCGGCTGGGCGACCGTGTCCTTAGTTTTACACGCTTATTTCCTATTCGGGTTACTTGCTGCGCATAGAACCATCAACCATTCAGCATTTTATTAGACTGGAAATAAATAGAGCAACTATTCAAAATTGCGACAATTCTGTAGAGCGAAGGACTCGAACTGAGCAAGTTTCAATAATAATCATCACTTGTGATCCATTTTCGAAATTCAGGATATAATATCGCCAAAGTGATTATCATGGCAACAAATCCCGCTACAAAGAGTACACCAAGTTTCCATGTTATACATGAGCGCGAGCATGTTCGTCTTATTCTAGGAGGGGATCGCCTATAACTGGGCCGTGAGTCTGTCGCTGAGCAGTATGAAGGAGGGGGGCTTGATGTATATGAAGGGGGATCTGGGTTGGTTAGTCCTGTTTTTTAGCAGGTTTCTTTTTTGCATTCTGTTCATGGATACTTACTTGAGTTTGGGTATCTGAGAGGATAATTATTATCACCCCATTCGGGGCCTCGTCCGTTTGCCATTTTGCTTGCTTGTGATGAGAAGATAGATGAGATGTTCATGGTCAGTATGGACTTGTGGAATAGGTTTTGCTACAGCCTACTAGGCATCTCCATGATACGGTACATCTATACGAGTATAGAAATAAGGTGTGAAGGTAATAAGTGCGTAAGCACCCCATCAATTAGTTAACTGCCTAGCTAGTAACAAGAAATACCAACATCGCTGAGCACTTTTTCAAAAGCAGTGTCACAGTAATTACTGAACTCGCTTGTCGCAGCTGGAAGAGAAAAAGAAATCCAGAATTGAGGTGGATCGAGACATAAAGTATTAGGGCCAGCCTTTATATGCGGCAACCCGACTGGCAAGCGCACCAAGAATGCACTCAATTCAAAGTAACTGAGATGATAACAAGCGCCAATACAAGGCATATTGTCCCAAGTTGACCGGCACTTGGGATGCTCCAGCATCTTGTCCTGAGACGGACCCAGAGTTGGCTAGGCTGGCTTTCTTAGGCTTCAGACTTGAGTCTGACACTGTCGACGAGAGTGGAAGCAATGGGTATGAGATTGAGACTATGGGAGGAGGGCGTGATCTGTATAGAATGCCTGAATCCTCAAGTTCCTCGGATTCGAAGGGATAGTTTTGATCACCCCATTTGGGGTATTGCCCGTTCTGGTACATTATCTCGAAATAGTAATTTCGATCACCCGACTGGTCGTTGCGCAGAGATGGAATCGATTGGGTGTCTACTCTGTACAGATAGGCATCAATATAGGTGGGATTCAAACGGGACTCGAATAGGCTACTATCTCTGACACTGTATTATAGCCCAACATATCTATATAATTATGAGAGTGGACTTCAGCTAATCATTAAAATTAAGCGTGTGTATGAAGAACATTATCAAAACCAGGGTTATCAAAAGTCATAGAACCGTCCCACCTCCGGAGGAGCATGCCGTGCCTGAACAGGACATGAAGTAACAGTGTCAGTAAGCGGTTAGCGACTGCACTGCTGACAAAATTTATTTAGCCATATAGCCCCTAATATTGTTCCTGTGCTTCCAAAACAATTATGCCCATACCCAAACCAAGCATCAGTATGTTGTGTGTGACGTCGAGACATTCGAGTACACACTAGCTTCAGCGAGCAGAGGCAACACGAGCCCCCCACGCTCTGGGTCTGGCTCTGAGTCTAGATTTGAACCTGTTGATGCTCGTGTTGTTAGTGTTGATTTGGACAACGCTGAATGGTATGAGAGTGGACCAGGGCTTGATGTGTATGGGAGCGGAGGGTCTGAGTCCTTAGCAGGGTGGTTAGAATCGCCCCATTTAGGGTCTTGTTTGTTCGCCATTTTTCTTACTTTTGATGAGAAGGTAGAGGGATGTTCATAGTCAGTTCAAAGAAAAAATATATTGCTACAGCCTGCTAGGCATCACCATGATACAGTTCTGACGGAATTTTAAATTTGTCAATATCAAGGCTACTACTATTTGGTTTCCGGCTAAAATAGCTTTGCAGTAAAAGTATAGCGCATGGACATGGATGTAGTATTGGACCTTGTAGATCATTCATTTGGATCAATACATGAAGAAGCAACAGCACCTGCACATTTCTGGCTTTGACTGCGGCTGCACCGTCGCTGGCGTATGTGACCGTATAACTGCTAATACTCTTCCTGGGATTCCAAAATGGGCACAGCTATCTACATAACAGCCAGCAGTATATTGCTTATGACATCAAGACATTCGAATACATCTTCCTCGTCGCATTCGCATTCTGGAAGCGAGGAAGAGGGCTGGTCAGACTGGCTCCCTCGCTCCGAGTTTGTCTGACTCTGTTGATTATCGTGTTATTGTCGGTGTTGAGGCGAGGGACCACGCTGAGTGGTATGAGAGAGGACTACGGTTTGGTGTGTATGGGGGTGGAGCGTCTGTGTCCTTAGCAGGATCGGGGTAGTTGGAGTCGCCCCATTTGGGGTCTTGTTTGTTCTGGTTGCTTGAGTAGATCATTTTGCTTGTGTGTCTTGTGAGTTGTTGAAGATGAGATGAGTGGATTCAAGGGACGTAGTGAAAAGGCATCTCGACCGCCTGTTAGGCACCTATCTCTCCTAGACCAAATAGGCCAGATAGGCTACTATTTGCTCGTGGAAAAATGAAAGCAATATCTTAACATTAACGGCCAGTGGAGCTTCAGGCATCAACCCAGCAGCCCTACGGTAACTAGATATCGTATAAATCCCAGCATTTTATAATCCGCAATGCACGTCTTAAGAAGTAACATACAACACCAAGAGGATTAAAATAATAACTAGCCCTACCGCATGCATTATAACCATAATCCACCAGACTCTGTCAGGCTTGCGTCTGTGTTTCTTAAGAGGAAGACTGCAACATGGAACGCCGCAACAAGACCAGGACTGGTCGGACTGGCTCTCACCGAGCTCTGGCTCTGTCTCTGACCCTGACTCCGACACTGACGACACTGACGACCCTGACTCTGACTCCGACTCTGCTGGTTGTAATGTCGGCGGGGAAGTTTGAGGTAACGGCAACGACAGCGATGACACTGCCGTACGGTATGAGAGAGGAGGGCTGGAAGTGTTTGAGCAGGGAGTTTCTAAGTCCTCCTCAGCAGAGTGATTGCAATCACCCTATTCGGGGTCTTGTTCGTTTGGGTAGTTTGCCATTTTGCTTGTTGATTGATGATGGGGGTTCTTGAAAAATTGTAAAATAGGCATCTTAAGGCATCTCCATGATGCAGTCCTGACACAACTCAGAGTATGATTATGTTCATAAAATCATGTGTAGATACGCATACTACGACTACCGTCTCCAAACCCTCACATTAGGCCCCTCCTTCGAACTCGTAAAATGATCAACCAAGGCCAAATGCCCTCCCTCATCTTCACCAAATCGATCCACCAATTCCATATCAAACAAGAATACCATCCGCGCAATAGTCAATCGCATCTCCATGAACGCCATGCCCTTCGCAATACACCCCCGAGGTCCAATACTAAATGGGCACAGAGCGCGTCGGGCTAGCTCAACTTCTTCTCTACTGGTTTGCCATGACGCTGTACCTGTCTGGCATGCTGCTCCTTCGATCCAACGCTCGGGTATATACGACTCGGGTTCACGGTAGTACCGCGCTTGTCGATGGATGGAGTAGATGGGCGTTCCACAATTTGTGCCCTCGGGGAGGAAAATGCCATCCACGACGACACCGCCGTCCATCGCCTCGCGGGGGAGAGCACCAGGTGCTGCTGGGGTTAGACGCATGGCTTCGTCCATACATGCCTTAAGATAGACCAGCTCGTTTAGTCGAGGACTACTGATAATCTCCTCAACCGAGTCGAAGCTCTCGCGTACTTCCTGCTTAAGTCGCGCCATGGCATGGGGGTTACGGACAAGATAGAAGATCGTGCCTGCCAGGGTGGTCGCGGTTGTATCACTACCAGCGATCATGAGGACGTTAGCTTCGCCCCAGAGTTCTGGGGTTGTGAGACCCTTGCCGGTTTCGGGGTCTTTGGCGTTGAGGAGGTAGTAGAAGAAGTCTTTCTTGGACTCGCGGCCAAGCTTGGCGCGTTCTTTTGCGCGCTCGTTGGCTTCGACACGGGACTTCATGATGAAGTTCCAGCGGTCTTGGGTGAGCTTGCGAATGAAGATTTGGTCCAGATGCCAGCGGTCAAGGGGCATCCATAATCCGCACTGTCATTGTTAGATGGGATATGACTAGCGCGAATAATGTGTAAAGCTTACCACATAATGTCGATGAGCAGCCTTGTCCACCAATTCAACCATCTGCCGCCGTGTCTTGGAGATCAACATGTCGAAACTCTTCCCAAAACATAACTCGCCCATGACATCATACGTAAGATACGAGAACAAATCTCCCATGTTACAAATAACGCCCTTCCCTTCATCACTTTTGCCATCCTGGAACTCCCCAGACAAAACAGCACACAACTGCCGCACATGCAACAGCATCACATCCTCCATGCCCTTAAGCGCATGGTCCGAAAACGCCTGGCTCAACACACGTCTCTTCCGTCCATGCACGACTTTGTCAATAGCATTATGTGTATTATACACACCCTTGATAGCCGGAAAAGCATTATAAAAACCCGCCTTCTTCAACCGCTTTCCGTGTCCGTAGATTTCGTGTAGTCCTTGGACGGAGTTTATGGAAACGAAATTCGGCGCGACGCGGACATGTGGACCGTACTGCTTGTGTAGGTTGTGCAGCCAGAGGTGTCTGTCTCCTTTGTAGCCGTGGTAAAGCTGGACCCAGGGTGTGATTGAGGCGAGGGGTGGGCCGGGAATGTGGCGGAGGGGACTGAGGAATCGGTTGTAGAGGACGTATATGATGGTCTGCCATGGTCAGTTGTTATTGCAATGAAGATGCGATGGAACCTACCAGTCCGCTTAACAGAAAACCAAGTCCCCATATACCCGTTGAAAGGGATAAGTTCTCCAGTGTTGACTGGATCAGCATGATAACGATCTGTATGCAACTAAAAGTCCGAAAAAGGAAACCGAGGCAAACCGAGTCCGGCTCTTTGTAAACTAGCAACTCTTGTCAGAGGACGTAACTAGGAAACAAGATAGATTCAATAGTGGTAAATAAGAGAGTCAAAAGTGTCTTCTGAGAAAAGAGAAATCCAAGTGAGATGACCGTCTATATACCATCGTATTCAGCATTCACCCCATACTCAAGGGCTGCCTCGGTTAGACGCGGAATTACCCCAACCTGCTCTTTCAATGGGGCGGTTAGAATTATGGTTATATCATTTATCATTAACCTGAATGGAGGATTGGTTATTGAGTTGATCCAGTAATATATGCAGAGTTGGTCAGAGAGCCAACTGCCGTGCTCGTGTTTTGTGTAGCTTGCGCGGTGGGGTAGAATTTATACATGGAATGTCTCAGCTAGAGAATGTAGTAGAGCATATTACAGTGGACTCGACGGTAAGGTTCGGCAATACTCCAGGTTCATAACGGATACCTTCGGTTTTAAATCATTTGGTCATATCTCATGTCTCATAGCATCCGAGATCGAAGATAGTGCTAGCAATTCCTAAGTTATGCAGCAATCTACACCGGTCCTCCCCGGCCATCTACTCACAGCTCTCTGAGGGATGATAAATAATGCTCATGATCATAGTAGCATTATCCGGCCGATGAGCAAACATGAAAGCGACTCATCCATATGAGTATTGACAATGTACCGGTGACATCTCAGTTGTATGCCCATGCAAGCCTCCATCAAGAATCCATTGTTCATTGTCATCCTTGTCATCCTGCACACGTCGCCATGTCTGTGGCTTTCTCTCTTTACGCGCTTCGGGTTTATCTCCAGAGCTGCCCTTCCAAACAGGCCGTAGCAACCCACCAGCTGCAAGAAGAGGATTACGACTGAACGCCTCCCCTCCAGTTCGTTGCTGACCATCGGAAGCAGCCAGAAACTCTTCCGCTTTCGCTTCTTCCTCTTGTTCCTCTTTTGAGGGCCCAGACTCGGCTGGTGCCTCATGGTAAACCTTCCTCACCCGACCGCCCTTGATATCCAGACTCATGATGGTTTTCTTCTTCTCCCATTTTGGTCGTGCTTTCTCTTCCATCTCACGCAGAACCCGTTGCTGCTTCTTCAAAGCTAGTGCTCGCTGAGCAGGGCTCATCCAGATCGTTGACGCCAAATTGGGTGTCTCGAAATCAGCTGCCTCATCTACGACGCGCGTTCGACGGGCATTCTGTGCTTGGAAGTTCAAGAGTCGGTCTCGATGCGCCTTGGCTGCGTCCAGCTGACTAGAAGAGCCACCAGGTCCAGGTGTAGGTCCTGATCCGCCTTCCCGCTGGACACCTTCATTGTGTACCCGCATCTTCTCCTGTCCCCGTTCTGCTCGTAGTTCATTGATTATGCTTTGTACTTCATCGTTCGACAGTAGTGGTGTACCACAAAACGAGCATGGCTGCAAACCTTCCAATGAACATATTATCTTCCCGCAGTTGAGGCAGTTTGGTGCCGGATCAAACAATGGATGGATCGAGGCATAGCAAGTGCATTTCCTTCGCTCTGTACTCAACGACGGGTTTGTGGAGACCTCCAAAGCAGCAATGGCAGCCGTTAAATCGGAAATATCGTTTGTAGTCAATGAATTCTTAAAAGATCCCGCGGCAGCAGAGCCACCTTGTCGAGAGGAAGAGGGCTTGGCGGACTTGGATTTGACGTTTGGAAGGAGCTCTGAGATCACCGGTCCGGAGGCAGAGGGCGGGACTTTGTTCTTGGGAGCGGGGGACGGGTTACGCGACGAAGCAGCGGATTCACGAGGTGACGGACGTAAGAAAGCTGCTGGCTCAGCGGACAATGACGACGCCGCATCACCACCTGTGTTGTTATTTCGTGAACGTGCCATGGACATGTAATCATCCTCCTGGTCAGCCTTCCTATACCCCCCAGTCACATTTCCATAATTCTCTGGCCTGCGCGGAGGACCGGTGCTGTGTAGCGGTGCCCGTCCTTTTTTACCACCTTTCTTCGTTGCGCCACCTTTATCGTAGTTGTTCCTGCTACCTGCCGCCGGCGTGGATTCCCCGCTTCGTGGTTCTGAAGGTTGTTGAGCTTCTCGGCGCGAGTTGAAGGATGCGATGAATTCGAAAGCTCCGGGGGAATCGCCCAAGAGGTTCTTGAGGTGTTCTGCGCATTCTTCTTTCGAGAGGGTAGCGGAGTACGTGATGATCTCTCCGAGGCTTTCTTCGTCCAGCGGGAGGAGTTGGGCGAGGCGCGGGGTGCCCCATGAGACGAGGTTTGCGGAACTCATGATTGGAGATAGAATAGTAGTATTATAGAATGAATAATCAGGTCATAATCAATTGGTGAACTCGTTTGCTTGTGGATGTCAAGTTTTGGTCTGAGGCGATGGAAGTCGCATTCCAGCTTTGGCAATTTTGCGGGCCGCATGTTGGCCTCAGGACAACACAATTTTGTATGACATCTTATGGACGAGTTTCATTGGGATGATTTTGACTGAATCTCATTAATGTAAATGAAGAAAACTGAATCTAAATCATGCGAGCATCACTGCCAACTATTATACAGGCGTAATTCTATGCAAAAGAGAAAGGTATAACAGAAAAAGCCACAGAACCCATAAAGTCACAAAAGAAATGACGCCTAGAATGCCCCAATAATGTTCGACATGGCATAACTTCAAAAAGGTGTCAGAGCAAGTCCGTGTTGACGCCTGTAATGCCGAGTATTTACGTCAATATCGTTAAAAGATGAAGGAAACCTATGTCCAAAGCTCTGTTGCAGACACCCGCGTGCTGCTGTGAGATGAAAGTCAAAAAAAGAAAAGGAATGTGTGAAAGAAAGAAAAATGAAAGAGGGTAAAGGATTAGTCGTCCCCATTGGCTTCACTCTTGATGTCCGCGTCTCCATTCTCGGCTAGGTCGTCGGGTGTGAGACCGTTCTTCAATTTACTGCTAGCCGCAGGAGGTTTGGAAAGCTTCTTAGGAGCGTTCAGTTTCTTTTTCTTAGTCAGTGTAGTAGAAGGTGTTGCATCATCGTCCGCCAGGGGTCGCTTGGGAGCCGCTGATGTGGGAGTAGGCGTGCTGCCACTGCCAGTATCCCCCGAACCTCTATTGCGAGTAGCGTTCCGACCCGAGTATCCCATGCAGCGATCCATATGTTGTTGTACACGACTCACGACAAAGTAACGAGGACAATTGAGACATTTAGTTGTCGGAAAGCCGGGTGCTTCAAGCGCCGCGTGGCCATCAGCTGGCGGACTCGAGGTTGGTGTGTTGTGCTTATTCTTCTTCTTTGAGTTCACTTTGTCCGTAGCGAAGAGGTTTCCGTGCACGTCATGTCCCGGTTTTCGGATCAGCGGCTGCTGAGAGCAGTACTCTCTATCGGGATCAGACACAGCACGAGCGCCAACACCGGTTACCGGATATAACAGACGAGGCAATCGGCATTCGGGGCAAATGATTTCCTTGGTGGTTTGCATGGGATTCCCCTTGAGATATGTTTTTCCATTATCAAAGACAGCCGCATCGGTCTCCACCCGAACCTCCTTGAGGGACTGTTCCTCAGCGTCAGGACCAGAGGGCTTCACTGAACCAGAGGCTTTTACACCGGCTTCTTCACGATTCTTTGCAGCTTCCTCCTCGGCTTTTTGTCTGGCAATCACTACTGCAGAGCGCATGCGGGCGACCTTCTCATCGCGGTGGACTTTTGCCACAACATCATGGATGATATTGTAGAACGTGTCGTTGAGAATATCATATGACTAGCGCAATTAGTATGTATCTAGGAGATGTGCGAGATCTTGAATACATACCACCTTCGCGATTGTTCCCGATGGATAGGTCTTGCCCATTTCCGTCCCATTTGACTCGGCCATTTTGGAATAGAAATCTTAGATAGAAACCGTTAGTTTCAGTATGGCAAATGGAATGGATACGCAGCAAAAGCGGAGCGTATTCTATCCTTGGGGGCATTGGACCCGTAAGCACTGAGGAGTAGAAGTAGAAGGGCAAAGAAAAAACGGAGACAGCCCGGACTAGAGCGCAAACAGCCATACCGGAGTGTAAAGCGCACTGAACTCGCGACGTCGATTTTCACTAAGAACTTACCCCAGAGACCCTTCCTGAAACAGCAACCACGAATACCTATCGCAGATCTTCCGAAAGCCTTGCGCAACCGAGTTAACCAGTAACTCAGCAATGCGATTCCATATAACCTCTCCACAGATATCGCGACCAATTTATGACCGTAGGGATATGCGCGAACGTCCGTAATAGACAGTGCGTAGTAAAGGAAGCAACATAGGAAAGAGGCGACACCGGAGGAAAAGGAGGGACGATATCCGAACGGGGAACGATGTGACTATCGCGTTTTAAACAACAGGGACACAATCGGAGCTGGCAAGACCCATTTGTTTCAATAGACAACTAGGGCATTCGCAGGAAGACAGGTGCGTGGCTCTTTCGAGTGAATGATCTGTGGCTGGAAAGGGAGAGCGTCAGTGACCTGAGCGGAATGGTAGTAATCAGGCGACTCACAGGATGACCACAAAGAACAGACCCCGTGATCGCGCTATTCAGCAAGTCCAAAATCGCATATATAGATCGGAAGTGTTCCTTCTGGGACGTTTTCTGTCGTCAACCGGACTGGTTGTTACAGCGTTGGTCGGATCCCAACGGCGGCGTCTGGTCTTCGCATTAAAGGCTCCTCCGCCGACCGGCCATCTTATCTTATCGCATCTCCGCGCTTGACGGTTTCTCTTCACGCCGTCGCGTTTCGTTTCAGGAAACGGCGATATTCCCTGTCCTTGGTTGTCCAAGTACCCTATCCAGTTGCTTGCTGCGTTCCAGGATGGCGTATCAACTCTTTTCCAAGGCACATCAGCCGAAGAACAAGACATCCACCGTCCCTCCTGTCCAAAGCCCTTATAATGGCAGATACCGACCACCGATTCACCCTCCACCACCAGTGCCTCCTCCGTCGACAGTTCCAACGTCCAAGCCACCAGGAAGCAGTGGGGATACAGCCGTCGAATCCACCCCGTATCCACATCCAACCCCGTCGGGCTACCCAACTCCCCACCCCCACATTACAATTGAGACGGTCAGCACGGCACATATCCCTTCACTGACCCGAATCACCGGCCTGCTTCTGCCAATCCGCTACCCGAATTCCTTCTATACCGCGACTGTCACGGATCCCGTCATTAGCTCGCTGTCCCGCGTCGCTATCTACCATGACCATCCCGTCGCCGAAGCCCCCACATCGACACCTTCACCGAAGGCCAGTCCGGCTGCTAGTACCGCAAGGAATATCGGGGCTGATAAAGTTATTGGCGGTATAAGATGTCGACTGGAGCGGTTACCTCAAACAACGGCAGAGCTTCTACGTGCCAACCAATCGCATGGGAACTCGATGCAAGAGCCAACGAATCTGTACATCCAGACCCTACATTTGCTTTCGCCATACCGGGGGAATGGTGTCGCGGCATTTTTACTCAACGCATTGCTATTTGCTATGCCACCTGAGCATAGTCTGGCTTCAAGAACGGGAGAGGGTGATGATGTGGGTTACCAGGTGTCGAAATTGGTCAAACACTACAATATCCGCTCCGTCACGGCTCATGTACACGAGGCAAATGACGAGGGGTTAAAATGGTATATGGCCCGGGGATTTCAAGTAGAGGATGGCGTGATAGAGAATTACTACCGCCGACTCAAACCGACAGGTGCCAGAATCGTCAAGCTTGCCTTACAATGGAAAGACGACGAGGAGGATGACGAAGGGATTTCCGGGTTGAGTAATGGAGGCGAGGAGCAGAGTGAAGAAGAAAGTCCCTATGATGGTGACGACGAGGATTGGGAAAAGGTCGAGGCGGAGGACGAAGACGAGAAACAAGATCATGGAGTCCAACCTTTTACGGATTCCAGAATTTTTGATGTTGATGATGGAGGTAGTAGGAAGAGAAAGGCTGAGGAGGAGCCACTGTGATGATATCCTATTCTTTCATTTTTCCTTGTTTTGGCGTTGGTATAGGTCTACGGTTTTGCTCATTAGGATACCCTTTCGCCCTTCCTTTGCTATAAATATTTGATACGCAGCCAGATACATTTTTAATGCATGGGAACAATGGAGAGGGACGATGACAGAATATTCTTAATTGATCAGGTTGTTCAGGCATGAGGATATCTATGACGGCGGAGATATTCCCGTCCAATAAGAGATTCTTTTCCAAGCCAGTGGAATTATCCATAAGACGTCATTGGCTCGGGGGGCTAATACTAGATTCTAGCGTTGGTCACCTGATCTAAGAAATTAATTGATGTCGGTTCTCTTTCTCCCTTTGACATGCTACAACAGACAGCACCCTACATAGTACTCCAAAACATCATCCCAAAGCCAGAGAACAAACAATTTTTGTTGAAATCAGCCGTCTGAGGTAGGTCAAGGTATCAGGATTAATGTTAACTATATTACAGACTCCCAATCAGTTCCAAGAATGCGCCCCTTTTTTTTTTTTTTTTTTTTTTTCCGTACTACTGCTGTCGACAATTATCGGAGAACCGCACGCTATGATTCTTCTCGACCCAACCCCTTCATCAAGTGCGATACAGTAAGCAGTTTATTTCGAGATGCCCCGCCTGCCAAAATCCACCACAGTCCCAACACCATTCTTGCCAGCAAAGAGCACCTGTTGGTCAGCAAGTTAGCAAATTGATTCAGACGAAAGGATTCCGCACATACATCGCATATATTTGCATCCCCCTTCTCTTTCAGTAATGGCGTTGCACCGAGGACAGGGCTTTGCAATCTGCCAAATCGTCCGCTGACTGCGCAAGTCTTCTGTCGTCCAGTTTATTGGTCCAAATTGGTTTATATTAGACCCTGTCGCGTGTTGCCTAGCGTCTGCTCTGTATGCCCTCCATCCGCCTAGTCTACGCAGCCATCTATATCCATTTTGTGAAGCATCATTCTCAGGCGTCTGTTGATCACCTGTGTATACGAAGAGCCGGTCGTACTCTTCGCAGGAGAATCCCTCATGCCATGGGGCACCTCGATGGACAAAACACATCCGTGTACCACACGACCTGCACACGACAATCGGATTTTCACGGCCACCCCCATGCAACTGGCCATTCCCGCAGCCTGGTCGGACACATGTTATGAATTCACCGTCGTCTTCTAACGCCTCTCTTGTTTTCATGTTGTCGTATGCTTGAAATGTTTGTGGATTGGCCCATTGTCGAATCTCATCGTGGGAGAGCCGAGCGCGGCACAGAGGACATGACAGTGGTTCTGACCCGTTTGACGTGAATTGGATATCAAGACATCGCTGTAAGCATACTCTGCACATTCGTACCTCTGGTATGGAACTGTGATTACAGTTTGCTGCCAATGGCGGGTTGGGATAGGAGAGGCGATCCATGACCTGGAAACAAAGGACACATCTCGAGCGCTGTCTTTCGGAGGCCGTACTGTCGAAAAGGGGTCTACGGGTATTTCGTTGGGGGCTTAAAGGCTCCCTGTGAAGCAAGGATAGAACCGTTCCGGCCGTGGCGGCATCGCTCCAAAGGTTTTCGTCTTCGCTAGATTCCTCCCATGGCATGTTACATCTGAACATTGATAAAGTATTTCCATCAATAGAGCGTCTGCCCCTAGTGCTTGACAGAGGGCTAATCGCTTGATGGCGTTGCGAATATGATGGCCCTGAGGACGGGGTTTCGGGCTCCCAGCTGCTGATCGAGACCGAGTCACTCATATTTTCTTCGAGAAACTCTGTGAAAATTTAGTTGCGCTCGAGGCTGGGATACGTCTGTGTTTCCTACCGGAGTATGGATAAAGAACAGAAAGGGAAGGGAAGAAACAATTATCCCAGTTATTGGACTTGCCGAAAGAGACTGCCGCTTCGCCAATAGGAATGCAGAGACTTGTAACACCTTCACGAAAATCTCACGAATGATGGGCAATATAAGAATTTTCTCTGAGAAAAGAAGCACCAAGGTGAGAGGAACAATAAGAGCGACAGGGAGAGCGACAAAAATGCATCAGAGTCGATGAAACTCGGCCAGACCCGACACAAAGGGAGGTGAGTCTCCTAAGGACGGGATTTGCAGACCTGCAACATATGACACTCGTACCGGCTATACGACAGGCTGGCTGTGAAATCCGCAGTTGCTAAAAGAAGACATTCGTCCGTGGGGTTATAGATGTACAGGATTCGACCCAATGTCAAAGGGGACAAAATTGGCAACTACCGGTTATTATGACATGTGGTCGTTCCCCACCAGCAACATTAACACTGTTGTCCGAATCGAGGCGCATCTCTGACAATGAGGGGTTGTGCTTATCGTCTATCCCATACGGCAGGCTTGGTGCGCGATGATTATGGTCGTTTTGCATGATCGCGAATTCTAATAAGCTGAACCCCGCACGCATATACCCCTCGATAATTATCGATTTCTGGAAATTTTTGATGCATGCTTTGCACTACGATCATAGTGGAAATCCCGGCATCACAGCCATCGGCGGACCCTTTTCTTAGGGCGAGGCGAAGCGATGATCCTTCGCGAGGCGGCCAACACAACCATTTAGTCACCTGGTTGCTTTTGATATGATACCAGTCTGAATTGCCTGTCTGACTTTATTTAACTTTACCTTCTTCGACATTTGTCCTTTTATCTTTCTTTCTTTCTTTTTTTGACCCTCTATTCCTGGGGCTCTTTGTATGTCTATGTCCGGACATCCGGGTTGCTCTACACGGATACCTATGGGGAATATGGATACTCCATGATTTTGTATACTGCAGTACTCCGTACTCCGTATAAGGAAAATGAGATGTTAGATACTGTGATAGACTCACGGAGAATTCAACAAATCGAGCCAACAGCACATTAGGATCTTCACAAGCAATCATTTCGTGCTCCGGCACTACGGCGAACTCCGTATATATCAAGTACAGGGACTTCGGGAGTATGGCACCGGGGATATCGAGACGGAAGCACGGAATCGAGTAATGATCGGGGCTGAATCAAACTAACAGGGTCCGAGACGTGCCGTTCAGTAATACTCCGTAGAAAGCTTCAACATCCAAGACCCACACCGCCTTTGATAGGAAAATATTCTGCCGCTTCAACGAGCATCTTTTCCGTAAAATGATATTCCTCTCATCGCCATTTCATAAAAAGCTCATTTAAACTCGCAGAACGTCTCGTTTCTAGTCAATTTCTTCTAGTCAAAATGGCTCAAACAGCGGCCACCACAGCCCCCCAACAACCGACCCCACCATCGCTCTCTCTGCCCCCATCGCAATTCGCCCGACTCCAGCCCCATGCTTACCTTCTCGCCCACCTCTCTCCCCCCGCGTCTAGCAACCAGCCCTCGATCCGGGCCAATGGACGTTCGCCGTTACAGTTCCGGGTGACTTCGGCCAATGCGGGTTCTCTGACGCATACGAATGGTAGCGCGGTTGTGCGGGTTGGCGATACGGCGGCGGTTTGCGGCGTGAGGGCGGAGATTTTGCACACGGATGATATCGCTTCGTGGAGTGTGTCGAGGCCGGCGGCTCCGGAGAGTAATAACAAGCGACGCAAGTTGGCCGATACGAACCAGAAGCCTAGCCAGGAGACCGCGGATGATGGAACACGGAACAACGAGGAGGATGGCTCTGAAGATGACCAGGAGGATGAGTCTTACATTCAAGACTTCAACCTGCTCGTGCCCAATCTCTCGCTGAGTACCGGTTGCGCACCGGGTTTCCTCCCCGGCGCACCTCCATCCGCTCTGGCACAGGGATTGTCGCATCAGATCCTATCTCTGCTGCACAGCTCACGCTTGGTCCGGGAAGATGACCTGCGAATCTGGTACCAGCCGCCTGATTTGGGGGCGGAGGATTTAGAGCGCCACAACGAGAGCGAGCAGATGGACGTTGACGCGGCTCACGACGATCAACAGACGAAGAACCGCGAGATCAAAGCCTTCTGGGTCCTCTACATCGATATCATGATCATTTCTCTCGCCGGTAATCCGTTCGACGCTGCTTGGGCAGCGGTTGTGGCCGCGTTGCGTGATACGAAGCTACCCCGGGCTTGGTGGGACGAGGATAATGAGATGGTGCTGTGCTCTGAGGCTGTGTCGGAGGCTAAGAAGCTTTCTCTGCGTGGTATGCCAGTCGCGAGCTCGTTTGCGGTGTTTGAGGCCGATGCTGCAGCTGGGTGGAGAGCGGTTGTTATTCCGGATGCTGAGGAGGAGGAAAAGATCGATGAGGCTAAGCGGAAGGGGCTTCAGCGGAGGTGGATTCTGGCGGACCCGGATGGGTATGAGGAGGGGTTGAGCCAGGAGCGGGTTAGTGTTGTTGTTGATAAGAAGCGGGATGGGAAGGTGCTTATTGTGAGGATGGAGAAAAATGGGGGCTGGGCTGTTGGGGCTAAGGAGTTGAAACAGGTGGTTGATGTCTCTGCGCAGAGATGGGATGAGGTGAAGCGGATTCTTGAGCAATGTTGAGTGGTTTATATGGTTTACATGTGTGGATGATTAGACAAAAGTAATGATACCATTTTACTTCATTCGGTTTATTATACAATACACATATCTGCGTTGTTCTAATGTCATGAAGGGAGATTGCATTTTAACTCATTACGAATGTTCATCCATCTTTTCGACTTCTATCTTTAGGCCAACAAACTCGCTGCTGCATTCGCACTTGCATCTGCCGTCCTAGGGCTTCGTCGTAGTCTCTTTGCCGGTGGTTCATTGTCTTGCTCGGGGGTAACAGTAGGAACCTTTACGGGCTTGTCCTGATCCTCGTTCCCCGAATGTTCTGACGATGAGCTATTGGCCTTGGTCTTGGACTCGTGTTTGGACTTTCGGGGAAGTGAAATGGAAAACGAGACCAGATTCAAGTCACGGCTTTTATCCTTCTTTTTCTTGCCATCTTTCTTGGTCAAGCCACGTCCTCGTGCTTTAGCACTCTCGGAGCCCTCATCGTCGCGTTTATCCTCCTTTTTCTCCTTTCCGTCGGATTTTTCGGGCGTTTCAAGCTTCAGTGCACTGGCGTCGCCGGACAGAAGTCGAAGGAAGACGCTCTTGGTGTTCTTCTCTTTATTCGGATCCTTTTGCTCCTTGTCATCTCCGGTCTTCTCTTTCTTGCCTTCTTTCTCATCATCTTCTTCTTCCTCCTCTTCTGCATCAGAAAACTCCCACATATCGCTGATCTCTCGTCTGAAGAAGGCAGTTCCCCATAGGGAGATTAGGACACCCGGGACCAAGTACAAGAGTGCTGGTTGGGCATGTTTGGAGTACTGCATGGCGAGAAGAGTCGTGACCATTCCGGCAATGTAGCCAATAATGCTGGCCTTGAAATATGTTTTTGGGAAAGCCCGAGCATCGTTATACGGAGGTTCTAGCTCTGGTCCCTTTGGCTTGACTGTTCCTGTCCAGAACCGCTCTCCCCAGCCTCCAGTCGCAGTTTGGTATTGGGGCTTGACAAGAGCTTCGCCTTTGCCTTCTGCTTGCGCTTTTTGCAAGCCCTTTCGTTTGTAATAGAGGTAAAGGTCGAAGCGCAGTGCCAATCCTAGCATCATGCCAGGGATGACAATATCACCCAATCCCAACATTGCCAGAGAAGTCGTGTCGGGGGCTTCGCTAGGAGCAGGAGGACGAGGGAATAGAAGCTTGATCGGAATGTCCAGCTTTGTCGCAACGGTTACCATCAACGGGGTGAAGAAGACGAAGTAGATGTCATAGAAGAACAAAGACCCCAGAATGAGCGAACCCGTCCAGAACGTTGACGGTGACATGAACTGCAGGGCACCGTAGCAGAAGCTGAAACCCAGAAAGTTGGTCAACCACCAAGGCTTCGTCACGAAAGCAAAATAGCCAACTGCACAAAGTCCCACGATAGCACTGAGAAGATCCGACAAGCCCAACCGACCCTTTGCGTCAAATAGACCACGCACATGAGCACGAATCTTAACCCGTTGGTATGCGAGATCACGATAGAACCAAAGCGTTGCTAGTATAAAGCTGGGTAATGGAATGCTTCCAAGGATGCCCGGTAGGGGAGACTTTCGAACTTCAACGGTCTCTGAGCCGTCACCAACTGTGAAGATGCGCTCAGACTGGTTGGCTTTCCAGGTATTCCCACCGTAGCGATACTGTCTGGGAAAGATGAACGAGCGGAACACTGTGAGACTATCCTTGAGGAACGCAACGGCGAAGAACAGCCCCATTTGGGAGAAGTAGAAGCTCAAGATCTTGTTCAGAATAGCCGGGTCTCCCAGCCACTTGATCACCAAATACAAACCACCCAGTGTCAAGCCAGCAGTCAACGGGAACATCAAGGCATCTGATGGTTGGAGGCCTTCCATCTTCGGCATTGATCCCTGTCCTTCCTCTTCATCTTCGTCGTCCGTTTCGCGCCCGCCTTTCTTTCCTTTTTTCTTGGGAGGCTTCGCAGCAGATGAGGGTCTCGATAGTGATGCGTGGGCGCCAATATATATCGGAAAGAGGGCAGAAACGAGGAGATGTCCGTATGTGGGCAGGAAGGGCTTGAGGACGGTAAACTGGTAGATGACTTGCCCCAGTAACTCCGCGACGGGGCTCACTTCGTCGGCCATGTCGACTCCGATTGCCTCGTGGGGCGTTGGTTATGAAAGCGCTTATTGATTCGAAGAAATTCGGTTTTTTTTTGGATTCAATATGTGCGAAAAGTCTGCAGGTTTTGCGTCACTTTGTGTCTGTTGTAAGGAAGCTCGTCAGGCAAAACATAGCTAGATGCCAAGACCGATTCTCTCCCCGCCGCCTTGTCGGAGTCTGGACAACGCGGTCTGTCGCAACCACCAACAAGACTACGCTACTCTCCTTGCAGGATCTATTCATTATGGCGACCGATGTGGCTTTTGATACGAGCATGGTAACGCCTTCTGGTTGGGCTTGTGTTGGAATCGAATACTAACAAGCTGCAGGGCTCGTTTACGGTAGAACTTTACAACGAGCATGCGCCCAAGGTCAGCAAGCTGTCTACCCCTTAAATCCGTATTGCGCTAACATTGGGTTCTTTAATAGACATGTAGGAACTTTGCGACGCTCGCGCAGAGAGGCTACTACAACGACGTCATTTTCCACCGCATTATCCCCAACTTCATGGTCCAAACCGGCGATCCTACCGGCACCGGCAGGGGAGGAAGCTCGATCTACGGCGAGAAATTCGAAGACGAGATTCAACAAGGCTTAAAGCATACCGGGGCCGGAATCTTGAGTATGGCGAACAGTGGACCCAACACCAACGGCAGTCAGTTCTTTGTCACTCTTGCGCCGACACCTTGGTTGGACGGAAAACATACGATCTTCGGCCGGGTGAAGAGTGGAATGAGGGTGATCCAGCGCATGGGGCTCGTCCAGACGAATGCCGAAGACAGGCCGGATGATGAGGTCAAGATAATTCGGGCCAGGGTTGTGGAAGGAGAGGAATGAAAACGGCATCAGACCACATTTCCCGAGACATTTGGAACGGCGTTGAGGTGTCTGGAATCTTTGCAGTGCCGTGCTAGATACCCATTGTGATTACAAGCGAAGAGGCTTTGTTCCAGCCTAGGTTCGCAGCGCATCATCCATACCAGCCGCAAGCAGAGAGCTTCGCTTCGAGGACAGAGGAACGCATCTACATAAATCCAGGCCAGGACCCGGCGCATGCTTTGCTACGAGGATTCAATATACTTGGCAGAGCAAAAACTGCCGCTCCAAGCACATAGAAAATAGCATAGTTGGAATGTATCACTACAAAACGAACTGCTTCTATCAGGTGTTTCCAATCCAGAGCAGCAGATACAGAGTGACTAATCCGATCTACCACTCCCATAGAACAAGACCAGTGAAGGCTTGTAGAAAAGCGCGAAACTGCAATGCTAAAAGGTAGCATGCAGAGCACCGGGAGTGGTTGGTAAGAAGAAACTCCGATTTGTCGTGGGAGAAATTTTTTTCAAGTGGTTTGCGATATCAGTCTAACCGTATCTGGTATGGTGTGGTTGTCACCGTACAATTGCTGGCACTGACGACCAACACAATTATAACTACAGAGGAATTCTTAAAGTCAGTATATTACAGTAGTATCAAAGCTACTATATCACACATTCTTTAAAACAGTCAAAAGCTGCTCTTCTAGGGCACCAGTTCAATGAATTGCGGGCTCAACAGCCGAAGCCAAGTCACGTGCCACACCGCCGCGGGGCCGTATTTCTGCCAAAGCTGTTGGCTTTTTGTGTTTTTCTTCCACAAAAAAACTTCGTGCAGATGATCTTCCATGCACCGATGGGCAGGAAGTCCTGTTCGAATGCTTGCCACCCAACGTGATGAAAGTTGGGCTGCATCATAGCTAGAACATTGGCACTTACTTTTTTTTTTTTTTGGTGACAGCTTTGTCTGCATTACCAACAGTGTTACCGGGATGGAGTCACTGGCAGAAACGCCATGGGATGTGACCATCTCTGGAACCGGCCTGGGCCAATCGTTGTTTGCGCTGTGAGTTGACCCGGAAATATCTCCCTTGTCGTGCTGCGTCACTAACTGTACATCAGGGCTCTTTCCAGGTCAGATAAGAAGGTTCTTCATATTGACAAATGCCCATACTATGGAGGTTCCGAGGCTGCCTTCAGCCTCCAGGAAGCTCAGGAATGGGCCGATAATGTGAATAAACGTATGTTTTGATTCTCTTTCTCTTCAAGAGATCACAAAGAACAATTGGCTGACTGGTGTCAATAAGCTAGAGCCCGGGCAATCCCCTTTTGAAGATGCAGAAGTGCACTCTCCCTCGGATTCTCGACTGTCATCCTCACGGGCGTATACCCTCTCCTTATCATCACATCTGATCTACTCTCGCTCGCGACTATTGCCAACCTTGTTGTCTTCCAGGGTCTACCGACAACTGGAATTTCAGGCCGTCGGGAGCTGGTGGATTTTTAGGCCATCTGAAGCGAATTCCGACTTGTACCGTGTCCCAAGCAGTCGTGAAGATATCTTTGCGGATGACTTTATCTCTGCCAAGTCGAAACGGACCTTGATGAAGTTCCTTCGTCACATCGGCAAACCTCCACAGGAAACTGAAGGTCAACCCGAGGAAGAGGACTTGTCAGTGCCATTTTCGGAGTATCTGAGTTCCAAATTCCAGGTGCCAGCGGAGCTCCATGACCCTTTGCTCTCGCTCTCCCTGTCTCAGGCGTCCGCCCAGCAGACGTCGGCCGAGTACGCGGTACCCCGCATCAAAAGGCATTTGGCGTCGATTGGTGTATTCGGTCCTGGTTTCGGGAGTCTGTTGGCCAAGTGGGGAGGTGGCTCTGAGCTCGCTCAAGTCGGATGCCGAGCTCTTGCAGTCGGAGGTGGCGTGTATGTTTTGAATGCAGGCATCGAGTCAATTACGAATTCCTCGAATTCCGACAATGGAGATGATGCGCGCATGCAGATCAAGCTCTCCAACGGCGAGTCAATCCGGACCAAGTTTGTGGTCGGTTCCCACTGGGATTTTCCGGGGCAAGCGGGAAATGATCAGCCGTCTTGTGAAAAAGCAGCTCGATCCATTTCCGTCGTCTCGTCATCTCTCAAAAGCTTGTTTCCCATAACGGCAGAAGGAGGCCCACTTCCTGCTGGTGCCGTTGTAGTCTTTCCGGGAAGCTGTCTGGGTCAGGCAGAGGATTCTCCGCCGGTCTATCTTTTGATCCACTCGAGCGAAACTGGGGAATGCCCTACTGGACAAAGTAAGTTACCTACGAAGCTCCCCACCCTAATTGCTCATATGATGAATATCTTTATATCAAAACTTATCTACATTGTCTGTAATAACTTTGATGAAAATTATAATCTGATCATGAGCCATCTCTTCGAGATATTCACTTCGAATTGATTTCAGTTCAGCTAGCTAACTTGCTTTTTCAGGTGTTGTCTATGGTAGTGTTCGTCTTTCTGGACCTCAAGGGTACAGTCTTCTCGCGACAGCTGTCCAGAAGCTCCTCGAGTCAGTGAGTGACGCAGAAGCCAAAATACTGTGGTCTCTGCGGTACACGCAACTTGGACGGGCCGGCGACGTGATTGACGCCGCCCAAGCTCTCAAGTCAAGCTCCCCTTCCGACAGTATGATTTGCTTCCCGCCGCTAAGCCTCGATCACGCGTTTGATGATGCGTTGCTCGACATGGTCAAGGAGGCGTGGAAGATCGTCCAGGGAGAGGAAGCGATTGACGAAGAGTTTATGAAGTTTGAAGATCGCGAGGGCGTTGAAGACGAGTAGACTCGTAGTTCATAATCATATTTTTATTCTCAACTGTTCTTTGTATAGAAATTCTCGTACCTGCAAGGAAACATCGGGTGCCTTGCATAAAAATTGATGCATCCAAACGACATCCCACAGGAATATTCCGCCGCTGACTACGGAGTACTATTTATGGCATGACGACATGTTTCCCTTTATAGTCTGTCATTGTGCGTCTTGTTTCGCCACTGCAGCGGGACTGCGCCGCGGTGTCCACGTAAGATGTCATTTTTGCGAAAGGACTGAGCGCTTATTTACAGGAACGCAGTATTGGAGTAATTTGCATACGGGTTGTAATATCAAAGTACCCAGGTACTTGTATCGCGAAGATCCGAGTTATTGCATTCAATCGAAGTAGAGGATGATAGGCTCAGGCAGCAGAATATAAATCCGTTATTTGGGCGAGACGCCGCTGAAACTATATAAGCATCGTACGTGGCCATCTACACGCGAAGAATGAAGGATGAAGCTTCTATATGGTGGAATGAATGCGGGAAGGTTAGTCTGATTCGGACATTAAACGGTCCTGCGTCTCAGTTCTCGTTAAATGCGTCATGTCATTCTCCGGTGGTCCGCTAGTATGTCGGATATAGGCACAGAAACACTATCAATTAGCGAGCATAACGTCCAGCACAATGCAATAGTCAGCCTGCCTACAGAGTACAGTTCGAATCTCCTCCGGGATGTCCGAATGTCCGAATGTACTCCGGAATATAGGTTAACGGAAGAAGTGGATATGTTTTAGATCTAAGTACGATGACAACTACATCTATCATTCTGAAACAGCCCACAGATTAGATCTATTGAAATACCGATGACGTAGGGCTATTGATCCAATTTATATCAAACATTGGCATGTTATACAGAGCACAAATGCTTCATACTGCATGAACATGTAAGGCTTGCTGTAGGAGCTTTGGCCAGTGTGGGCTGGTTGTGTTTGGATACATGTGCTCCGTAGCTTAATCTCCGGTGTTTGTGTTTGCATCTATACTTATACGGAGTATTCTGTGTGTTTCATATGTAGTCCACCGGTAGGGTCAATGTACAGAGTAGATGTATGTTTTATGCGGGGACCCCACAGTGCTTGTTGGATATGGTGAGACCTTTTATGGGGCTGGATAGGGTACACTAGATCTGTTTGCTTGTAATCTGAGACATTTCCACTATGCCTAGAAATGCAAGTGTATACTTGAGGAGGATCGTCCAATAAATGACGATACATCTAAACTTGGTTTTGATAAGATGTGGTGTGTCTGATTGTTGTGATGGATTCGTTTGTGAGTACGTAGTCGAGTGGCAGTGGCTGATCGTGCAGTTGAGTTTAACCTCGATTCCGGGATTTCTCAGAGAGTGGAGTCACTTGTTACGAAAACTATTCTGTATATCCAGAATGTGAAGCCTTGTAGTCCGGTCTTTTCTGAGGCTCGAAGCTGTGCTGACACTACAGCATACGAACACACCTCAGTCTATGAACGTTTCCGCATTAGGAAAAAGCGGATTCGGCGGACGGACCATATCAATCAGCCCAAGTGGATTGACCAGGGCTGATGCGTAAGTCTGTCCTGACCACCGTACAGTAATCGTACACACAAGTACAAAAGCCTCGTATTCGACCCTTACGGTCAGGGTCTAGATCGGCAAAGTTCTGGAAGTCGGAAGCCGCCAGAGATTTGCCCGATTGGGAGAGAACGGACAGACCCTGGCTGAACCTATACCGGATTCAGCGCAATGAATGCAGATCAGGGGTATACATACGTACACTGCTGTGTGCAGTGTACTTGTAATCTGTGTACGCAGTACACTGACAGCTAGCCAAGAACCGGATTCGAGCTTAATCGGTTGTGTTGTTTGATAAGCCATTAACCTCGGACCAACAGGGTAGGGGTCGCGAATTTTCCGCCAACGTAAGTAGCGGCTGCTCTGACCTTGAGGTATTGTATGTATTGTATGTATTGTATGTATTGTGAATGCCAAGGCACCAGGATAAATAAGGATCTATGCTGTGTGGGTTGTTATTGGGCTGATTGGATGTGCCGTGCTGTTGGAACAGTTCTTGTTCTGTTGCACAGCATTTGACGCGTAGCCCTGGTAAATGTCATGTTTGAGGTTTATTTGCTGCTTTGCCTACACATACAATAGAGATGGATATACCGAGTAATCCATACCCAACTGGATCTATTATTACCTGTAGTACTCTAGTACTCTACTTTTTATCTATCCTACCTTGTACTCCAACGTACTCCGTACAGAATACTGTGCTCCCAATCCTCCGCAGTGCTGATAACGTGTGCAGAGGACACGCGGCCCGTGGAACCCTCGCGGGAAAGGCGGTCTGTGAGTGGTGGAGTGGACGGGCGGTAGCGCCGATCTCAGGGGTCTTTTTTATTGCTTTTTCTTCGCTTTACCAGTACCGCTCATTACCGATTGTTACATAGTACAACAACGACAACAAAGGGTTGCATTGAATTGTACTCCAGAGGTTGCAGTACCGGATAGGGAGGACAAGCACGGAAGATAGTAGTAGGTAGTATATAGAAGGCTCTCGGAAATACAAAACTACCTATAGGACGCAGCGGAAATATAAAAGTAGACTGTTCATAGTATGGGGAAGACATCCGAAATAGGAATGACGAGAGGCCAGGTGGCCACTGAATGTTCCAGGAATCTGGAAGCAACGCGGAAACCAAACTGGAGGCTGGAGAAATAGTTCACAGGGACCAACTGTCATTTCCGAATTCCCTCTTGTTAGTGTGGTGCCCTATGATAGTAGGGTTGGATAGGGTGGTTGGTACCGGGATCAGCAAGTGTATCTGAATCGAACATCAATCCGAGGATAGAGTAGGATAATCATCCAGACCACTGCACTCCGGAATAGTACTCTATCCAGCATTCATCCAGAGTACTCCGTACATACTACTCACCCGAAGTGGCCAGAGGCAAACGGCGATATAGATAGACACGCCACCACCAGATGCCAGATTTGTATTACGCTTCACACGGGGATAAGGGTCTTGCGTATACCCAAGGTAATTTACACTTGCAAATTACGCTTGGTATTACCATCAAGAACATCTCTACTATGTACAAGTACACCGTACAGACATTGAATATTCTACTAGAGCTGATAATAACAATATGCTTGTTGAGATGGATTCAATGAGACGAATTCATAAATCTCTATTTTTACTGCTTATCACTATCACCGTAGCGATTCCAAAGCGGCCACTGTTGCGGCCGATGCTACAGTGTGGTACCGTAATTACACGGCCCCAGCGCAACCCGTGGTCCATTATTCGGCATTCCCACTTGGGATCGTTTCTGCTTCTCTTCTCATTTTGTTCTCCTGTTCCTGTTTTCTTCTTCTTCTTCTTCTTCTTCTCTTATTCTCCCTTCTTCACTTCATCCTCCTCTTCTTTTTTTTCACTTTCCCTCGGGCTCAGCTCTCAAGCCATTTCGTCTCCTCGCTCATCCCTCTCCTCCCCTCCGTCTGTTTCTTCGTCATTAGCCCTGGGCTCCTAGTTCCAGTTGTGACCTTTTTTTGATCGGTTCTGTCTGGTCCAGGACCTGCGACACGGTCCGAGCACTTTTTTTTTTACCAGTCTCTCGTTGACGCTCCCTCGAATCGGCGAATTCTAATATTCTGAATTTTGCCCATCCATTCTTTCATATAAACGACTGCCTCTCCCGACAAACATCCGTTCGTTTCGGTGACGGCTGTGCGACTACGACAGCTGGTCTTGATGTGTTATTGATTCTATCCAACGACCTATAATATCTTGATTTATTTTCTTTTTTACGTTGAAAAGTTCCCTACTCTTAATTCATCCGCCAAAATGCCGATGTTGCGACTGAAAACCATCTTCCCCTTCGTGGCCCTCTTCTCTATTGGGTTCTTCTTTTGGGCCATGGAGCGGTTTGATCGCGCTGCCTTCATTCGATTCAAGCACCCCGTGGATCGCGTGTCAACACCACCTCCTACCGCGCCTCAGATTCAATTGCAACAGTCTGAAACTCCACCCCCCTCTTCCTCGTCCTCGTCCTCGTCCAAGACCTGCGAGTTCGAACCCGCTGGTCCCCCGCCGATGCCCTTCACCGAATGGCTTGAGCGCAAGAACTACACCCGCATGTACTTCCGTCCTCAGCATGTGAACGCCAGGACCGAGTTCCGCTCCCTGGAGAGCATCGATCAGCCAGTCATGCCGCCCATGTCTGTCTTGGAACGTGGTACTATCGTTGCGCAAGAAAACGAGAACCCTTCGCTGCCTTGCCCGTCGGTGATCGATGTCGATGTGGCTGCTGATGACACCATGGATGAGACTTCGAAGATGCTCTTTGGTTTGGCCACCACGGCTGACCGTCTGGACCGTCTCCTTCCTTCTCTGCTCTACTCCTACGGTGGTACCAAGGCTGGTCTGGTCGTTCTCGTTCCCGAGAGCGACGATGACATTCCCAAGCAGGAGACCTACTTCCGCAACCGTGGCTTGGACGTGCGCTTGATCCAGTCTCCCCTGGACTTCACTGCTCGTTACTTTGGTATGGTCGAGGCATTTGCCAACATCATCCGCACGGAGCGTCCTCAGGTCCAGTGGCTTGGTTTCATGGACGATGACACCTTCTTCCTGTCTCTCCCCACCATTGCCGAAGAATTGAAGCTCTTTGATGTGAACAAGAAGCACTACATCGGTACGCTCTCCGAGGCCAGCTGGCAGGTTGACACCTTCGGTCACATTGCTTTCGGTGGTGCCGGTGCCTTCGTCTCGAAGCCGCTGCTGGATGTTCTCGAGACCTACTACGACGAGTGCCAGTCCTGGGGTGAGCAACCCGGTGACCAGAAGCTCGGTCAGTGCATTCAACGCTTCGGAGAAACTCCCCTTACTCTCTGGCCCTCTTTATTCCAGATGGACATGAAGGGCGAAGTCGACGGTGTGTACGAGTCTGGTCGCAAGATTGAATCTATGCACCACTGGAACAGCTGGTACACCAAGGACGTGGTCAAGATGGTCACCGTTTCGGCTGCTGCTGGTCGCAAGTCGGTCCTCCGTCGCTGGGTCTTTGACCAGGAAGAATACATCAACGAGGCTACCGGTGGCTCGATTCGCCAGTTCTGGGTCATGACCAACGGTTACTCTCTTGTGAAGTACACCTACGATGAATACACTCCCGACGATGCGATCAACTTTGACCACACCGAGAAGACGTGGGAAGAAGACTCTCGTGGTTACGAATCTCGTCTTGGTCCTCTCCGTCCTAAGGACCAGGAGGGTATCACCAAAGATCGGTGGTTACTTAAGGAAGCGTTTGTTGTCGGAGACAACGTGCACCAGTGGTATGTGCGTGAGGAGGATGAAGGCCACAGCGTAATTGAAGTTGTCTGGCTCGGCCCCAAGGGCGGCGGCGGTGGTGGTGTTGGTGTTGGTGGATATCTCAAGGCTCCTTAAGTATAACAGCTTGACGAATTAGAAAAGGGCTCTGATACTGAGGCTGGTCCTTGGACATATGTGAAAGCTTTCCTTCCTTTCTTTTTTACTTCTTTCTTGCACATGATTTCTTTCCTTTTTCTTCTACTGTTACTTCTTTATACTCTTCTTACGTTTTCCTCTCCAACATTCTCTTATGAATTCCAACCGTCGATTAACACCACCACCGGACTTGAGAGAGGTGAAAGCAGAGATATTACAGACACTGGTGCATGGGTGTGGTTCTGTCTTTTCCGAGAACTGATTTGCTTGGCATGCAACTTCTTGATTGTTGATTTAATTCGGCGTTGCATTGGCGGAGTCCGAAATGGCGCAGTTGATGATCTGAAACAGGTGTGGTTTTATATTGTCATTCACGTCGCACTTTGCTTGAATTGAGTATCATGATCGATCCTCCACTTCTCGACTCATTACTTTTTCTTCCTGTTCTTTGGCTTTTGCTTGTTGCTTTGACGAGGCCCATTTCTATGTATGCATTTGTAAAAATAGACGCGTCGGACCAGGATGGTCTCTTTCTACATTCTCTTCTATTTCTTCTTCTTCTTTTTTTTTTTTTTTTTGTCTGGAGATTAGCGTTGAGATTTTATGCAGAATATTACGATCAAGTCTAGAATCAGTGGTTCTACAGTATCATGAAGTACTACAAGCTGAACTCAGGAGTTGCCACGGAGTAGAGAACCCGGTTCAACGAAGATTACCGAATCGAGATCCTTCGAAGTGCTTCCACGCCGGGCTAGACTTCCCTGTTCAAGTGGCTAGTCCCATACCGCCTTCCAATTCCTTCGACTCCTACATAGAACTAGTATTCCTATTCTGTCGTGACGTTCTATGGAGGTTGCCTCATTGGGAGGATAGCCTCATGATGATGATGATTCCATTCCCATCTGTTTGTCATGTGCCACTACTCCGGCCAATCAGGGAGAGTGTTTATCCCCGCAGCTGAATGCGGTATTGTATTATGTTTGTATGTATGCTTGCCAGTATGCCATACAGAGTATGTATTGTTCTACAAGTACATTGTACACCGTCAAGAGAGTACAAATGAACAATAAAATATCAAGACAGTTTGCTATAGAAACTCGTAATGAGTACTTGTACAGAGTACTCTGTGCACTACTACTATGTATAGAGGTAGATCATGACCCGTACAATACGGTACACGCGTAACGCCCCGCCCGTGACGACACGTGACACACGTGACACACCGCCTTCCCAAGGCAAGAGCCACCATGCCCTCTTCGAACTCCTCCCGTTTTTTCCCTCTTTTTTCTCGTTCTGAACCCAAACCCTGCGAAGCAAAACGCGTTACTCGATTTGGTCATTTCCTCCAAAGCATCATTCCTCTTTGGGCACTTCCTGTTTCGTCTATTAACCACTGTGCTTGTTCGATACTATCAACTGATATACCCTTTTTACCTCTTTCCTCCCCTTTAAACCTCTCTCTTTTTTTTTTTTTTTTCCCCTCTCTTTCGTTTTCGGTTACTCGCTATCATGGCCGACATCACTGCCGTCGGTGAGGAGAACCCTTCTCCTACTCAGGATGAGCTGCAGCAGGCCGCGGCCGGTAACGGCGCTCCTGATAACCGCACTCCTAAGCGTCGCATGAGCGACGATGAAGAGGATGAGGAGAAGCAGGGTCGCGAGCGCAGAAAGATTGAGATCAAGTTCATTCAGGATAAGTCGCGTCGCCACATCACCTTCTCCAAGCGGAAGGCGGGTATTATGAAGAAAGTATGTTGTCTACCATCGCGTTTCTTTTTATTTCTTTGTCTACTATTCTTTTGATTGGGTTTAATTGATGCTAATTTTCCTAGGCATATGAATTGTCCGTCCTCACAGGCACTCAGGTGCTGTTGCTGGTCGTGTCCGAGACCGGCCTGGTCTATACCTTCACCACCCCTAAGCTCCAACCATTGGTCACCAAGGCGGAGGGCAAGAACCTGATTCAGGTGAGTACTTTTCCCTTGCGTATCAATTCGCTGTGTCCTGACTTGTATTCATTATCCAGGCTTGCCTCAACGCCCCCGACCCTACCACCAGCGAGAATGGCGTCGATGCCCCCGAGGTCCCAGCAGAGACCCCCGAGGACGTCAACCACACCAACGTCAATGCTGCCGCGGCCCAACAGACCAACATCCCTCGTCCTACCGGAATGCATCCCGGCTACATGACGAACGAACAACAGCAGCAAATGGCCTACTACCAGAACCACCTCCAGCAGCAACAGCAGGCTGGTGGGCAGTACCCCGGCATGTCTGTCGGTGGTCGCATGCCTACGCAGCACCAGCCTACCGCATAATCTTATCTACTCTTATCTACGCTCCCACGCACCTCCTCTTTCTGTTTTCCCTGCATATGGTCTTGTTTTTAGTAGCTGAGGAGTCCAGAGTTCAGTTGTTTTTGCCTTCTTTCAGCATCTACCCTTTATTTACACCCCCCTCTCATTATCTTCTCTCCCCCTTGACATTTGATACCCGACAATCCTGTTGTTCAACCCATCATCGCATGAAAACGGGTCCTATAAATATAATGCATCTCCCCTGTTTACTTTTCGACCGCGAACGAAAACATGCAAAACCGAGGAACAGCATGGACAATTGTCTCTTCCTGTAACCTCGTTAAGGCGTCGATGAATCTGGCGCTTACATACTCTGCTTTGGGACATGTAATGCCTCTTGACCGTTCATTGAAAGCGACACAAAAAAGACGAGAGAAAAAAAAGAAAGAAAAAAGAAAAAAGAAAGAAAGAAAGAAAGTCAATCCACTGCAACTCTGCATGATCAGGTTCAATGACTGGATCTGGACTCCGAGGTTGATTTGGTCTATCTGCTATTCTGTTCTTCACATCTCCTAGTCATCTAGACGACTGGTGGAGGTGGCGGTGTTTCTGGTGCATTTCTTGTTTCTCTGGCGAAATGGTTTCTATTTATTTATCTCTCCTATTTTAAAACTGCCGTCTCCTTTCGTCTTGACTTTCAGGCTGCTTGTTCTTTTCTGCTATTTACCTCAATTTGACATGCTGCGCTGTGTTATGCCCTGGTCTGTCTTATTCTACCATCAGTCAATGGAATATGGTAGATAGGATATACTGATCAAGAGGGCTACCAAGGAATGGTCTTTTTTTTGATTGGGTTTAGTAGTTAGTGGTGTTATTTGAATGAACTGGATTTTAGTATTCATTTGGTCATGTTAGTATCCGTAGGTCCGTTCATCTAGTCTTGGATGTCTTCGTCTTCGGTACACATCTAGTAAGAGTACGCTACTGGCACCCAATACTATTGCCTATTCTTCTATGTCGAGCCTGATGACCAAATGTCTAATGCCTCTTTCTTGACGACAGAGTAAGCCACACACTGCACCGAGGGAGTCGTACTTTGTAAAGTATACTCTGATAATCTTTAACCATGTATGGAATTACTCCGTACGGAGCTTCGAAGTTCAATGCCATCATGTCTGACAATTCAGAACGACAGTCAGCAATTGGCTTCACCTTGGTGGGCTGCTTCGTTCCCTTTGCGATACGTTTGCGACATCATTCGTGGGAATAAGGGGCGTCTTGTAAACGTATCAAGAAACCTATGTATGCGGATATACCCATCTGAGGCGTGATATGGCCATCGGTCATTTCTGTTGACTTCCGTCTGTGCGGTGAATTTGGCATTCTGACAACGGGTAGCGCATCCATGTCATGCATTTAGCATGTTGACAAAGGATAGCCAAAGTTCGTGGTCATCGTAAGTGGCTTGGCCTTTGTGCTTGTCTGTTACCAACTGCTTCGCTCATTGTAATTTGGCCAGTACACCTCGTCGAAGTAGGTAGTTATGCGCGACAGCATGTTGCGCAGTTTCAGGAAGTCAACTGGGCTCTTGGTATGCATGTCCACATCGTTGACATTCTGGATGAACTTGGGCCGATTTAGCATAGCGCCAAGGCGCTGGGAACTTATAATTCAGCCACCCCGCACTCCCCATGGACATGAGCCCTAACACTGGCACCTGTGCGTTGTCAAAATCCGCTCCCGTGTGCGCCATTGTGCTGAAACTGTAGATGATAGTCTGCATTAGTATCAATGACCAAGAAAAAACAGTTTGTGAAGGAGAGGACTACACTGGTTTCAAGCAATTAGATCTTGTGCTTCAAGGTCTGGGCCAGAGGACTTCGCTTTGTGAAGTAGGCAGTGAAAAACATGTGCAGCTGGAGGTTTGCGTCCACGATAGCTGCCTTGTCGTTGTTTAACTTCTAGACTGAAAAGCATTGGGGTCTTTCAGAGGCGGTGGTCTGTTGTGAGGCCGAGGCTGAAGTGGTCCTGCTAAGCGGACATTGCGTTTACCACGCTAAGCGAATGGTCATTTCGGAGCTGCAACACGACTGTGCAGTCCACACTTTTGTTGAGTGGCTTTTCTAGTCAGCGGTGGGAAACGATTACTCTATCGACGCGATTCTTGTCCTGGTGGACTGGATTGAACCCCTCGGTATGGTTTCAGGATTCCTAAGGTTTCGCATGGGGTTGGTTGTTTTGCCCACACTTCCAACTGTGTAAGGTTTGTAGGGTAAATGCCCCTGTTCTGCTAAGATGTCCGCTTAGTCTAGCAACAGCCTTTGCCCATAGTCGTCTCTCGATGGTATTGTAAATAACGGTCAGGCTATGCAGACGCTCCATCCATTCTTCGTCTGTCTAGATAACGCAAAGCGCATCGAGCTGTAACGAGTCTGCACTGGGATTTCTTTCAGGAGCACTTCGCGGCGGGAAGTTTGGGGTTTCTTCTAGAAAGTCTGCGCAGCCTTTCTTTAAAATGCCTTGTACGACGTGGTAAACAGTGCTTGTCCATGCCTCCTGGTAAAGCAGCGTGTCCGAGCAACAACCTTCCGATGAACACGAAAATGACCCCAAAACTAGCTATTAGCAGATAGATTGGGTCAGAGGAGCTTGGGCGTAAAAGTATGATGTCAAGATCTCTTGAAATCAAAGAGTCGGTGATAAATCATTCCAGTATTGCGAAAGAAATGAACAACGTGCCCTTTATAGCGCCATTGCTGTCCCCGGACTTGTTGGGCTTTTACCGTGGCATTGACACGAGAAATAAGCATTTGCTCTATCCCAGTAAGCTCGGGAAAGTTAGGGAGAGGACTAGAGTCCATTTTATTGGCGGGGATGTACGGAAAACATCTTCATCCTAATCCAGATCGTATCACATGTTAGTGTAAGGATTGCTATACAACCTCAGAACAGCCCACGAGACCTTGATAGATATGTTAGCAATTATGCTTGGCCCAATGTAGCGGAAGTGGCATCTCATGCGGGAGAGCCATCACTCAGCTCAGTCTGACTGTTGGCCCGGCCTCGTCTGTCGAGGAGTAAGTGATAGTTTGTTTCTAATACGACCTTTTCCTCGTGTTCATCGCAGAACAGACTCCGCGCATAGCTCCCATCATTTTCCGGCGACAATGATGCCTGGTGTGATATAGTTATACCTCTGCCCATATTTGGCTAGCTCCTTTTGTTGCTGTATGTGTGCAGATAGTCTAGGGCATCCTCAGATCCCACCATCCCGCTTAAGAGCACCTTTCCCCAATAACCATGGCAATGGCTCATGAGACATGTCAAATTTCGAGAGGTCCCTATCCCTTTTCGTCTCATCATTGCTCTCTCCATGTCTGTACCTTCTTGGGAGCCCAAAACAAACTCAACCGCCGCCGCTCCAAGTCGTCCTTCGACCACTTGTTGAGGGTATGAGGATAAATGTGCACGACCTCGACGAGGTCGCCCTCGTCGGTGATTGAACATTTACCCCCATGCCTCTCCAGAGTTTGAACACTGTTTGCGCTGTGCTTTATTATATCATGCCGCATTAGGAATTTATCTCCACGGTCTTCCCCTCCTCGGATCCCTTCGAAACCAACGGAAGTTGGCAGTTGTCTTGCGCGAGACGCGCTGTTTCTGGTAGATAGCCACACCATGATCTAGTATAGTGCATCCTCTAGATCCCATCATTCCTCTTCACTTCGAAACTGACGAATATTCGAACTCGTCCTATATACTCCGTTTCATCACTAGATTCCGCCTGCCGCTCGCTTGTCCAGTTGTAAATCATATGAATCATTCCTTGTTCCAGACCATTATCGTGACTAATATTGAAGTGCAGGTTATGTAACCTCGCGGGTCCTTTCTCTATGGCGTCTGCGGTAGAGTATGGCAGGCCGTAAAACGACCAAAAGATATCTTTTTAAACACCTGCTCTCTGCCCGAGCATCATTCTTGTTGAACTAGCCGTCAGATACATTGTACCACCCCAATTTGATCCTGTGCGTGAAATGCGCTTAATCCCTGGTCAAATGGGGCTCTGTTGCAGCGCAAGATATGATGCTTGATTGAATTTTTCTGGCTTGCTGTTAGTTCATTTGCAACTTGCCAACAACGTGACTGTATCAATCTTGTTATTTATCAGCACGTCTTCCATGGCCTTCTCCTGTAGCAGTTGGCTTCCGTTTCCGATTACTTGGAGATCATGAAACAATGGATGATGGCGGTTTTGAAGTAACTTGTAAGACTCTCTCAGTATAGTCACCAGACTCCCTCTTGGCCTCCAGCTCAATAAATAGCGGCACGTCCCTAAGATGACCGTTGGTGGCTACATCGAGCCTCAACTCATTAGACAAGAACACCACAGCTGCCTGCAGGTGCTTGGAGCGAAAGCGATGACAAACCATGTAGTCCATTTCTTGGACAGGGGGTGGGCAGTAGAAGTTCTGGTTCTAGCAGTTGAGATTGCCTGCTTCAATATTAGTTTAGAGGGGGGAACAGCAAGTCACACGTTTTTGTACTGCAAGCAAGTACTCGGGAACACAGGCCAATGGACCATGCGGTTGAAAGACCAGAATTCACTGCGTTCTCATCTTGTGAGAACTCTAGGAGATGTGTTCCCAGTAGAGAAATCTTCTTGATATGTGTTGATCTCTCATGCTAAACACAGACCACATTCATCGGTTTGATATCCAACAATGAGTGCATTTCATCTGTTATCATTACTGCTCGGCTCATTATTGAGTCTTATTTCGCTCGCACTTCGAGCCTTGAGAGACCATTTCTCCTTTTCAGTCTTTGTCGTCATATTTCATAGGAACTTGTGGCACTTGAACCACGGCCACTGGATAAAGCAGTCGTTAATAAGTACACAGGGAACTATCAACACAAGGATGGGATTTCCTTACAACGTTGCAATGTTAATGTCCGAGGTGCTGTATATTGCAGCGGTCTAATATATTCCGGATTGGACATTTAGTTGATCGACAATCAATAATTCTGGTCGATACAGGGGTCTTCTGAAAAGCCGAAAGCACATGAGAGCTCTTGAGAGCTCTGTACTCTGTGTCAAAGCCATAAGGATCCCAGAAGGGCGCTCTCAAGGGTGTGGTATGTATCTTTTCACAAGTTCAACTTGAAGAAGCAAGAAGAATTCTTTGGTGTTCGTGTGAATAAGAATAATATACCACTTGGCCAGAGAAAAATGATGGAAAGGTGATTTGGGGTAGTTGGGAAGGTAGTGCGTGGATGGTCAAGGTTATATATCTGGAAGGGTACCATTCACCACTGACATTTCATCAGCATAGGGCTCCGAATATACAATAAGGAATTATATATCCAAATTCTAATAATTTGACGAGCAATTGAATCTATCATTCACTATAGCATAAACCAATTTCTTTAGCCCAAAGTAGAAAACAAAACCTATCTACTCCGTACTCCGACCAAGTACTGTACAAGCCAAGGGTATTCGTATTGATAATCTATAATAGGGTATGTAATTATATAAATAAATTAAGACATCCAAGCAAACCGCCAAACTATACTCACCGCGGCGCAGGACCGCGATCCTCAAGATCCGGGGAGCACTCACGGTCATTCCCCGCTTGCTGTTGCTGACCGGTCCAGCGGGAGAGGTATCGAGCCCCCGTTCTCCAGGCATTTAATAGAGGGTTCCTCGGGCCAGCGAGGAAGCGGATTCTAGGAGCGGGTTCGTTATTAGGATCAGGTTGTTGTTCTGGTGATGGTTGCTGTGAGCGGAAGAGCTGGTCATTTCGTGCATCTTGGGTGCCGTAGCCAACGTTGGCACCGTTGGATTCCCACTGTGTCCGCTGTTTTAGAGGCGAACTTGCACTATCCGATGCGGGCGATCTCTGCTGCGATTTGCCCTCGCGGACGGACGGGGGAATCCGGCGCGGATCCCAGTTTCGGTAATTGAGGATAGGGTTGGTAGTCGAGCGACGTGACCGGCGCAACAAGCCGTCTCGCAGTGTTGCATAAGTACCACTCTTGCTTCGTGGTCGCGCTGGGATCGTGTTGGCCGGACGATAGAAAGGCGACGATCGGACATTCGGCGACTCCGGATAATCCGAGTCATCGAGCTCTGCCCAGATGGAAGCTGAATCCAAGTCGGGAGTCGAGGTCCGATTCTGCGTAGGCGCAAATGAGGAAGGTAGACTGGGTGTTCGTCGATGACTGGATCTGCGCTGCGGAGGAGCTGCCTGTAAAAGCGGCTGGCGCTCGCCAGGTTGGCCTTCCTCGCCGTCCAATCCTAATCCATGCAGATGATTCTCCTCCATGACGCCCATTCCCGGCCCTAAGCCTGTCTGCGAAGAGCCAACCACGGTAACACCAGCATGGTTGTCAATGTCTTCTAACCGCCACGAAAGACAAAGTACTCCGTTCAATAGAATAACGGTACCAAGGGCAATAAGTCCCGCGCGGAGTCCGCCCAAATCGGACACCTGCCGAAAGTAGATGAGACCGTCCAATATAGCAATGATGTTGTAGATGCAAAACACAAAAGGATAGAGCACGCTGGTACTGCAAAGCTTCAGACCCCGATGGAGGAAAAACAGCTGGGTGAGGGCCAAAGCGATCACGCCAATCAGAATTATCCATGATTGCCATCGGTTGAACTGGTTGGTGCGGTATACGATAGTGCGGACTAGCAGCTCAACAGCCGACTTGGCCAGAAGCAGGGTATGGGCCGACAAAATCCCACTAACCAGACCAAAGCACATTCCCCTTACGAGCCGGATGCGGCTGTGGACCACCTGTAGACGCCGTGCACTCGAATGCCTCCAACGAGGCGAAGAGGAGAGAAGCCTCAGCATTCGAGACCCCGCTAGGATCCCCAGCATGAGGACGACAGTTCCCGCGACCCATAGTATAAACGGACGGCGCTGCAGGAGTAGTAATAGCTGATCCAACGTATGCGGTGGTTCCCCAATGGCGCCAAACGTGGCGATCAATATCGCGCCGGTGCAGACCAGGATCGTGCCGAGCAAGGAAAATCTAGTAAAGGCTTCACCAAGGATCACGGTAGCGAAAATGGTATTGAAAACGAGACCGGACTATCGTGCGACAGGGAGTCAGCAGAGGAAAAATGAGAAAAAGGGGACGTTATACTAACGGCTTGAAGAGTCGAGAGAACTGGGAGCGGAAGGGTGGTGATTTGGATCGTACTCCCGACGATGTTCGATACAACGAACATCAGCATACCCAGCTGCAATTGTCAGAGTAATCCTATATTGTCGCAATGCCGAAAGAAGCATACCTGCCATCTTCGACGCTTGTACGGGGGTCGGCGTATTTCGTACGGATCCTTTTCGTCTTCGAGGATATGCGACTTGCGCTGAAGGGTCAGACCGATAGCCTGGATACTGGTCGAGATCAACCCGACCACCACTCCGACCTGTAGTTGTCAGTCGAGGATTCCTCATAACTGAGAATAAAGCACAAACCGCGACGCTCCCTTGGGGAGACAGGTCACCAAGCTTCCCCATCACGAAGTAATCGCAGGCATTGGAGAATGGCGCAGGACCGTATGGTAATGCAATTTGCCAAAGAACGAGGCAGGGTGATTATCGATAAACAGACGCCATCTTCAGGACCGATATAAATGATGGGATGGATGAAAGAGGGAAGTTTTGAAACAAAGAGCGATAAGTAGATGTGGACGGTGACTTCATGCGGGAACGCCGTTCCTGAGGCTTAGTTAGACAGTCAGCCGATCCACCACTTCACCCATCCTCGTCACTACGGACCTCCGACTCGACCCTGTTACAGCTACAGCAGCAGCAATAATTACAGGAGGATAGCTTCGTGAGGCATGTAAGTGAGAGATACCTTCTAGCTATTATCCATTCGAGCATTCTCTCGCTATTTCTGTTGATGCCACTGTGACCGCAACGACTGATCTTATCACCTCCCCAGCAGCATTCCGCATCGGAGCGTGACATCTCCCATTCAATATCGATTCCAATCCCTACTCTCCAAAACTCGAGTTCTCCAATCCCAACCGCCAAAATGTCGCAACATGCCCTCTCCGACGACCAGGTAGGCCACGCCCTTCCTCTCCCACCACCCCCGGAACCAAGCATTGATAGCCATGGACACAGGTCGCGGGCGAGCTCCGCAAGATGACCGCCTTCATCCACCAAGAAGCCCTTGAAAAAGCCCGTGAAATCAACCTGAAAGCCGACGAGGAGTTCGCCATCGAAAAGTCCAAGCTAGTCCGCCAAGAAACCGCCGCCATCGACACCCTGTACGAGAAGAAGTTCAAGCAGGCCGCCATGTCCCAGCAGATCACGCGCTCGACGCTCGCGAACCGTACCCGTATCCGTGTGCTCTCTGGTCGCCAGGAGCTGCTGGATGATTTGTTCCAGCAGGCGAGGGAGAAGGTTACTGGTATTGCGGGTGGGGATGCGAAGAAGTACGGGGAGGTGCTTAAGGGGCTGGTCCTCGAGGGGTTGTATACGTTGAATGAGGATGAGGTTAGTGTCCGGGCACGGAAGAAGGATTATGATTCTGTCAAGAAGGCTATTGAGGAGGCTACTGCGGAGTTTAAGAAGACCGTTGGGAAGGATACTGCGGCTGAGTTGGATGAGGAGGAGCCGCTGCCAGAGGGATCGTGAGTTTTCCTCTCTAAAGATGTTCGTTCATATTCTAACTTATTGTAGTGCCGGTGGTGTGTCCATCATCGGCGGCCAGGGCAAGATCGAGATCGTCAACACCTTCGAAGAGCGTCTGCGGTTGCTCGAGATCGACGCCCTCCCTGCCGTCAGAGAGATTCTCTTTGGCAAGAACGAGAACCGGAAATTCACTGATTAGGAAGCTAACCGTGCGTGTTTGTGATACCGTTTGCGTATGTTTTCAATTTACTTGGCGTTCTAGTTTCCTCCTAGAGGTATGAATTGTATACAGATAACTAGCCATCGTCTATATTCAGCGTTGCCACAGTTCCATTGATACAGTAGTTGTATTGTCATCGATCATTAGTCGTTATTTCTGAGTGTTATAGGTAAGGCGATATACTCCGTCTCCTGTAAGCGATGTCCTAGCTGCCAGAATTGAAGCAGCTGCAAAAATTGCCATAGCCATGGACTTGCGCGCTGTAATCCAGTAGCCTTGACAGCCGACAAGCCAACGTCGTCAGCTAGGGTGCGCATAAAATGTAGCACTCCGTAGCAAATGCAAGCCCATCATGAAGGCTTTCCCTCGTCCATGACGGACGCTTCCGGATTCTCCTCCTTTGGCACCCGCCTCGTGTATTTCGTTATTTTATTACTTTTATTCTCGTTCAATTCAACTTGAAAGCCCACCTTCCTGGGCTGCGGCTTCGACCGTACCGAATACAAGACACGGTAATGCAAGGCCTCGAGCCCTTCCTTGGCGAGCGTCCGTTTAAGATGCGAGACACCCGAGTCCTCAATCGAAGTGAAGATCCTCTTGAGCCGGTCCGCAAGTGCGTCAATCTCAGCATTGAACGCATTTTCCGCGTCTTTGCTGGGGAATCCTAACACAGTCCAACCAGGATCAATGGCGATGTTGAGAAGGATAATGATGGAGCCGAGTTCGCCATAGTCGTACTCGGCGGTCCCTTTGCCTTTGTAGAGTTTTACGTCGAAGCGGCGGTTTCTGAGGACTTGGGTCATGCGTTTTAGGTCAAGGACGGCTTCGGGAGGTTCGGTCAGGGGTGTTGGGTCGTGCGTTAGGTAGGCGACAGCAAGACGACAGCGTAGCAATGATATCCAGCTTGATGTTGGGAGTATGTGTTTGAGGAGGCGGCTCTGGAATGTGGGGTCTTTGATAGTGTCATATAGAAATGTGCAGATTCGATGTACCTGAGCACCGTTAGTGTGGAATGTCTCTGACCGTATTAGGATAACCTACCGTATCATCAGTGCCGTCTTCGGGTATCGCTTCCAATATTGTTGTAATAGTCCTTTCAACCTCCGAACAGACAATGGTATCTTTCATTAACGAGATATCAATCGTTAAGCGGAATAGGATCATCAATATCCGTTCACGGGTATCATCGGCGAACCTGTGGGAATCAGAACTATGAACTTGTGGGTACGCGGACACGGAACTTACAGGTCTGCTGCGCCCCGAAGCAACTCCAGGAGCGAAAGCAAAGGCTTTTGGTTGCTAAACGATGTGTCCAGCGCTGACTCTGCTGCCTTGAATTAGTTGTGATAACTAAACATTAGAAAATTGAGTCTTACGTGGATCTGGTGAAACTGATTCTCTTAATGCCAACGCCTTGGGAGTCGCGCCCAATCGTTGAAAAAGCAGATCAATGTCGCTTGGACATATAAGCGACCTGACTCGTTCAGCAGTAGCATGCTGGCCAAAATCCGTCAGCGATCGACAATAACTCCGAAACATGTGAGCAATTTAGAACCAACCTTGAACACCCTACAATAAACTTGTCTCAGTTCGTCCCGGGGCTCAGCGGGTACTAAAAAAAAGAACAGTAAGTATCAATCCCAAGCGGAAACGAGCGTCCTGTAACGTACCCGAATGGGAAATCCATGTGACCAGTTCGTCCGGTAAAAATTGTTTTGATAGAGCAAAGTCCACAATGCCGGAATGAAACGCACGCTCACGCGAACCGGGCTCTGCAAGCTAGTCAGAGCCAACCAGGTAAACACCGATAAACGTCGACGGAACACGAACCTCGCAACACCGCCATATATGTCCCAGGTGCCACAGAATCTCGAGGGAATTCCGGAGCAGGTGGTGGAGTCTCCTTATTACTGAAGAATGACCAAGCCTTTTCATGGTCAAAGGCTTCTGTCCTCCGAACAGCCTCGAGTAGACGCTGCAACCCCAGCTCATCATCCTTATCACCCAGAGCCGATGTCAGCATACCCTCATGTAGTTGTTTGTCCTGCCCATCGGAGCCTGTCGCAGCCGTACTCTCCTCTTCCAGCTTGATAGTAGCCCTTATTTTCGCGATGCTTGCCTCGGTCTCATTGTCGTCGACTGCATCTGTAACCAGTGCATCCAGCGTATTCTTGTACTTGGGAGTCGAGAAACTTTTCGCATTGAATTTGGACGGTTTCACATCATTTATCGACAATCGTGTCTCCCGTGTTTCACCAGATTTCTTGTCTGCAGCGTCCTTGGGTCCAGAGCCAAGCTGGGCAAAAAGCTCTTCCGGGGATTCTAGCGACGCAATAGAGTCCGTATCTTCTCCATCTGAGCTAATGACGACCTCCTTCCCATTGATCATGCGCCGGGTTGAATTGTCCGCGACAGTAGAATCGGCACTTTGGAAACTAGGTTGCAGTGGCCTCTCATCCTCATTCTTCACTTGCGGCTTGTCTTCTCGAGAGGTAGGCAGATTGAACGACGGCGGGGAGGCATGATTTGGAATTGATGACGATGGCGGCTCTGTCAGTGGAGAAGTAGTGGGAGAGTCGATGCTGCTTCGTGGTCTGTCATTGTTGGTAGGACTTTCTGGGTTGGTTATTGGGAAACTGGGACGCTTGAAGAAGTCCGCGATGCCGCGAGACGGAGGCATATCGAGACCCTTTTGCACAAACTTCTTTCTTCACTCTGGGGAGATCCTTTTTGCTGCGGCTTATTCCTCCCGCAGCGACACGACGGGTGACGCGCGCTAGCATCGCGAAGTCACATGATTCTGAGTCAGCAAGATCATTTTTCCTTTTTTGGATATGGACGGGTGGAAGAGAAAAACATCCACTGGCGAAAGAAACAGAAGTGAACAGGGGTTTGTCTGACAGACTCGTATTTGGGCAGCGGATGCTGATATTTCCCGATTATTTACCGGGCCTTTGCGCATTTGCGCAGTCAGACGTTGCTAAAAATGGATACGCTACTGTCGTGTTTGGAATCTCGCATCTGACGGCATTTCTACCATGGGACGAGTACGAGGTCGTGAATAATGCACTGCTGTACATTTTTCGGCCTGACTCCTTCGTGAGCATTATTCCTACATAGTATTCCTGCTGGCTTGTTTTGGGACGGCCAGGGGAAGGTCAAAATACCGCTGATCTGCTTTGGGTTTACAACCTTGTTCTCCACTCTGGGTTTCTGGGTTGACGACCATCGTCGTGGAGAGCATTTTGCATAGATAGATTTATGAAGTACACTTCGTACTGTACTCCGTAGGAGGGCGATGTTGTAGACATGGAGCAAATTAACTAGCAATACAGATCGAGAGAGACCGACAAGCGCAGACAGTTGGCTAGATGCAGAATCCTCTGTGCAGTGCCTGGAGTCTGCACAACAGTCTGGAGAAGAGTGGAGGTGAGAAGTATTATGATGTATCAGGCGGAGACATTCAATTCCACTAAAATAGCTCCTTTTCGCTGTGATTGGGTCCAGATCTTTCCTGTATCTTACAGCGAGGGAGGATACAAATCACGTAGATTACTTTTTGCTCCAGACAGATTCCCTGGCAAATAACCCGACTTCCTTCGAGAACCGCGCGTTGGCTGATCTTCTGTCACCTCTCCATACTTACCACTATGTACTGCTGTGGAGGACTTTTGTGCGCTATACTGTTTTGAGAAGCAGTAAGCACTTGGCTTCGTCCTATGCCAAGCCTAAAAATAGGAGAGTGGTAATACCGATACAGAGCAATAGGGGGAAGAGCGCTTACCGAGTCTTGTACGGAGTACAGGACTGTTGATTGGAAGAAGACTGTTTTTGATGTGGTCAATTGCAATCAAGGAATTGTATCAAACCGAGGTACTTTGAATTAGCCAGAATCATGCAAGCTAAGATGAGACTGCGAGATCACGCCAGACACAAGTACAGTACAGAATAGACGGTCAAACGCCAAGCAATATCAGGAGGCACGACGAAGTGTCATTGAAAATCGCATGGCCGGACTCTCGAGAAAAGATGGAGACCCGTCCAGCCAAGGAACGGTCGGACATTGTAAACCTTACCTTCGGTGCGATGCCAGCACGATTGTATAGATTGCCTGATCGGGAAGACGTCAAAATTGCTGACTTGTCGATTGACAGGCACTGCTGGGAAGATTGGTGTCGGGTACCTTCTCGAACGGCTAGTGTTCGCTTGTGCTTGCCATGGCTGCCAATCTTTGGTCGAAGGACTGCCTATCCAAGTGCCAGTGAGGCTTCTGGGTCGAATAGGATATCAGTACTCCGTACGGAGTAGTAGTGTATGTCTCCGGTCCCGGGACACTTTGATGCTTTCGACCTGTCTTTTCGTTGTATCTCAATGGTATCCACTAGAATGGAGAGGCTTCCAGGAGATTCGCATCGTTTTGGGCTCTGAGATGGATCACTCGGAGATGTAAACCAGAAGAGTGTGGTTGAAAAAGAAGCATTTTTACCGAAGATAGAACACCTCCAACAAACTGCTTGCAGCCAGTACCACTTCGGGCACCCGCATACTAGAAACATATGGAAGTCGGATGGTTGTTCCTACATGGTGGTAGTGGTAGTAGTGGTATTGGCGATACTACGAAAGAGCAATACCCTCCGAAATAGGATACCAAACTAAACTAGATCAGGCAATTCACCTGATCTGCCCCACAGCCTCATCAAAGACGGAGGACCGATGCAGACAATCCCGGTTTTCGATGCGACAACCGGGTCGTCATAATTTAATGTTAAATAAAGCAGGCGTGGGGTTTGTGGATGGCTACATAACTGAGTGCTCGGATATGCATCACCGTTCTTATGCCGCCTGTCCCTTAGGAATCAAGCTCGCCTTTGGAAGAACCAAACTATACAAGCAACGGTTACTATGGTTGCCACAACAGAGATTTTTTTCTAGTCCGTACAGAGTACGCTCAGTTTCCATAATCGGGACCGAATCTGGAACAAGAGGGTTTCATCCAGCCAGTTAGTCTGGAGGCTGGAGGTTGATTTGGAAAGTTGGAGGTGATGTTGGTGGCATTATGACGAGATACTTCATACGATGTATAGAGTAAAGTACTCGAACTATTAACCTTACCTACTCCGCCTTGTAGCATAAAGCCATCCTGACCAGCAGCATAACACTGTGTACACTTCTTTGTCCATCCGTTACATCCGATGCCCAGGGCTTAAACTTACGCGTTCCCATCGCGGATAAGTGCGGATTATTGGGCTACTCCGGGCTGAGTCAGCCTCCAATCGGCACTACACGGCTGGGCGGTAACAAAAAAAAAAAAAAAAAAAACACCGCCTTACCTTGTGCCCAGGCAATGGCTGGTACAGTACCGTATGTAATACCGTAAGTTACCAGTGGCCTCCCTCGTTTCCCGGCGAGAGTCAGAGAGAGAGTTTCTAGTAGTAGTTAGTCGTAGTAAGTCGCAGCAAGTGTCCTTTCTCTCATACTACTCCCGTATCAATCACCACTACTACTACTACTACTGCTGCTATTCTCTCTTCTTCTCTCTTCTCTTCTTTTATTCTCTTCGATTTTCTTCCGTCATTTCCTATTTGATTAATCATCCTCAGCGATCTCCCTCCCCCGTTCGTTTTTGCCTTCGTCGATTTGGAACTACGACACAGACGATTTCTCAGCAAGTGACGTCCTCCTTCAACCTTTGTCGACGCAAAGACCATCGCCCTACGCATATTGTATGGATTACAATTTCGCAGTGTTTTAGTTTCTATCGACCGCGCTGTCTCAGAAAACAAGGCAGTATCGGAGGTTGAACTACTAGAAGGGAAGGCAAAAAAAACAACCCCCAGGGATCTCACGGACTGGCTGCGCTGTCGGGGTCCGTCTCACTTGGAGCGGATGCTCTCCCTCCATCATCATAACTTGGCTCTTATACGATTGTCCTTGTCCCTTTAATTTTTACGCCCTTGCGAGGGCCGACAACCGCCTAAATGTCGCCTGTACAGTTCGAAGGCGCCGCGAATAACGACCCGGGTGCCGACGATCGCGAGTTGAGCAACCAAATCTCGAAACCAACAAAGCGTCAACGATGGGCAACAACGCGAATGGGAACTGCCAGTGGGGTGCGAAAACGAGTCTCTATCATGGATCGCTTGCACCGGCGCTCGCATTTGAACGATGAGAAGCGCAAGTCGGCTGCGGCAAATTCATCCAACGGAGGCGATACCTCAGCTGATCATGAGGAAAAGGGTCCCAACCGTCGTGTTTACTTCAACGTCCCTGTCCCGGAATCTGAACGCGATGAGGACGGCTTCCCAAATAACAACTACCCCAGAAACAAGATTCGCACGGCGAAATACTCCCCGATTACCTTTGTTCCCATGAACATTTGGTTTCAGTTCCATAACATTGCCAACATTTATTTCCTGTTTGTCATTATTCTCAACGTATGTTATGCTCTTACTTTTCTTTTGATAGTGCGGCTAACGTTTGCCATAGATTCCGTCCATTTTCGGTGCCAACAACCCCGGTCTTAACGCTGTCCCTCTGATTGTCATCGTCGTGGTAACCGCCATTAAAGATGCCATCGAGGATTGGCGGCGTACTGTACTCGATAACGAGTTGAATAATTCGCCGGTGTATCGTTTAATTGACTGGAGTAATGTTAATTCGACCGAGGACAACGTCTCGCTGTGGCGACGTATCAAAAAGGCATCTACTCGTGCGACGGTTACCACATACAGATTCTGCAGGGATTTCATCAACGAAAAGAGGGGCATTCAGCCCAAAAGGGAGGATGGGATAGACGACTCTTTTACGGATACTGTCGATCCGCGGGCTTCAGTATACACCCAGCGCGATCTTGGTCTTTCCAATCGCGACCAAGGTCTGGACGATGCCGCCATTCAGATGACCCCTGTTCCGTCGCCCACGCCAGATGCACGTCCAGATTGGCCCATGTCCAACGGAGATAGTAGCAAATTCCTTCATCCCGACAAGGCCGCCCGTGATCCAAGTCCTTCCCCAGCTCCTTCGGCCGCGACACCCCCTCGAAAAGGCGGCAGTGTTCTCGACACGGCCAAGCAAACTCCGGAGACAGCTCGTTTCAAACGGGATTACTGGAAAAGCGTTCAGGTTGGAGACTTCATTCGATTGTACAATGGAGACCCGGTGCCTGCCGATCTTGTTGTGTTGTCAACCTCTGACATGGATGGTGCATGCTACGTTGAGACCAAGAACTTGGATGGTGAGACCAATTTGAAAGTGCGCCAGGCCCTGAACTGCGGCCGTCAAGTCCGACACGCCAGGGATTGCGAAAAGGCCGAGTTCACCATCGAAAGCGAGGCCCCGACCGCTAATCTGTACTCGTACAATGCTTCTATCCGCTGGGATCAGCGTGACCCGGATTTCCTTGACGCGCCTCGCAAGGAGATGGTTGAGCCCATCACGATCAACAATATGCTACTCCGCGGTTGCTCCCTTCGCAACACCGAATGGATTCTAGGCGTGGTCGTTTTCACTGGATCCGAGACCAAGATCATGCTGAACTCTGGTGTCACACCAACTAAGCGGGCGCGACTTGCCAAAGATCTGAACTGGAACGTCATCTACAACTTCATCATCCTGTTTCTCATGTGCTTGGTCATGGGTATCGTGAACGGTGTTGCTTGGGCTTCCAGCAATAAGTCGCTTAATTACTTTGATTACTCGCCGCCCGGAGACACTGCTCCCCCGGTTACTGGTATCGTCACTTTCTGGGTCGCTGTCGTTCTCTTTCAAAACTTGGTACCCATCTCGCTCTACATCTCGCTGGAAATCGTTCGTACTGTCCAGGCTGTGTTCATCCACTGCGACGTTTTTATGTACTACGACAAGCTGGAAATGGCGTGCGTTCCCAAGTCTTGGAACATTTCCGATGACGTTGGACAGATCGAATATATTTTTTCTGACAAGACCGGTACATTGACTCAGAATGTCATGGAATTCAAGAAGTGTACCATCAATGGAGTTTCATACGGTGAAGCATACACGGAAGCCCAGGCTGGTATGAAACGCCGGGAAGGTGGCGACGCGGAAATAGAGGCCGCTCAAGCCCAGGAGAAGATCGCTGCCGATACCGTTAAGATGCTTGAGATGCTTCGCGGGGTCCATGACAACCCGTACTTGCGGGATGAGAACCTGACTTTCGTCTCGCCCCACTTCGTTTCGGACCTAGAAGGTCAATCCGGCAAAAGGCAAAAGGCGCTTGTTGAGCATTTCATGGTTGCCCTGGCTGTGTGCCATACTGTTATTACGGAACAAACCCCAGGCGACCCGCCGCAGATTGAGTTCAAGGCGCAGTCTCCCGACGAGGCTGCTCTGGTGAGCGCTGCTCGTGATTGCGGTTTCACTGTCATTGGCCGAGCCGGTGATGATTTGATTGTCAACGTCATGGGTGAAGAACGGACGTACTCGGTTATGAACACTCTTGAGTTCAACTCGTCGCGAAAGCGTATGAGTGCGATTGTCCGGATGCCAGATGGCTCGATTCGACTTTTCTGCAAGGGTGCAGACAGCATCATCTACTCACGGTTGGCACCTGGGAAACAACATGAATTGCGACAAAAGACCTCCGATCAGCTTGAGATGTTTGCTCGAGAAGGATTGCGAACTCTCTGTATCGCAGATCGGGAGCTTAGCGAAGAGGAGTACCAGACCTGGAGCCGCGAACACGACATTGCAGCAGCGGCTCTTACCGACCGTGAGGAGAAGCTTGAACAGGTATCCAGTGCCATTGAGCAGGAACTCATGCTTATCGGTGGTACTGCAATTGAGGATCGACTTCAAGACGGTGTGCCCGATACCATCTCGTTGCTGGCAGATGCGGGTATCAAATTATGGGTTTTGACCGGCGACAAGGTCGAGACGGCTATTAACATTGGATACTCCTGCAACCTTTTGAACAACAATATGGAGTTGATCGTGTTCAATATCCCCGAATCTAAACCGGAACAGGCCGCACAAGAGCTGGCCAATCACTTGCAGAAGTTTGGCTTAACAGGATCCGACGAAGAACTCATGGCTGCCCGTGGGGAGCACGCACCACCACCACCGACGCATGCTGTTGTGATTGACGGTGACACGCTCAAGCTCATGCTCACCGACGAATTGAAGCAAAAGTTCTTGTTGCTGTGCAAGCAGTGTCGGTCGGTTCTCTGCTGTCGAGTCAGTCCTGCCCAAAAGGCGGCCGTTGTGAAGCTGGTCAAGAATGGTCTCAACATCATGGCTTTGTCAATTGGTGACGGTGCCAATGATGTTGCCATGATTCAGGAGGCAGACGTCGGTGTCGGTATTGCTGGTGAAGAAGGTCGGCAAGCAGCCATGTCATCTGACTATGCCATCGGACAATTCCGATTCCTTCAACGGCTCATTTTGGTTCATGGAAGATACTCTTATCGTCGTATGGGTGAGACCATTGCCAACTTCTTCTACAAGGTTAGCTCCAGCACCCTCCATTTTCCCTCAGGTATGATGATTGATGCTTACTGTATCTCACAGAACTTGGTTTGGACGTTTGCCCTCTTCTGGTACTGTATCTACAACGACTTCGACGGTTCCTACCTGTTCGATTACACCTATATTGTCTTGGTCAACGTTGCTTTCACTTCGTTGCCTGTGATCTTCATGGGAATTCTGGATCAAGATGTCGATGACAGGGTGTCATTGGCCGTGCCTCAATTGTACATGAGAGGTATCGAGCGGAAGGAATGGTCGCAGCTCAAGTTCTGGTATGTTTCTCTCACAGCTCTTGCTGCTCTTTGAAGATATTAACACACTTCAGGTTGTATATGGGTGACGGTCTCTATCAGTCGATCATCTGCTACTACATGCCGTATCTGTTGTATAAGCCCGCGAATTTCATCACCGCAAACGGTTTGAACGTCAACGACCGAACTCGTATGGGTGTTCTGGTTGCCTCCGCTGCCGTTATCGCCAGTAACACCTACGTTATCATGAATACCTACCGCTGGGATTGGTTGACTGTGTTGATCAACGTTATCAGTTCTGTCCTGATCTTCTTCTGGACTGGTGTCTATTCTTCCTTCACTGCCGCAGGGACGTTCTATCATTCGGCAGCGGAAGTATATGGCACCTTGTCCTTCTGGGTGGTTCTTCTTATTACCGTCCTAATCTGTCTTCTCCCTCGTTTCACCGTCAAGTCGATCCAGAAGGTTTTCTTCCCTTACGATGTGGATATTGTCCGTGAATGGGTTACCATGGGTAAATTCAAGTACCTGGAAGAAAACGAAAACGAGACGTACGTGCCTCCTTCTGTTGCACCTGGCTCTGGGGATACTTCCGCAACATCTTCGGACTTGGGGAAACCAATTGAGCCTTCTATGAAACAAGATCCCTTTTCAGACGATCACCAAGCCATGTATCCGCCATCTGTTACACGTGCCACTCACATGCGGAGCCAGAACGGGAGTAACGGAACGAATTATACAGATAGCCTTGATCATGTACAACACCATACTCAGCCGATGGACTTCGTTCATCCTGCACAGACACGCCATTCATTCGACAGAGATCTACCGAGTTATGAAGCCACGAACGACTTCTCGACCGCAGGCGCTCATTATCAACAGGTCCCACACGGTCCTCCTTTACATGTCGTATAGAAATCCTTCATCTTCGTCTTATATATTCACCTGATCTCTTTTTGATACGATGATTGTCGGTTCATTCGTCGGTTACACTCGATCTTTTCATCATTTCATATGCGTCATTACGAGGATACTTTTTTTCTCTTTGTTTTTACAGCATCTTGCTCTATTCCCCGATAGATGGCGTTCGGTTTACAAAGTTGGCTGGTGGTCGGCGCTTTTCCTCTCTTAATGTTTTTTTTTTTTTTTTTTTTTTTCCTTGCTGCAAACGCCTTACGGTTCATCTTCAAGTGCTACCGTTTGTTCCGCGCCATTACTTGACTGACTTGATTTCGTTTCTTTGTACAAAAGCTTTCTCTCTGCTTTCTGTTCTACGCCCTTTTCCTATTGATTAATTCGATTGATGGGGTCACTTTTTTGGTTGCTGGTTTTACTATATGCTCGCCCCCGAATCTCCGGAAGCTGAGTGGGCGTGGCTAGTATTGGAGGATTATTGAACTTATGTACTCTATTGAAGACCTCAATGAGAAAGGCTTTCTAATGAAGATATTGATTCATTTTCATCTGTATACCAAGTAGCGAAAGGCTTGTAGAAGTAACTCCGTACTCTCCGATCTATATAAAAGGCTCCGGCGCGTTTGACGCGTAAAGTGGTCGCGGCTCACCGCCTTCCAAATACAGTAGACAAAATCACGGGACGCCTCCGAGCAGCAAATCTGTATTGCATCGCTTGTTGAGGCTTCTTTTCGCTTCTTTTCCACTGTTCAGTCTTTTTGGACGTCTTTCTGGAGACACAGGGAGGTGTCTCAGCTGAATTCACTATCTGTCCTCCCTTTGTGTTATTCGTTGCAGCCTTATATACTCTCATGCAGTGTCAGAGTGCCGTGCATTGAAATCGTCCCATGTACGGAGTACCTCACTTTGGATCATTTCTCTTTATTTTTGGCCTAGCCGTCCCTTTCTATCCTTTTGCGACGTTCATTTATTAGCGATGGCTCTATAGGCCGTCCCTACATCTTTCAATTTGAATGCTTGCGATGGGAAGATTCGCCGGCCTTCTTTCCTCAGCGCAGGCCTCATAGTATTCGATCAAGGAATGTAATTGTTGTCCCTCCTTTGCGCGACAAACCTATCAATATCATGGAGTGTATGGATGGTATCAGGTAAGTGTACCGACTTCTCCGATGTGTCTTCCGGGTCAAAGGACTGACCTTTGCCTTTTTCTCCACAGGGAGCTACAAGCCCTCCCTGACAACGTCCACATCCTATGCCCCCGACAACATGACGACGACCACGGACAGTATGACGATCCAAGCGAACGAGACGAATCGGGAAAGACAGTCGCGGAGCTCACGGAGGAGGCGTCAAGCCGCAGGGAGAAATTCCTGTCGTGCATGCGCATCCTAGCATATAGCGAGGAAGGCGTTGCGGAGCTGCAATCTTGGATCTGGCGAAGGTTGGACGATGCGCTCGAGAAATGCGACCTCTGCATTAAGAAATACTACACGGGCAAGGTCTGGCTTATGGAGCATTTGAAGGAGAGTTACGATGATGAGGATATCGAGAAATTTGGTCGCATGCTGGACGAGTGGGATATCAAGCGGATTACCAAGAACCTGAGTGTTGCGACGGCACGGTTAAAAGAGGTGCCCCCTCAGGAGATTGCGCTTCATGTGCTCGACCGCGCATCGCTGCTATCGATTTTCGAGACGCTGAGCTGTGAAGCTATGCTGCGCAACGATGCCTTGCTACAACAGTACTTCGACGAACCTTTCCGCCTGATTCAGACTAAGCGTAGTCTGAAGGTCTCTGATTACATCCCGGCCGTCACTCGTTTTTTGTTCGATCCCAACCAAAATCGCAGTTTCTGGGCTATTCACTCTTGGATGCGGTACCCTCGACCCCCAACTACGATGGAGTTTGACTGGGCGATTAAGGAGGGACTTTTGGATGCTCTTAGAGTAGCTTCTCAGCAGCCGCCACAGATCGCTGTTATTCAAAGGCTGTGGCGTGGCATGCAACTCGTAGTGAAGAGGTTGGACAAGGACCAGATCACCCATCATTTACGAGCGCTGGAAATCGATCCTTGCCGTCTCTCTGTGGATCATCTTGCTATGCAGTCGCCTGGTCTTCGTTTCCTTTTGAACACCATCCAGACCTTTTTGGAGAAGGCGCCTGGTGACTTTTGGGATGCGATGCAGACGATTTCTCCCAAAGCGATTATTGAGCAGATTTTCTATAATCCTCAGTTCGATGCGTTCCTTATGCAAACCACCGATGGCGAGCCATTCGAAAAGTCTGCCATGAAAGACATGCTATCATGGATTAGTCCATTCATGTCATCTCTCAAGGGTGCTCATCAGCCATCTGCTTGCAGGTTCCTGGCATATCAGCTCCTCCAACGATTCCAGGACCTGCGGTATCCCAACCTAGCCAGGTATCACTGCTTCCATATCGGGTTGGCGAGTCTCGTTCATACTCTCCGGAGATTTACAGACCATGAATCGTCAAGAGGCTCAGTGGGGCGCGTTGTCCTGTCTGAGACGCTTGAGATTGTAAGCGAGAATATCAACACAATCCTGAAGCCTCCAAATTTCACTGTGGAGCAAGGAAAACAACAAGAGATCTCGTCGTTATGCATGGACGTCATCCGCAACACATTGGCGCTCGAATGTCAGTCTTTGAAGAGCGACTACGAAATCATCCTCCGATACGATACCCTTCAGCACGGCGTCAGCACCTATTCAGCGCCGATTTGGGATGCAGTTGTCAAGCATCTACATGAAGATAACAAGGGTCTATCCACATCTGCTCTGCTTGGTATTCTGCCTCTTGTTGGCCTGGAGAAGTTCCCTATAAAGGGCGAAGCCAGTCAGGAGAAGAGAGATTTCAACATGAACTACGGCCATCTTACACATTTCTCTTGTCAGATTATTGAGCGTCTTTCTGATTTCAAGCCGGAGCACCTTGACGACTTGTTCAAGAGTCAAGATACCAGCAGTGCCCTGATCTCTGCTCTCTTTGCAGCTGACCTGAATACTTACCAGTCAGCGGTGACTCTTATCAAGAACGTTAGCGGCCAGTCCGCTCGACGGGATGCCATGTCTCATTTGCTACAGTCTTTCTTTACAACGACGATGTACGGTCTTAGCTGGTCTTTTCGGCGTATTTCGAACATGAAGACGTTCGCATCCGCTCCCAGAATGCTTCACACTGGTACTGACATCGTGGATATCCTGTGCGACACTCAGACTGGTATGCTTAGAACTCGCAAGCTCGCGGACCGCAGGGAGATACTTTCCCTCCAGAAGCTCTGGGAGTACCTGTGGCAAGCGTTGACTACGATATTTAACGAAACTGAATCATGGCATCTGAGAGGCAATGACAAGAGCGTGATGCTGGAGTTTTGCCGTGACAGCATGCAGTTTGCGGATCTCCTGTTTGAACAGTATAGCGTTTTCATTAGCGCTGTCGTGGATGCGGATCCGAATCAGGACAAGACGGCGCGCGAGAGTTTCCTCAAGCCACCGACTACGACTATGAGCGCAATGGTGAAATGGCTCCGGCTTAAAGACGAATACCTGGCCACGACTTTGGTTGGGCTCGTCGCCAAACTTCTCCGGTTATTGGGAGAACTCAGCGTGACTACTGTGAAAGAGGATGCCCTTGGTTTCATTGAAGGCGTCGCTGTCAAGTCTACCATCAAGACTATCTTGACGCCACGAGAAAAGGCAGAGTTGGTCCGGGCTTTGGAGGCATACTACAAGAAACCTGTCATTACTGCTTCGACAGCTAGTCTCAAGAAGCAGAGCATGATCACAGCCTTTGCCAAACCAACCGATGCCTCTGCTGTGGCCAGCCCGAAGTCTCCTAGTGACGATGAATTCGATGAGGAAGATGTTTCCGATAACGTTTTACTGCAACTCTCTCGCTCCGTCGAGCTCAACAAGGCGCGAGTCGCGGTAGAGAATAAGAAGAAGGCAGAGAAAGCCAAGGCCTTGCCGGCTATTCCAAAGCCTGCTGCTCCTGCGCCGTTGAAACCCGCCACCAATGTCCTGTCGTTCCGTGAGAAGCGCGAGAGGGAGAAGGAAGCGAAGAAGAAACGTGACCTTGAACAATTGGCGCGATTGAAGAAGAACCTCCCTGCGCGTGGTGTTGCGGAGCAGACCGCTGAGCAAGGGTCTGGATTGAGTGGAATTGGTATCAAGGGTAAAGATCATAGTACACCCGCTGAGAGTATGATGGTCTCTTCCGGTTCGGAGTCCGAGTCGGAAAGCGAAGATGAACTTGACAAGGAGCTTTTCGGTGCCAAGGCGAGTTCGAAACCTGATGCAGTCAAGGCCTATGAAGAGAGCAAGAGACTGTCTCTCAAGCAGCAGGGCCCTATCAAGAAGGTCAAGCAAGTGCGGTCGGCCAAGGATATGCGTGCTCGTCTAGCACCCGACTTGTCAGCTTTGCATCGGACGATTCTTTCTTGGGATTACTTTGCGAATGGTGATCTACCGCCTAACTCGGGGACTACCGATTACACGCTGGTTTCGAATGCGTTCAGAGATCCTATTGACTACCAGCGGACTTTCGAGCCTCTTTTGGTTCTTGAGGCATGGCAGGGCTTCCAGTCTTCGAAGGAAGATGGCTCCTTTAAGCCATTTGAGGTCAAGGTCGCTACGCGTCTATCTGTCGACTCGTTTGTTGAAGTCAGCACTACTATGCCTGCTATGGAGCTCAGGGACTTTGGTCTAGGTGAGTCTGATTTAGTTCTCCTCTCGAAAGCAAAAAATCCGACCAATGATTCTGCGGCCCCTCACTGTCTTGCTCGGGTCTCTGGGATCAACAAGAAGAAGGGCACGGTTGAGATTGCGTATCGGGTCGTTCCTGGGAATCCGTTCATTAATTCTCTCGCGCCGGGAAATGCTATTTGGGGTGCGAAGATTACTTCTTTGACTCCACTTGAGCGTGAATACGGTGCGCTCATGGCCTTGCAATATTACGACCTGTGTGAGGAAATTGTGAGGGCAAAGCCTTCGCCTATCCTGAAGTACTCGGATACAACTCTCAAGCCCATCGCCGACAACTACAATCTCAACCCTGCGCAGGCGAAGGCGATCAAGTCTGCCATTGATAACGATGCATTTACTCTGATCCAGGGTCCTCCGGGATCTGGAAAAACCAAGACCATTGTGGCTCTTGTGGGGGCACTTTTAACCAATGTTCTTGGTGACCAGGGAACGACAATCGCACGACCAACCACCATTAGCAATTCGCGAGCGCCGGTGAGATCGTCTACGGCGAAGAAGTTGCTCGTGTGCGCGCCCAGTAACGCTGCCGTTGATGAATTGGTTATGCGTTTCAAGGAAGGTGTTAAGACGGTCAACGGGCGCAGCGAGAAGCTTTCCGTGATTCGTCTAGGTAGGAGCGATGCCATCAATACCAATGTGCTCGACGTGACGTTGGACGAATTGGTCAACGCAAGGTTGGGCCAGAGCAACCGCAAAGACGCCGGGGAAAGGGATTTGCAGAAAATCTACATGGAGCACAAGGCTGCCGATACGTCGTTCAAGGAAGTACGCGCCAGAATGGACCAGTGTAGAGCACAAGGCTTGCCTGTTCCGGCTGAGTTGGAGCGGGAGTTTGACCTCCTCAAGAAAAAGAAGACGCAGTTGAGTCAGGAGATTGACAGCGCGAGAGACAAGAATCACTCTGCTGCGCGTGATGCGGACTTGACGCGGCGTCGCATTCAGCAGGATATTATCGACGGCGCTCATGTTATCTGTGCTACGCTCAGTGGTAGTGGCCATGAGATGTTCCAGAACCTGAGTATCGAATTCGAAACGGTCGTCATTGATGAAGCGGCGCAGTCGATCGAATTAAGCGCCCTAATTCCTCTCAAGTACGGTTGCTCCAAGTGTATCCTTGTCGGAGATCCCAAGCAGCTGCCACCTACTGTCCTGTCCAAGGTTGCTTCTCGGTTCCAGTACGAACAGAGTCTCTTCGTCAGAATGCAAGCCAATAATCCCCGGGACGTGCATTTGCTAGATACGCAGTATCGTATGCATCCGGAAATCAGCGCCTTCCCCAGCTCTGCGTTCTACGACGGGAAACTTCAGGATGGGCCTAATATGCGACCATTACGTGCCCGACCATGGCATCAAAGTGAATTGCTCACGCCATACCGGTTCTTTGATGTCCAGGGTCTTCACCAGAGTGCTGCAAAGGGCCACTCGCTGATCAACGTTGCGGAGCTTCAGGTGGCCATGCAATTGTACGAGCGCTTGGTGACAGATTTCCGGGCTTTCGACTTTGCCGGGAAGATCGGTATCATTACGCCGTATAAGGGTCAGTTGAGGGAGATGAAGACGCGGTTTGCTGCCAGATATGGAAATGAGATTTTCAATGCCGTCGATTTCAACACGACCGACGCTTTCCAGGGTCGAGAGAGCGAGGTTATTATCTTCTCTTGTGTGCGCGCTTCGAACAAGGGTATTGGTTTCTTGTCCGACATTCGACGTATGAACGTCGGTTTGACGCGTGCCAAATCGTCGCTTTGGGTCCTGGGTAACTCGCAATCTCTTCTCCAGGGCGAGTTCTGGAATAAGCTCATTACGAACGCTCGATCGAGAAATGTCTACACCAACGGCGATGTGTTGAAGCTCCTCGCGCGGCCGCAATTTACGGGCTACAAGAATGTCGAGATGGTCGATATTGACGCGCCAGAGCCACCGGTACTCTCGCGGCCTTCTTCAGCTGCATCCGTGTCACGACCGCCGTCTGTTTCCCTAGGAAATCTTCCCTCTGAATCCCCGTCGCATTCTGTCTCTGCATCTGGCAAGGGTACCCCACCGGCTCCGTTGCCAGAGGGCCCGTCAGGGGGTGCGAATGGACTGGACGAGAACCGGATGTGTGGCTACTGCGGTAGCTTCGAGCATATGACGTCCAACTGCGACAATATCGATGCCAAGGAAGCTTCTCGGGGCACGTGCTACCGATGCCAGGCCTCTGGACACCGACGGTACGATTGCACGGTGGAGCGCTGCACCGAATGCGGGAAATGCGGGCACATTGCCAGTGCATGTCCATCTCCGAACTCCCTGCCCAAGAAGGAGAAAACACGGATCTCACGAGAAGAGTATAATCATGCGCAGATCCAGAAGCAGAAATCGCAGCGCCAGCGACAAAAGCAGCTTGGCGGGCACGATCCCAAAGTCCCGGTTATCCAAACGGGGGATCCGTCGGAGAATAAGAAGTCCCAATCATCTTCAAATGGTGATCATAACGGCGGGGAGAAACGGAAGCGTCCTGGGTCGCCAACGTCGGATAACAAAGCTGCACGGCCACGGAAGTCGAAGGATGCTGCACCGCCGCCAAATGCGCCCAGGGGATCAAGGCATCGGCTTGATGCTAACGTTCCTACGAACACGGGGGTGGGTTTCTTGACGTTTTTTGATCGGTTTTTGTTCCAAAGTCATGCTAACTTGTACTCCGTACAGGACCTGGTCAAGCCATCGCGGGACGGGCCAGCGTACGGTCCAATTGAGCGGGCCCCTACTGGTCCAGCAAATGTATGTTTCTTTGCAGCTTTACTCTTTAGTCGCATTTACTGATTGATTCTATAGCTCCCTCCACGACCTCCACAAAGACCACCGGGCGTTAAGCCGCCGCCGCCTATTATGCGCAAAAAGAAAGAAGCGGACCCATTTATCCGACCGAAACGGAGATGACATGACTGCTTGAGTATAATTTTATTTCGTTCTTTGCTTTAATTCGCTGTACTCTGCACATTGCTCCCACTTGTGTCTGTTCTACATACGCTTTGATATCTCCTTTGTGCAAAAGCTGGGCTAGTGATTAGTTAGTCATGTTGGTTTATTTGAAGCGAGGAAAACGAGCATTGGGAGGCGTTCGGAAGTATCGTACTTGGGTATTTCTTCGAGGAAATGGACTCCTCGGGAGATATTGATCGCATCGGATTATTGTTAGATGAGCACTCAACCCAGAGTCAGAGAACGATACACCGTAAACATATCAGCACTGGCCATGAAGACATGGATTATGGATGTAAGGAAACAGATGATCAGTTCTATCTGAGACTCAACGCTCGGACGATACAAACCTTCTTTGTGCAGAAAACAAATTCGCACTGAGCATCCTTTGTGACATGTCCAAATCCAGCCGAGCACAGACAAACCGCTGCCTTTTGTGCATACGGCGTGGTTTTTCTTTGTGCATCTGTCACATTAGCTGTAGTTTCTCGCTAGCCTGTTTCCTTGTTCCTTGTTCCTTGTTGCCTTGCATCGTCGCAGTATGCGGGAGGGGTAGTTATACCGAGAACAGCGTGCCTTTATGAGGTCAACAGGGGGGTAACAAGACACTTCATACTTGTGCTTCCCTGCTGCACCTCTACAGGAGTAATTGTATTTTATTCTGGTCGTGGCATCATAATCCTACTATGTACTTGGCAAAATGATGTAGCCCTACTCCGTACTAAGAACCTCTACAAATACCCGATGCGGAGAAATCGATCTATCGACTCTCAGCTGCTAATTATCGTACTTTTCCTGACAGATGATCAACCGTTCCCTTTGTTTGTTGCCTTGTCCTTGTCCCGGTTCTTCCCTTTCCTCCCCTTGGACATGTCCCATGTGTATGACTCGGTGATTATTGCTTACTCTCTATTGCTTTGTATCTGTAGTTATGCTGTGTCTGTGCCTGGGCCCAGATTGCATTCCACGGCTATACACAGTTCGTTCCTACATACCGATCGAAGTCACTTTAATCTTATCATGTATACAAGTAGTCGAGATGATAGCTCAACAGCGCTACGAACCTTGACCAAATCGATGAATCTTTTTAATATGACACTTAGACTTTGGCGATCTGCCATGTTGTTTGTTCTCTCATCCGGGGAGATAAGAAGAAATCCATAGCGCCAATCTGTCGTACATGATCATATAAAAAATCGGACTATCGATTCTTTGCAGCTGGATCTGTCCTTTTTTCTTTTCTTTCTTTTTTTTTTTTTTTTCTTCGTTTGACTTTGTTAATCTGCTCTCCTGATTATTATCAAACGGCGTAAACAAGTCAGCTGGTAAGCAGGAGCAAGCACACACTATGGACTGTACTACATTGATTAACCCGAGTGTTTGCAGAATTCATCGAATATTTCCGACAATATTGCCTCGTGGCTTTTGTCTCTCTTTTTCCTTCATTGCCCTCTGACCGCTACGACGTTTGAGACGCAGTTTGAATACTGAACTCTTTTTTTTTCGCCTCTCGCCTTCCGCTGACCGACTCGATTTCGAGCCCTCCTTGCTCCTAGCTCCCGTCTCGATGCGGCATTGGAACGACTTGCACGAGAGCTTAGCTGCGCCCAGCCCGATTGTGCCTACCGGTCCGCCGTTGTCGTCGAAACATCACCACCAGAAACACTTCTATCACACAATGTCTTCCTCCAAACAACAGCTTCCGTTCTCTGCAAACAGCACGCAGCCCCTCCCACTTCCATACTCGGGTGATTCTGAAGACCACGGCCATCTTAAGACTGACCAGGACGTGGCGGACTCGGTTCGCTGTCTTCAGACTCAGACTGGTTCTGCTGCTTCTGCTTCTGCTTCTGCTTCTGCTTCTTCTCCACCTGATTCTCCTTCTTCGAGCTCGCCTCCACCTACCGCTACCGGTGCCCGCGAGATGTTCAAAGCTGGACACCGTCGTCTTCGACAATTGGCCCAGCGCCAGAAGAAAGACCCCTCCGACCCCGAGACTAAAGCCGAGGAGGACAGAGTGCAGCTCTCCGCCCTGCAGCGGGAGGGTCTCCTTCCTGCACCCGCTGCCAAGAAGTCACACTCCAAGAAGGGGAGTGTCGATTCCACACCATCAGACTCCAAGTCTGTTTCACATGCTAGCTGCAAGTCGAGTTCGCGGCGCGATGTCGAGCGCATCGGGCAGCCGTGGCTGGCTGATCCGCTTGAACGGTGCATGGCTGATCCGCTCATGTCGTCGGGTCGTGTTACGTCGCTGGATTTGAGTCACTTGAATTCGTCCACGGATAGTGCTGTGGCCCCGGAGTCGGGGTCGGGGGCGGAGGATAAGAAGGCGCTGCCGTTTCAGCCGTTGACTCTGCCGGACTTTATCGCTAGTGGGAGACTGGATTCTGCGCAGCAGGCATTTGATGGTTTACTCGAGCAGGCTGCTAAAGCGTCATTAGCGTCGAACGCCTCCCCTAACGATACGAACAAAGAGTCCAAACCCGCCAACCCATCCGAACCAAACACGACCCAAGAGCAAAAGAAACCTGAGAACACCGACTCGACCGCGAAACCCAAACCCGCCCCGAAAAACACCCTCAAGCTCTTCCCTGACCCCGTCCCGCCGCGACTATCGAATAAAACAGCTTTGCGGTTATCGAAAGTCCCACCGGCAAATGGCCCCCAGCGCGCACAAGAAAAACTGCCAACATTGAACGAGATTTCGAGATCAGCATTACCGTCTCCTACTGTACTGAGCGCAAAAGATCGCCCTCCGAAAGAACCCAGGTCGGCTCCGGCAGCCACCAGCCAGTTCACCGGCGTCGAGCGAGAGAAAGCACCAGAGAGCACGGAACAGCCCAAAGACAAACAGCCGCGTTACCCGGCTTTGCCTATGAATGCTATCAACGCGTTTCCTCTGCCCGCTCCCACGAGACCTCTGCCTTCGTTGCCCGAGGGTGCCGCAACTGACGCAAAGGCACCCAAGAAAAAGGGCCGTCCCATCCGAAATGTGCCCAGCCCTGTCCCTGATTCGAACCATTGTCCGACGGAGATTGCTCGCCAACCGCCAACCCAGCCTCCAAAATGCGCGACACCTGAGCCGGGTCAGGAGCGTAGTCGTGCGGGAGCCCCTGTACGCAGGGTGAAGGAAATGGCGCAGCATCTTGACGTGGCTGCTTCGGGGGAAGCTGAGAAGAGGTCGCGATCGTTGGACGTCGCTCGTCCAGAGGGACAGAAGGACCAGGCAAAGCAGAATGTCAGGCGCAGCATGGAGGTCACTCAGTGGGTTCATAGAGACGCTGTGCCAGGTCCTTTGCCCACTCCACCACCGGAGTCTATCGCACGTCCCAGTGGCAGGGCTGTACCTACGAGCCCGAAGCTGAAGCACAGCGAGCCAACTTTGGCGCGTGCGTTCTGCGAGAGTCAAATTCAGCGAAGCAACAGCTACCGGGAGCCGATTCGGAGCGAAAAGACGAGTGAGCAGCCCGACGACCTCCGCTCCGAATACCCCATCCCCTCTTCAGATGAAGAAGGCATCGCCCGCAGCCCTTGGCCAAGTCAAGCGCAGAAGAAGCGCCGACGAGCGAAGCAGCAAAAGCCGGTTGATCCCGCCCAGTCAACGCAGCAAGTTCCACAAATCGAGAAGCCCGCACAACGTGAGTCCACGTCGCCGCCGAACAACCGCAGCAGCCGCAGCTTTGGCAGGTCATCGCCCCTGTCGCAGTACTCCCAATGCACATATCACTCCCACGACTCGAGTGTCGTAAACATCCTTGAGGGACGCATTGCGCAGCTCCAGCGGCAGAATAAGGTCCTCCAAGCCGCTCTTCTGGCGGCCCTGGACGTCGATAACAAGGGTAGCACCGAGAGTCTCCTCAGCGGAACAGTCGCATCGTTGCTTTCTGCATCGTCAGTTTCGTCCAAGACGACGCCGGCTTCGAGCTATGACGAGCGCACAGAGAAGTCGAAGCGGAGGGAGACTTGGCTGGATACCGGTAGCAGACGCAGCAGCGTTAGTTCTGCTGCGGATGATATAGACTTTGGGTGGTTGTCGGATAAGTCGAGTGTTGGCGATTCACTCAGAGTGCCATCATAGTGGCTTTGACATTCTTTATTTTTCCTTCTTCTCTTTCATCTGTATATCTATGGTGGGTTTCATATGTATATTTAATCGCGTTCATTGTCTGTTAGCGTTGAGTTCTGTCGTTTTGTCACTCATTGTCCATGATACCAATTCTGTTAGTTGTGCAATACCATCTGAATTCCTTCTTATCAAGAAGTGAAAAGTCCACGTTGTCTAGAAAGTAAAGTTGACCTTGCGTCGTTGTCTCGTTCTATCTGCTTAGTCATCACTCAGAGGTGAATTGGGCCGCCGCTCCAAAACAACAGCGATTCAGTCCATTGCGAAGATACCTTCTATTCATTTTGCAGACCAGGCGGCCTGGAGCTGCTTGAAGAGCTGAACACCGAATTTAGCGAGGTTTTTTAATTGACGCTTACCCCTTATCCTGCCCTGCCAGCGTGTTCGACCGGAGTTTACCTCCCCGCCAGAATGGCACAACAAACAGTGGTAACTCGCTCTACAGATGTCTACAGAAATAAGAAGTTAATGTGGATGGAAACAGATCCCCCAACATGTAACCGCCCTCCTCACCCACCTTACCTCGCGCCCCGGCGTCCAATCGACCTTTATCCTCTCCCGCAAAGACGGTTCGATCATCCAGAGTACGGGATTATTAGCTGCGGATTTGGAAAGGAGGAATAGTCAGAATACGGCGTCGCGTCAGCAGGCACCATCGCCGTTGGATGAGACCGCGCCTACATCTACTTCTACTCCGGCGTCGCCCTCCGTCGAGCAGCAGCAGCAGCAGCAGCAGCAGCAATCGGAAGAACAAGAACAACCGGAGGGGCAGTCTCAGGAGGGACAAGAGCAACAAGAAGGACAGGAAAAAGGAGAAGGACAACAAGAAGAGCAGCAAGAACAGGAGCAAGAACAAGAGCAAAAACAACCATACAAACCAACTCACGCCGAAGCACTGGCAGCGCACATTTTCGCCTTTGTGTCCAGCGCATCAGACCTGAGCCTGTCGCTTTCTCATCCGCCGGACGATAATGACTCGAAACCGAGCAGTAACGGATTGAATCTCGAAACCCTGACTAACGGAATTACCTCGCCCCGCGAAGAAGGCGACGAAGGACAGGAGAAGGAGGAAGATGATGAGGTTAAGCTGCTCCGGCTGCGCACGAAGAAGCATGAGATTGTGGTCGTGCCGGATAGAAAGTATTTGCTCTGTGTGGTGCATGATGCGGCGCATATGGCTGGGGGGAGAGCTAGATGATTTCTTACGGTAGTTTCTTAGGGATGGATGGTGAATATACCCGGTGGTGCATTTCTTATTGTAAATACTTGGCAATGTTATATATCTAATGTTATTCCTGGTGAGGTTCGTGCGTTACCCCTCATGGTCCGCGGTATAAGCATTTTGCATGTTGCTGGTACTTCAACTTGTATATCCCTCAAACCAGACACATACCCTGGTATAACCAAGCAAATATACATTCATCAGCAGTGGCTTTGCTGAGGAGCATTGTTGGACACACCAGTAGTTTTCTTGACCGTTCAGTTGGTCTCACGAGTGCCTACACATGCGTTCAAACTAGTCAACGATGTCCATTCCAACTACAGAGTGTGTCGTGATTCGATGATACGAGGTGACTGCCTATGCCATCCCAGAGACCAACATACAGATACGAGTACATCTGGCCATGCTGACGATATGTAACCACGTTTAGATCTGTATCGGTCAACGAGACAACCATTCACAACCTCTACAGATTGATGAACTAGTGATGAACTGATCCATTCTCAATCAGACCACGAAGCCAATACTCTGCGTGGGAGATCACACGATGTCTGAACTTGACGGTCAACCGGTGACAGCTGACCCGGCAAACCTCGTCTGCGAGGGACTGTCGAACACGAGGGCGATGGCTTGGTTCCATGCGTCGAACCATCGTGGAAGACAGAGATGAGGTGGTCACCTTCGATGGAATATGGCATTGCGCTCTAACCGCATCAACCGATTGTCAGATTTTACAATACTCGCCTACCTGAGCGCTGAGCGGTCTACAACCTGAGTTGTATCAACAAAGTGTACGTCGGGATGACCATGGCAAACGACAGACACGTTGGACCTTAGCGCACGCTTAAGCTCAAACTGGCAGCAACCAATGACGAACTGACGCAGAGCATTTCAATGTCAGGGCAACGTGGTGGAGAATCGGTGCCTACGAACAACAGGAACGGCTGCAGGGTATTCCAAATGGGCATGACCGCATCCGGGAGGGCGTCACCGCTGGCGGGTTGGATTGGGTATCGGCGGTGGTTGGGTTGTGACGGTGGTTAGGGTAGATATATCGATAGGTATTCCCGCCCGATGAGCATGACTCTGATAGTCGGAGGAAGACTCCGAGATAGAATAGTTAGTACTTCTGACAGCTATGGATAATACAGTAGTACGCCAGCTGCAACGAACTGGAATAGATTAGCTCGCATTGCTTTGCATCGACTCTACCTTGTCCTTCGTGTTCTGTACATGACGCCATTTCTAAGATTAGTGCGTTGAGTGGCTGCGTCTGGTGGAGGACACTATCCCAAACAGAGAAGGAGAGTGTCACGGCGCTGCATTAGGCAGACCATGATTGGTTCGGGGTACTGTACGCTTTGAGTGGTAGCGGAGGCTACATGTACATATCTGGAGGAGAGTAGAGAGAGAGAGAGAGAGAGAGAGTACATACTTTGTAGTAGTATTCTATAGAGAAGAGAAGAATATGTATTATTTAGATAGTACAGAGTACGGAGTAGTACTCCGTAGAGAAGAATACTCTGTAGAGGGGGGACAGATGCATGCAAGTCAGGCCACGGTGGATACGAGTGAGTCAAGGTGGCCGGCAGGAATTTGTCAATATTCAGACAAAGTACCACTGCATCGAGAGTAAGATAGAGAGAGAGCGAAGTAACCATGAATAATAGTGATGGTGTACAGTAATAATGTAATAATTATACAGCGGGACTTATTGGTGGTGTAGAAACTCGGAAATCCTCCACGCTTCCGTCTGCAGACTCTCTCCGATCGGTCTTTTCCTGCCTCTGCCCTCTTCCCTCCTATCCTTTTCGTTTCCTTTTCTCTTCTCTAGCAAAGACACGGGGGTTTCCTTGTCTTCTTTCTTTTCTTTTCAGTCTATTTGTATCTGTTTATCTTATCTGTTTATCCCCATTTTATTCTATCTGGTTAGTTAATATCGTGTCTTGTTCGTCTGATTCGCCTCTTGCCACTCCCCGACTTGCCACAGGAACAGTGAGTCTTCAATTTTATTCTATTGCCATCTGTGATCCCTTCTTCTGTCAAGAGTTGTTCCACGGCTTTCGTGACTATTGCTCTACTGGATCGCCTCTCCCCTGTTAGTCACCTGTACTGCCCTCCCCAGGCAGCGGTTGGCTCGAGTCCGCTGGGAGTCATACCTTCCTACCCTTTTTATATCTTACTCTGTACTCATCTTTCCTTTTCACTCTTTCTATACTATCACCCTCATGGCCACCGCTGACTTTATGCGCACCGCAGCCTAGTTCAGTTCCCTCTCTTCTGCCTTCCCTATCCTCCGCCCCCATCCAAACGTCTCTCCCTGGTCTAGCATAGCATCGCAGTTCTCTCTGCCTGCCTGCTTCGCCAGTCTGGCCCCTATATAACTACCTCCGACCCTTCGCCTTTTCTCGAAAGTCCCAAAATGTACATTGTTGATTCCTACCCTATCGTTCCGATCATCCGTTCTGCAGAATCCTTGGCCTCAGATCTCCGAAAGACCTCCGTCGACAACAAGCTCGTCTAAATCTCTCTGCTGCTTCTGCTGCTTCACATCTGCTTGGTCTTGACTCCGTTCGTGATCTACTCGGGTTTCTCTACGGTCATCGGAACCGTGGACGGTGAATAATCATCTTCTTGTGATTCACCACCGGTCACTGTGTATCGTGCTTACTTGCGTTGCTTTGCTTTCCTTTGCTGCTTTAGTCTTTCTACTTGTGCTTCTATTACCCTTCTGCTACCTCTTGACCGCTCATAATCTAATCCAACACGTCTCTCTTCGTCACCGACACCCTGGCGAAGTTGCTCCTCTAAAGGCTGGCCGTCGCCTACCAATCATAACAAGACGGCATCGGTCTCTTCGGCTTCTCGTTTACGGTTTTTTGCCCATCGGTTTATTTGACTACACGGTTTAATCCTTATCGTCCTGCCTTCTTGCTATATCCAACAGTTTTGATAGCGTCGGGCGCAAGGCGTTCTCGCTGGGTGATCATTCTTTGATTGAATCGAGAATACTTCTTTCTACGTTACACGACAGAAAATCTCTTCCTGGATATGACAAGGATGGACGTCTTGGGTTTGAGTTCTTCAAACCCGGCTTATTCTTACAAAGCTTCTTATGCGCCTCCCTACGCATCTTCCGTCTCTTCCGCTTCCTCCTCTTCCTCCTCCGTCTTCTCCCTAGATGGCAACTCGGCCCAGAGTTCCATCTCCTCGACCTCTACAAACCCCGTTGATGTGGCTTGGGAACATGAGGGCGAACAATCTCTGCCTGCAAGAGGCTCGCTGCCGAGTCTGCGTGGACCGGTCCCTCCCAAACCTGATGCTGCCGTGCCCCCGGAGTTGCGCAAACATCCCCGGCGTACCAGTACATATGTGGCCCAGTCCAACGGCGTTCCCTGCGCGCGGCCCCCACCCTGTCTGATGCGACAGTCGGAGCGCAAAGTGAACTTTGTCGACAACCTCGTCGGTGAGTGACGATTATCGGTAAACCTTTCCCTAGACTAGTCAACTAAATCATGCCACCAGACACCGCATCGCAGATCGTCGAGATCATCTGGCCCTTGTCCGCAGTATCACTTCGTAGTGACTCATCGACCGGTTGCAAGGGCGTTTTGCCTCTTCGCACCTTTATCCAAGAGACTCTGCGTCGGTCTCGGACTAGCTACAGCACGCTGCAAGTGGCGCTCTACTATTTGATCAAGATCAAGCCGCATGTGCCCAGCCAGACAGAACAGTCGCGCGACAAGCCTGTCTGCCGGGCCATGCAGTGCGGTCGTCGCATGTTCCTTGCGGCCTTGATTCTCGCTTCCAAGTACCTGCAGGATCGCAACTATTCGGCCCGTGCTTGGAGCAAGATCTCAGGTCTTAACACGCTGGAGATCAACCAGAACGAGCTGATGTTCCTCGAAGCGGTTGGCTGGAGACTCCACATCTCCGAAGCAACCTTCCAGCGCTGGACGGACGTCGTTCTGAAGTACACCCCCGGAGCCGGAGCTGCTCTTGGGGACGGTCACTGCTGGCGAACCGTCATTCCCCGGCTCACCCCCGAGTTGGACGTGATTGAGTTTGAGCCGATCACCCCGCCATCCAGCGGGGAGTCGTCTGTCGCCAGCTCACCGTCTCCGCGCAGCGTGCCCGCTGCCTACGAGCCGGCTGCTAACACCAGTCTGCCGTCTATTCACGAGCAGGTCCCATCTTTGCGACGCAATGCTCCCATGCCGTTGGAACCGATGCCGCGGATGGAGTATCCTCCTTCCATTCACCGGCCTCAGATGCTCCCGACGCCGCAGATGACGCCTCAGTCGAGCCTAGCATCCACTCCTGCTGCGAGTGCCACCTCGTTTGGTCCCCGCCGGCCATCCATCTATGCCGCCGTCTCGCAGGCTCAGAACATGGGTATGGCGCGGTCAACTATTGACCAGCGCCCCCCTCTGAGCTTCTGCAAGGCGAACTCATTTGATGGATACCCGGCGGTGGTCCGTCGATCATCCCTGACCCGCTCGACTTCATCTGCGTCGTCTCCGGAGTCGATGGTGTCGGACGCTTCTACGCTGTCGTCTGCCCGCTCGTCCCGGTCTTCGTCGGTCTCTTCCAACACATCGGGCCCTGCTGCTCCGTCTTCTCAGCAGACGCGTTTGGCGGTCAAGGCGACTCTCAACCACTCCATGCGGGAGAGTCGCAAGCAGATGGTGACCGTCGTCTCCCCTATTGATGAATCTGGTGGGATCTACAGCTCTCCTGAAGGGTATGCTACATCTGTCGGCCAAGTCCCAGACTTTTCTCATTTTTCTCTGGGTACCCCGGTCGATCAAGAGGCTGCCCGGAGTTTGTGTGAGCTGTCTGGTGCTGTTCCTCGACCGCAACCTCCAACGGCCGGCAGGAAGCGTGGCCGCACGGGGTCGGAAGACCAGCTTCTGCAGAATCAGGTCCGACACCTGATCAACCTGGACAATGGTGACGGTAGCTGGCCGGAGGGTACTTCAGCCCGGTCATTTGTGATTCCCGAGTCGAACCAGCAGCTCAGTTCGCTCCAGATGAGTGCACTTTCTGGCCCCGCAGGCATGAAGCGTGCGTGTTGCGGCAGTGAAGCACAGAAGATTGCTTTGAATCCGAGTGTACGCACGTACTACTTGGACTAACACGGAGTCTTTACTGAAATGTTTTTCTTTCCTTTCCGTTGGTGGATTCTGTGTAGAAAGGAAAAAAGTTTCGCTTGTTTACAGTCTTACACTCCTTTGCTCCTCGTCGACCGAGAGAGTTGCCCGGCATGTCTATGTCTTGGGCCGTCGACCAAAAGTCGATTGGGGGATGACCTCCCCCCCCCGCCCCTTTGTGCTGTGATTTCTTCTTTGTTGCATGTGTATATACCCTACTGTTGAAAATGGAAGTGGATCTAGCGTTGTGACCCGGATCCCTTCGTGTATCATGTACGCCAGGGTGGTGTTCTGTCGTCCTGCGCATTCGCGGTCTATCCTGTTTATTTTCTTTGTATTGCTTTCGGATTTGTTGCGAAACGGAGTGAGGCTGGAACGGATGGCTTGGTGTTTTTTTAATCTTTGTCCAATAAGTGATTTCTGATTTTCAATTTCTATCCATGTCTTACTGGCAACTGATATGCCTTAAGGAACATTCTACCCTACTGAGCACAAGTACCCGGACGACCACCGACGGTCTTTAGCCGTAGCCAATAGCCGTAGTGTAGCTCTGGCCTCTCGCCCAAGGGTCAGTGTCCTGTTTGTGGGAAGTCTGTGAGTCACACCGCAGCGCAAATCTGAGATTTTCTGCTGGTCAGACGACATTGCCACAATATCCCCGGTGAGTCAGTTATGCAGGGTGCATGCCTGAGGTGTTCGTATTCGGGAGATACCGGGATCCGGTGGAGCGGACCGGGGTTGCCAGAGTCACCGGAACAACCTTAAAGCGGGCACATGACGTGACCCTCGGCTCAGCTATTTCCGGCCTAGTGTCATCTGATAAGATCTCCGCCTCCTCACTGTGTCTTAGCTATATAGAGTCTTGTTCATCAATCCACTCGATAACTACTCTTATCTTCTGAATACTTGACAGAAATGAAATCCTCTCTGTTGCTGCTCTGCAGCCAAATTTCGGCTGCCTTTGCTACTCCCTTAGTGCTCCCTGACAATGCGCTCGTGGAACAGGCGTTTTTGAGTGATGATGCTCAGGGAACGTCTGCTCCTGCGACCAACCCCCACCAGGATGCCATTTACATCGACCAGAGCTCCTCTGGCAGTGAGGTTGAGCCAATGACCCGCCCGTCCTGGTTTACTTCTGTCCTCATGGCCCGTCGTCTCCTGGCCCTCTCAACCAGCGGTGTCGCCTCAACGGTCTTCCCCAGCTCCTTACCTCCCGGTCACACCCCACCCTCCGTCGCAGGCCACTCGATCGGTCTACGCGAATACTTTGCCGACTGCAATGAAGCTCTGCCATCCTCCTACAAATATGCCAACAACGGAGACGGCAACCCGACTCTCCTCGCTCTCAAGGTCGCAACAACCTTCCGCAACACCGCTGCTGGATCGAACATCTCCCTCTCCCTCGACTGGTGGGACCACATCAACGACACCGAACCGATCTACCCCGATTTCCCGCTGAGTCCCGCCGGACTCCCCCGCGTCACGCTATTCGGATACATCGAGCCATTCCCCGAGCCGATCCCCGAGGATGTTGAAAGTGCATTGGAGAAGTGCTACTTGCGCGCGCATCCCGATGCGGAGGTGTGGTTGCCGCATAAACGGGGCTCGCCGCACGCGAGTTTCTGGGCGAGATTGGTGGTTACGGATGTCTACTGGATTGGGGGGTTTGGGGATGTGCAGCAGATTGGGTGGATGGATGTGAATGAGTGGGCGGGTGTGAGGAGGAAGGGAAGTGAGGAGGGTGCTGGAGATGGTAGGGGTTGGGAGGATGTGAGATTGCCGGGGGAGAGGCAGTAATTTGTACATGAAAGGTACAAAGTACGAGGACTTATGAGACATGAATGCATTATCTTATCGCTGTGGTCTAACTTCTCGTGACTCTCAGTGGTTGTTGTTTATCTAATATCTAATATGTTCAAGTGGCTTATCTTCAGCTGAACTCGGGGATTTATAGAGTTGGGTCGATGCTACGTTGTCGTAAATCCTCCTTGCATCATGACTACTTTCTTTCACTCATGAATTCAAGTGATCCTATATATATATATATATATACATTCACAATGAAGATAAAACGCCCTCGATTGCAAGTAGCCCGCCCCGAATCCACCTTTGCAGCAGGAAACGCACGATGGACGAACCTCGACCTAGACCCAGTCCCAAAACACCAACGCAACTGGGGTAGCATAAGCTTCATTGGTACTCCCCATACATCCAGGCATTCCAATCGATCATCCTAACAGAAGAAACAGCATACTGGATCTCCGACGCCTTCAACGTCAGCACCTGGCAATTCGCCAGCAGCATCCTCGCCGTAGGCCTCAACTACAAAGACGCCCTCATCATCGTCGCAATCGCCTTCTTCATCATCTCCATCGTCATCGCTGCTAACGGCGCCGTCGGCGCTATCTATCACGTGCCGTTTCCCGTGATCGCGCGCGCGAGCTGGGGGTTCTACGGGTCGTATATTGCTATTCTTTCGAGACTGGTGTTGGCGGTGGTTTGGTTCGCGATTCATAATGTGAATGGTGGGAATGCGGTGAGGGTTATGATTGGGGCTATTTGGCCTAGTTTTCTGGGGATTGGGAATGGGATTCCTGCCGGGCAGGGCATTACCACGCAGGGTATGGTGGGTTATATGATATATTGGATCGTGCAATTACCGTTGCTGTGTGTGCGGCCGGAGAAGGTACGGTGGTTGTTTGTGGTGAAGTCAGTGCTTGTGCCGATTGCATGGGTTGCTATACTTATCTGGGCGTTTGTCGCTGAAGGGGGTGGGAGTATGTTCCAGGAGACGTCAAGTTCGACTACAATCTCGGGATCGACGTATAGTTGGTTGTTCCTGGCGAATATGACCTCGATTCTGGGGAACTATGCAACGACCAGTGTCAATCAGTCGGATTTCTCGCGGTACTCGCGGGTGTCGGCGAAGTGGCAGTTGTTGTATGTGCCTATGTTGCCGATTGTGTTTACGTTTATCTCGTTCATTGGCATTGCCGCGTCGTCTGCTGGTCAGGCGCGGTATTATGGTGGCACTGGTGAGATCCCCTGGGATCCGACAGTGCTCATTAGCAACTGGTCCAGCCGGGCTTGTCGATTTTTTGCAGCTGCGAGTTTCGTCCTCGCTTCGTTGGGTGTGAATATCTCGGCAAACTCCATCTCAGCAGCAAATGACCTCGCCGCGCTGGCACCACGATACTTCAATATTCGTCGGGGTCAATTACTCTGCGCGTTGTTGTCATGGTGTCTCGTGCCGTGGAAGATCCTCGCGTCCGCGGAGAGTTTCCTCAACTTCATGTCTGCATACGCTATCTTCCTCGCGCCGGTAGCGGCCATCATGTTATGCGATTACTGGGTCGTCAAGCATCGGAAGTACGATACGCTCGCGCTGTATCAGCCGTTTAACCAAACGTATCGGTATTCGTTCGCACGTGTGATAGCTGGGAAAGAGGTTAGTGTTTGGGGGGTTAACTGGAGAGCCATTGTTGCGTTTTTGGCGGGTGTGGTGCCGAGTTTACCGGGGTTGATTCATTCTGTTAATAGCTCTGTTGAGGTTGGGGTGGGGATGAGGCCGTATCAGTTTGGGTGGTTTCTGGGCTTTGTTGGCGCGAGTGGTGTGTATGTGGGATTGTCGTGGTGGTTTCCGGCGAGGGAGACGGTTGTGCAGAGGGCTGTTCTTGCAGACGAAATATACGAGAATAGGGTTCTAACGGGGCTGGGCATTGAGGAGCTTGAAAGGGACGAGTATAAAGGGTTTAAAGTATAACAGTCTGGGTATTATGTCCATAAATGTACAATCAAACACTGGCAACAGCCTCTTTTAGCACTTTGCTTGCACCCGACGACGCGCGACCAACCTCACCACCTTCTTGCCGCGCATTTTCCAGTCCCCGCTGCACAGCGGGCATAAACCGATTCGCAAACACGCGGTACCGGTCCTCCCGCGTCTCATACATTTCCCCTTCTTCATCGCGCGGCTGTCCGAACAAATTCAGATATGCATACGGCACCGACGCACCGGGGATCATATGCTGCTCCGTCTGACACAGCGGAAAGCCCCATGCCTCACCAACCTCATCCTCGGATGAATTAGATCGCACATCAATACCCTCGTCAGCATCACACAACCCCGCATCCAGAAACCCCCCAAACGCTCCTAACACCTTAATCATAGCCTTCCCCTGACTCCCCGCCTTCCCAAACGACGCGCGGTTCGCAGACCACTTTGCCGACTCCTCCGTGTGCCAACCGAGCACAGACAAGAAGCAATTCAACGTCTTAATCCACCCCCCGGCGCAGGATACCACCTCACCTCCCGCAACCTCGACAAGCCACGCTAACACCTCAACAGCAGACACCCGGACGTCAACTGCTAAATGCGTCATCCCCGCACGAATATACGGCATCATCTGCGAGACATGGTCCTCGATATCCCTCGCCGGCAAGGCGCGGAGGAGCTTGAGCAGCTGCGTGCGCACGCTGTTGCTTGCATCCAAGACCAAGGGGAGTAAGTTGGGGAGAATCACGCTTACTGGTTGTGGGAGGGGAGAGTCCACGGGCCGCGAGGTGATGGCGGTGGTTAGGTGCGAGAGGGATTCGCGGCGTTGGGTGTCGGATTTGGAGGTTAGTAGGGAGAGGTGGTGAGTGAATTGGGTGTTGCTGGAGGGGGCGGAGAGGCGGAGGGATTGTTGGTTTAGGGTGATTGCTGGCCCTTGTTTTAACAGTCATTCATTATACTGGTGTGTGTAGGCTTACATTTTGACTGAAAACTGGTGTCTGTAAAGTTGTCTGGCTTGGGCCTTGCCTTGCCGACTTTGAGTTTGGGTTTCTGCGCATGTTAGTATCTGTTTAATCTTTATGATTGAGAGACGTACTTGGAAGTCCTTTTGCTTATCCTTTCTCTTTTTACTGCTGGATCCCATTTTTGCGTTGCTTGTTGGTCGTTCGTTGGCTGCGTCTACTTGGTTGTAGAGAGGAATTTTATACTCACGTGACTCACGTGACGCGCTTTCCTGATTGGGATGAGACTAGTATAGACAAGAGACTACAATTCAGGAGACGACATCTCAGAACCAGCATACACATTACTGGATATTCTTACTATTATTACTTATTGTTAGATATCAACACTGGGTTAAGCTTAATGACAGCCCAATGATATTGCATTTCCAGACCACGATCCGAGTCGACCAGACCTATTGAAAAGGACTCTCCTCTCCTCTACGGCATTGACTCGTACAATTACCAGCAACGCTGGACAGAATGGTCTTCGACGCCTTCCTATCATTCCGAGTCCCTGCTGGACCCCCCAAGGACCAGGGACAACCAGATCAACCACAAAAACAACACCCAAACCCAACCCCAAAGCAAAGAACAAAACCAACCCTACTAAACATAACAGAACTCCCCCCCTGATACGACCCAAACCCCTACATCTACACCTCCTACCGTTCCCTCACCAACTCCTGGCCACGCTCGCTACACAGCTGGACATACCTCCACAACGAAACAACAAACATCTTCTCGCACCTGATTCCCGCCGTCATACTCTTGTTCAGTCATGGATGGTTATACGAGTATCTCCATGCCAGACACGCACATCTCACGCATTTCGATTGGACCGTTATCTCGACGCAGTTACTCTCCGGAGTTATTTGCCTGCTTGTCTCGGCGGTGTATCACACGGGACTTAATCATTCAGAGGGTGTGGCGGGTAACTGGTTGAGGTGTGATTATGCGGGGATTATGGAGTGTATGGTGGGGTGTTTTGGGAGTGGGTTGCATTTTGGGTTTTATTGTTGCCCTGGGGTTAAGTGGTTTTATTGGGGGGTGGTATGCATGCCTCCTATACCCTGGATATGAGTGTGCGTGTGTGTGTGTGTGTGTGCGTGAGAGTGACTAACTGGGTAGATTGGCGTGTTATCCTCGATGAACGCTGTGTTTCTGTTGAATCCGAGGTTCAGTGGCCCGAAATGGCGTCGCGTGAGGTTGGGTAGTTTCATTGGCACAGGGTTATCTGCTTTTGTGCCGATAGCTCATGCATGGGTTCTCTGGGGACCAGTGTATCTCTGGAACGTGGGAGTACCTTATTACCTTCTCGAGGGATTGTTGTTGCTCATAGGCTGTTGGTTTTGGGAGGTACGTCTTTACTACCTACCCTCAGCATCTAATACTCACGGTGTTGACTATAGAGAAGATACCCCGAATCCAAATACCCCGGCAAATTCGACATCTGGGGCCACTCGCACACAACATGGCACGTCTTCGTTACACTCGCGATCCTAGCACATATCGCCGGTCTACTGAGTGCGATGGATTATATCTATTCCCAAGGATGCTTTATTCCTACCTAGCACTAATTAACTAGATCCTGGCAGACACATCAAGTTAGTTGTCCACAACCAACTCAACCCTAAAGAAGGGGAGAACAAACCACGCGACCCACCCCCCAGCGCCTTCGCAACCATCTCCTGCGCAGACTGCAACATGCCCTTATCCTCCTGTTTCTGCGCCTGCACGTCGCTCCAGCCCTCGCCGACATCCACGCCGCTGCCTTCGCCGTGAGCACGGCTGGTAGAGGGTGTATCGGACATACGGCGGGTGGTTGGCGTTGTATCGCCTGTTTTGTCAGCATTTCTTTCCGTATTGAATGCTGGAAGGAAGGAAAGGTACCCGGCTGCAAAGGCGCGGCGATACGCTCCGCGACGCTGCTGGCGGATTGGCGTGCTTTGGAGGCCATGCTTTCGGGCTGCATGGTTGGGGTTATGGGATCAGATGCCTCTGCACGGAGGAGTGAGTATCATTTTTGTCTTGTTAAGAGGGATAGGGATGAGTGGCGGTGGTTACCCTCCGGAGATTGATTGTCGCCCTGTACATATTAGTCGTGGCTCTATTGAGAGCGAGTGACTTACCATCATTCCAGGCATGGTGTTGTGGTATCGTTTATTGTGGTAAAGTCCTAGATATTGTCAGGTTTATTGTTACTCGAGGAAAGAATAAGTAGAGACACTACGGAACCCTACTCCGGTTAGGTCATTCTCCCGTCAACCAGCGTAACTACGGATCAAAAGTAAGTAACTGATTAATGCATTCATAGAACATCAAAGAAAACCCGAATAAATCAAATAGAAATGCGCACTTCTGCCCGGCCGTTGCCTTAACATGACACGTAAACACATAAACACATAAAAATCAAAGCGAAAAAAACAGAAACAAGGCTAGCCGGACAGACGCGATTGTATCAATCAAAGCACAGAAACACAAAAAAAAAAAAAAAAAAAAAAAAAAAAGAAAAAAAAAAAAAAAAAAAAAACAGAACCACACAACCACACAAGCTCAAACGCAAAACACCTAGCAACCGTTCTAACAGCCTGACCGTATATCATTAACCACCAGACATGGACACATCCTGGATCAGGTGGCGGCCGACTGATCGCTATCCCATAAACTATAGCATTTTAATAATAGGAAACCTGACCAGTTTTAATCCATATCGTAGCAGCGCAGTTGTGCACCCAACACCGTGCTCAAATTGTCAAAAGTCCGTCCCAGAATCGGCATAGGTCGTGTCTATCGTGATTGGTATGAAGAATGAAAGGAAATGGAGAAAAACGAATAAGGAAAGAGATGCAGCATCTCTGCTTACAAACTCATGGTCAACCACTCCCATTCTTGACTTGCTCCCTGTCCACCAGCAATGCTATGGTTTGCCGGGTTGGCCGCTGCAGGTGGCATGGCAGGGGCCAATGGTATCACCTTGGACCGATTCGCGGCGGTGGACTTGTCTTCTGTGGCCTCCACGTCAGTGGCCTTTTCCAGCCGTCGTTGACGCTTCGGTGCCACTTGCACGGCGCTTCGTGCTTGTCCAATTCCTGATCCAGAGGTCGAGGTCGAGGTCGAGGTCGAGGCCGAGGCTGCCTTTGGTGGTGCAGCCGCAATGGGCACGACGCCGGATTTGGCCATCGCATTGGTACTCCGACTTGCCGGGGTGTTGTTTCCCTGGATGGCCGGGGGAGACTCCGAAATAGTCGTCGTGGCTGTCTGCGGACGACTCGCGGTGGCTGCTGCCATAGACGCCTGCTGCACCGAATTCTTGCGCGAAGACTTCTTCGAACGCGAGGTGCCCACCGCCAGAGTGTTGGCACTGCTGCGGTTGCGCTTCTTGATAACGTCAGTCTTGAGCGACAACGGCCGGACCACACCGTGCAGCTTCAGGAACAAGCCACAGGCATTGCAGAGAGGCTGACCCTCCGGGTTACGCCGCCACAAAGGAGTCGTCTGGGTAAAGCAGTTGGTACACGTCGTAGGGCCAGTGCTGCCCTGTTCGCCATTCTTGGGGCTGGCCGGTCGCGATGGGGCAGCACTGTTGAGACCCGACTCGGGCGGCGTGTTGGGAGAGGGCTGCTGCGTATTGTTGTTCTGCATACTCTGGCGCAGCAGCTGAGTAGCGTTGGGAGTGGATGCCGTGCGGGCAATCTTCTGACGTCGGGGATCCTGTTCACGGTTCCGCACCTCACTGACCGACGCCGCAGATCCATGTGTGCGATTCAGACTGTTCCAGTCATTCGAGTCCATCATGTCGGGCGATCCGATCGTGATGTGCCTGCGGTGCTGACCAAATCCGGGCATCGAATGGAAGGAGTCCGGGATCTGCGCCTCCCAGTTCATGGCGGAATCTCCGTCGTCATCTTCATCTTGCTCGTCCATCGAGTCAGCCGGCATGGCCAACCCGCCGTGCTCGGAGAAAGCGTGTGCATCGTCCTCATTGTCCGATTCCCCGCCAAAGGGGAACATTCCCGAGTTGGAGTTGTTGGTGTTGGGGTAGTCCGTTGTCCCCAGCACGTGCGAAGGGTTGATATGTTGCTGGGTCCGGAAGCCAGACGACAATCCACCAACCTGTCCCATGCTATGTTGTTGTTGTTGTTGTTGTTGTTGTTGTTGCTGTTGCTGCTGGCGGGAATCGCGGTTCCCATTGTACATATACCGGGGATGCAGCGAGGCGGACAGGTTCGACGATCGCTGGGCGAGGTAATTGGGAACACGACGCTGCGTGCGGGAATCGGCCGTGGGCAAGTCGAAATACATCGACTGCTCGTTTTCATACAAGGCCTGCGGAGTGGACACAGTCGACTGATACCCGGACGGGGGTGGAGAGAAGAGTTCGGTGGAGTTGAGCGAGGAGGCCAAGGGCGTGTGAGCGTAGAGGTTGGCGAACGGGTTACCCGACGTCATCGGAGAGTCGTGGGGGGAGAAGGTGAAATGAGACTGGTATGGACCGGCAGAGTTCAAGATCGGATCATCCAAGCCAAAAGTATCCAGGCCAAACGGGAGAGACGCATGGGGATTGTTGTTGTGGTTATGGTTGTTTCTGTTGTTATGGTGACGGTTACCATTGTTGGGATGGTGAAGGCCAAATGCCGACGACGACGCATCCAAGGAATAATCGGGAACACCGGACGACAGATCGGGATCGTGGGCCAGCATGCTGTTCGAAATGGGCGGTACCAATGGCGACGATTCAGCCGGTCGCTTGCGAGTAGGAACCTGGAAACTGGCCAAGAACTGACGGTCGTCAATGCTAGTCTTCCGCACCCGACGTTGGACATAGCCAAATTCATTATTCCTGCGCTGTTCTTGGGGCGGATGGGGAAACGAGGCGGGGACGGGCTCCTCGGAGTCGGGATGACTGCGATGCTTGATAGGGATGGCTGATGCGTGGGACTTGTCACCCTCGGGGGGTGATAACGAGGGTTCCACAGGGGACTCGAAGGGGACGATGAAATCATCGAGATTCATGGGATCGGAGGTGTCCTCGGTGGGGGCGGTGGTGGTGGTCGTGGCCGAAGTGCTGGGAGCGGTGTAGGTTCGGTTGGAATGGCGCAGTTGGGCGATGCCACTACCGGTACTAGATTAGTTAGAACGTTGTACAGAGTAGATCTGGAAAGAGAACATACGATTGGCGTTGTTCACGCTCCTTGCGTTTGAGATTCATGGTCATCATCCGCCAAGTGAGATTCTCCATGCGCTCCTGGTTGGGCAGCTGGGCCTTTGTTCTCGAATATAACCTCCAAATCTGAGTGGCTAGGGGGTCCTTCTTCTGCATCTCGTCGGGGCCCTCCGGATCAGGTCGTATGGTGCCACTCCCCCATTCAGGAAAGAGGGAGTCTTTGAGTAAATCCCCATGGTGGGAAGAGTCTCGGGGACTGAAGGGAGGAAGGCCATAAGGGAAATCATCGTAGAAGTTGGTGGAGGAAGTCGAGAAACGGTCAACGTCCGAGGTATCTAAGCCAGCCAAGCCAGCGGATTGATTCGGTCGCACATCCCCATGTCCTCCGCCATGGTCCATGCCAGACATGGCTTTTTTTAAATATAAGCCGATTGGAAGAAAGGACCGAGAGAGGAGAGATTGTAAGAGAGAGATAAAAGATAAGAAAGAGAAGATAAGACGGGGAAAAGAGAAACGAGAGGGGAAATGAGGAGAGAGAGAGAGAGAGGAGAGGAGAGGAGAAGACGGAAAGTGAGAGTGTTGGACGGTTGATAAGCAGCTGCAGGCAAGAGGAGACGGTCAAATTCTCGTACCCGCCGTAGACGAAGCAGTTCAAGGCCAATGATGCAGGTGCACCTATAATAATAAAAATAAATTAAGAACAAGGCCTTTAACGCTTGGACTTGGTGTGTGCAGGATATCTGTATGTGGTGGTAGGTATGTGCTCTGCCTTGTATGGATCGTCGACCGGGGGGGGGGGAGGAAGAAGAGGAGCGAGTCACGACGCTGGAAAAAAAGAAACAATTCTGAATGGACGAGAGACAGAGTCAGATTGAGCAGAGAAGGCAAAAGGAAGAAAAGAACATGCAGGATTGTCCGGGGGGCTTACTCTGTCTGTTCGTACTGGAAGAGGAAGATCGGGTCTGAGCGTGGATTCAGTGTCTGTGATTGCCTGGGGGCCTAGACCCTCCAGACGCACATATCCTGATAGATGATAACAGTGATTGTGGTGGTGTAGTAGTGGTTGTAGTAGTGGTGGTAGAGGTAGAGGTAGAGGTAGTGGTAGTGGTAGTGGTAGTGGTAGTGGTGGTGATGGAGAAGGCTGTAATCCGCGAACGGTGACAGGCGGAATGCGGTCAGAGAGGCAGAAAAGAAAGGAAACAAAAGTTGAATTGACTCGAGGAGCAGAGGAGCAGAGAGAAAAGAAATACCAGTAGAGAGACGAATTTTACACTCCCGCCGTAAGAGAATAAACTACTACTTTATGCACTACTAATCAGATTATTCCTGTTAAAAATGGCACTAATAATGATATTAACAAGCTTGTCTAACTTGCATACAGTGGACCTGGGGTTGTGGCCTGCATTGGTTAGTTTTGTTTCTTTGCTTTTCTTTCTTTCTTTCTTTTTTTTTTTTTCTTATGCTGCTCTACAATTGGAGAGTTTATTCAGCTATGATTTGTGTTATTACCAATTCGGACTTATCCTGTGAACTCTGCGCATACAGAGTTCCCTACAGAGTTCCCTACAGAGTACATCCCGGCCGAATAACAAAAGTACAAGTACATACATATAGTCTAGACTAGATATAAACAGCACCGGCTCAGTCCTCCCCGAGAGATCGGGCCGACCTCGACGCACCGAGTAGCGGAACAAACCGTTTAAGTTGTGTCAGTATACTACTAGCAGTATACTTCGTAGTAGTGGTCCTATTCTACCCGACGGCCCAAACATCCGGACCAGAACCAGATGCGGGGTCTGACTCGATGACTTGAATGGTGGACCGCGAAAATGAGATAAGAAAAGATAAGCTGATAAGCTGCCATCACTAATAGTCCTTGTCATGCATATATTTGCTTTTACATACTATACAGAGTACTAACTAGTACTTTGTTATGTGAAACTGTTATAGGTACGGGATATTCTGTACAGTGCTCCTAATAGGAATTGTTCGTGTGAGCCTTAATGGCAATGACAGGCAATGTCTACTGGGCAATGAACGGAGTACGGAGGGCTCCGTACTCCGTCGTATCCGTAGTAGAGGCACACGAGTCCATACTCGTACTTTGAAACATCACATGACAGTATTCTGTAACTACCGCTTGGCACATGTGCCTGTGCATCCTGATAACATAACCCTGGATACCCAGAGTCCGGGGTACATCAATCTCCAGCCCATTGGCTGGTGTTATCAACCTCGTGTCAGATATAAGCTCCGATTGTCTACCTGCAAGATCTATGTACAGTTCATCGTGCATCCTATTCTTGAAAGCCAAGTCCATCATTGTATCATTGTTTGTTCACTCCATCAACGGCGCAGTGTCATTGGCTTAGAAAAGCGACGCGCTGCTGACCGGAGTCGAGCTAACTGGAGTCGAGCTGGCCGGAGTCGAGCTGGGCGTCGGGGTAACAGACACAGTCGGCACGCTAGAGAAACCAGAGCTACTGGCAGCAACCGAAGACGACGAGGTGGAACTCAACGGAGTACAAGCGTCGTCCTTGCCATCAACAGGAGGTCCCCTGCCGGGGATCTCGCACGGAGCGGGAGGGCCTCTTCCAGGGACCTCGCCGGGAGAAGGGGGTCCTCTACCAGGGTTGCCGGGCTGGCCAAGCTGGCGCTTGTCGAAAATGCCAGTGGGACGCTGGGGGATGCCAGAGGAGAAGACGGGAGTAGGCAAGTCGGAAGAAGCAGGAGGTCCTCGTCCAGGGTTGCCGAGCTGACCAAGCTGAGGGAGGGCGGTAGCGCAGCCCAAGAAAGCAGTGAGAGCAAAAACAGTGAGCTTCATATTGGAGGTATGAATAACACAAATTTGAGAGAAAGTTGGTTGAGCAGAAAGACCCAGACGTCCGGAGAGACGGCCTTTATAACTACCAGACCGTGGACCGTGGGGGCATCAGTGACGCATGGAGATCAACCAGGACCACCACGTACGGAGTCCTCCATGCTCGCACTGACAACCCGGTTCCTGAGCCGATGGATACCGCCAAAGGAAACGATAAACCCTTCTGCATCATCATCCTGCCGCTGTCGCCGAAAGCACACTCGTTGAAGCTTCCTGCGATGGATAAGTCGAGACCATCTCTCTCAAGGATCATCCAGTGAGCTTTATTGACTTCTGACCTGTGTAGCAGCCCAGTCTCTCTTCGCCAATGAATGTGCGTTGTTGATAGCGTGGCGGGTGTCGCCCCTCTGCTTGAAGACTGCAGTGACTGTATCCTGCAGGGGTCATTGTGGGGTGGTGGCTGAGGTCTGTTCTCATTCATCCAGCCGGAACTATGCTTTTGTCATTGTTTCTGGACACGGGAGGGTTATGGTGATCCATCACCCGGGAGGTAAGATCCACGACGCCAGTCCCTGGTACTCGATGTTTAGAAACAAGTACCTCTTATCCCAACAAAAAGACATCCAGGCCGCTCACTTTATCATGGAGATGTATCGAGAACGACAAAGCATTGTCCTGGTACAGAGTAGAGGTGCTGCAAGACGTTGAAGTACGATGAAAAACGCACGGCCGAGGTCTGGGCACCGGGAAATAACCCCGGGAGTGAAACTAATTGGTACCTGAGGCAGCCCATCCCACATTCCGATATCGTACAGAGTAGTTGTACTTGATGTACTCTAATCGTATAGAAACCCCTGTAGAGTGGACTGCAAGATACATATATCTGGACATGCTAGCATCGCCATGTCCATTGACACTCCCAATGTACCGTGACGAATTCATCCGGTCCAAAACTCTTGTCAGTGAGGATCTTGCTTGGCGAAAGTTGAGTTGTGGGATGTCGTCGTCAGTGAATGGGAGATTATCTGGTACTGTTTGTTTCAGCAGTGAAGTGCTTCTGCCGTCCTGTCCTCTGTGAAGCATGAGTTTCAGAGCGATAGAATATGATTATGAATGTTAGGGAAACATGAAAAAGTGGCACCTTGTTTGAATGCCTTTGTAGAGCACCAGGATGGCCCGAGTACAGTATGGTATAAACGCTAGGTAGTGTACGAGTCTTGGGACCAACTATCTGAAAGGGGAAAAATGAAATGAAAGAGATAGACTTCCGGAAAAGACTTGTACCCAATTCCAGAAAATACCAGAAGCCAATGACAACAACCGTTTCTTTCCCGAACTCTTCCTTGACACAAAGACGGCGACAATACCCCATTCGAACAATCCGATGACGTGCTTACTAGTCTGGGGTGATCTCCCCGGATCTCAGATCTTGTTATCAATCAGATGTAGACTGTGACTGTCACATGAATTCTTGTCTCGATACTCTATATTGAACGACCGACTATGTATATACAAATTTAGGCTTTTGGTGCAAACAAATTGACAAGAATAATATTATATTGGAGCGCCGTTCGAACCACTCACGCTCTCGATATCACGTAGCTCGTAATCGAGTTGAACCCGGAAATAGTAATAAAAGAAAGCAAGTCTAGCCCAGTATGCATGCAAATGGACCCGTCCATGCAGGGAAAAAAA